TTCATCAGCGAACGGCCTACGTCCTCTTCGCGGGAGCGCCAGGCGAAGCTGTTGATGAACGAAGCCATGAAGATGCGTAGTTCCTTTGACTTTGGCGAAAGGCCAACACTGGAAGCGGTCATGACAAGCTTTTTCCTCTTTGGCTCCCTCTTTGGCACCAACCAGCACAATGCCGCTTGGCTTCGTTTGCGAGAAACTATCGACTTGGCTCAGACAATGGGACTAGATGACTCGAATGCGTACCAGGGAGCACTTGGCGAAGAGACGGGTCAGAATCTACGCGCATACATGGTCTTGTTCATTACGGAGAGGTTGGCATGCTTGTTGGAATACCCTGTCTTCGCAGACTGACATAACTTTTACAGGGCATATTCTATTCAAAAACGACATCCTATCACCTTGAAGCAAATGCGTGACTCGGTGCCGTGCATCTCGGATGATCTCTTGAGCAGTTCCTCACATGGCCTTCTCTCGGGAATGATTGTGTTTAACGAAAAAGACGCCGCCGCGTTGATGGGACTATCAGCGCTCATGCAGCTTTTTAACGCTATCCAAGATGAATTTATCGATTGCTGGAACGCTACGTGTGCAGCCACTCGAGGAGGTTGCCCCAAGTCTAATGAAGAAACAGTTTTACTAGTGTTCGAGAAGCTTGAGCGCGCCCAGAGCCGCCATCTGTATAGCCACTACGACCGTCTCGTTCTAGATGATCAATCACTAGATGATATGACTGCGGATGTGCTTAATGGACAGACCATTGTCACTCAGCATGCTGACATACTTGTAACGCAGAAATGGCTTCAGAACCGGCTCTGGTATCTCTGCTTGGCGCACAACCTGCTGAAATTACAATCACCCCACCCTGAGCTACAGTTTGACTATGCTATCAAATTGGCGGAATCTACCTTGGCTCTATGTCAGAAGCTGCCTTTGAGTTTTATGGAGGCCCACGGTGTAGGATTAGTAAGGATCTGTATTTGGGTTTCTTTATATGTTATATACTTTGCTGATATATGATATCAGATTGAGAAGCTCTACGACATTTCCGCGACAGCTATTACTGTCCTAGGTAATCCAGCCTTCCCGATGGAGCGGCTTTCACCGAACGCAACCATTTTGCAGCCCTCCATCTCCCTGCATCATGGGAAGCAAGGCGCCGAAACTACCCATCATAAGCTCATCCATCAATATTTAAAGGTGTTCAGCATTCTTCGAGGCGGCAACCACCCGTATCTGGCGAAGTACGTGGCTCATCTTCACTCTCTTGGATTCGAAACGCCAAATCTGGAAACACACTGAGCTAGGATACACGACCAGCTATACACCTGAGGCCACTAAAGTGCACTTTTACATGCGCTTTGAGCGGGAAGGTAGCAAACTGATTCTCCAGGATGAGCCTAACTAGGCCTCCCAGCAGAATCCTAAGGTTTGTAATATAATTATTGATCAATATATTGTCTTTAATTTTCTATTAGCATCTCGTTCTTTCATCAACATCTCCAAACATCGAGTCCCCCCCAGGGCCTGTAATAGACTCTGCTGAAATGAGTGATAATCTACATGTATTTCTGTAATACAATCATTGTCTTCAAAATAGCTAGCCTGATTCTATGTCTCATAATATACTGATGGTCTCAGCTCCCACCCCACACAACGCGATATTATTGGCTCATTTCCTCCTGTTGCACCTCCATAATACTTCACGAATGGCTGTATACCGCAGCACTGGCCGGCCTCGGGATAGATACGGGTTGTTATAACAACACGTTCGTTGATAAAGATTTCAAGTACACTAACGTCAAAGAAAATACGAATATCTAACGTCTCTTGGTACTTTTTGCCGGTACCGGGGTCGCGTGTAGTGAAAAGAGTATGTGGTGCAAATTCAGGGCTGTCATTTATACCACTTGTCTCATTGTGTCCTGGGTTGACACCATGCCGCTCCACCACTATGTATTCTTCATATGGTTGAAAGAAGATAGTTGTTTTGCTTAAGAGATCTTATTGTAGTTAGTTAACACGGTGATAAATTGCGTTTTCACTGGGATCTTACCATCAGAGTGATACAATATGACACCAATTTGCTCCGAAGTTGGTGGAACCGACAAGGAGATCTCTGCCTCAAAATGGCGTGCTTTGAGAGCTAGGAAGCCAAGTGTATTTTGAGTCTTCGAGTAGTCGAGACCATGGACCGTAGGTGCAGAAGACATGCCTAGCTCTGTCTGGCGTAAGACCGACAAGCGGGGATCAGGGAAAGAAGCAAGCGTGGTAACGCTATAAGAGTCATCAAGATTAGGGGCACAATGAAGCCAATCGAGACACCTCAAGTCCGAACGGCTAGCAGCGACCACATTCTTGATCTGTCTCATCTTGAGGATACGAGATAAGGATAACATGCCGCTCCACCCTTGTTTCTTTGCTAAGTGAGCAGGCAAATCTTCTTCAAGAATCCAGCCATGAACTACACGACTGTCTGTTACTGGATCGTAGAATGAATTTGCCGCATAGTACAGCCCATAGTCAAGGCGACCACCAAATCGAAACTCGAATTCCAGTGCTTGACTCTTAGCACTCCCTGTGGGTGTTTGTTCTGTTAATTTTGGCCGGCCGCAAAGCCAGTTCTGTATTTTATTTGACCTTTGCGCTTTGTTGGCCTTGTTGAACTGGCCTTTAGCATCTAAAAATGAAGGCGTCTCCGTTTCATAGGCGCCCTCTATACTCATCAACAGAATATCGTAGGAGTCGCCATCATTGTCTCGGAGTGTCATGAAATTGGTTACCTCAAAGTTGGTGCCAAAATCTGACAGCTTCTTTGAAGGGTTGAAATTCTGCCCTGGAGTGAATAACGTGCAAACAAAGCTCCATTGAGTAAGATCCCGTGCATTAATAGAGTAGAGAAAGACTGCGGGTGACTGATGGCGGATTCCCCCCGCAACAACTCCATACAGGTACTCTCCGCTGCTACGATCGAGGCATCGATCAATAGAGTCCCATGTTCCGATGAACGGGTCACGCCACCCTATCACGTCCAATCCTTTCGGGGGCCCTGGAACAATAGAAGATGGGTGGCGTTTCCAAGTTCGACCATGATCTCTGGATGTTGCCATGCGGATGAGCTCGCTGCCCTTCTCGTAAGGCAATGTCCAATGTATTGGTGAACGTTGGGCAGATGTATAGAAGGTTGTTATGGTGCCATCGTCTTGGCCGCTGGGGTTAGTTGGCCAAGTGCAACCTGTGAATACACCGCAAGGATCTTCAATTTCCGAGGGCTGCATCGAAGGCTCCCTAGAAACGACCCAGTGTACCTGATCTTGAGATGTTGCATGTCCCCAGGACATATTTCCCCATTCGCATCCAAATGGATTCCATTGGAAAGACATCTGATAGCATCGTCCTGACGGACTGTAACCTGGACCGCATGGATCATTGACCCAGTAACGGGGCGGCATTAAATGATATCTTGGTCTCCACCGATTGAAACTTTTCTGATCTGTAGTAGATCCGATACTCTGATTGTCAGAGTGTGCAGAGGAGTTTGAGACATGAGTGCGGCCCTTGGGGTTGGGACTTAGCACAGGTGTAGTGCGTATAGTGGCCACTAGGAGAGACATTTTTGACAGGGAATTCTCCCAGTGCCTTTGACCAGATTTAGGGGTATTTGGTGTCTTGATGAGTTATGAATATTACAAACAGATGTGGGTGAAAAGAGGTGATGCTAATCGAGTCGTCTTGTTGTAGAAGAGTCGTAACTACTCTATCAGTCCATAAGAGAGCAAGAGAAGAACAAGAGTTCAGCTTCCAGTAGTGGCGTCAAATGGATGGCGTCCTTATGCGACGTCTCTCTCTTTTACCCATATGAGACCTTGAATTCGCTGCTCGAACGGACAATTTTCGGCGAAAGGTAAGCTTTTTCAAGGCCGTCAGTATGGGGCAGAGTCAATAGCTTGTTTTGGTCTATTGTGTGGTTTAGTTTTAATGTCCACTACTTAAGCTAGCCACAAATATCCACATCTAAGCAACATTACAGTAGGACCCGCTGGTTTAGATGGTAAGTTCCAATAGAGTAGAGAAACGGAAAATCTGGGGTTGTCGATCTGTTTGGGGGAGTGGTGCTGGGGACCAATGCCCTCCACTGGTTTCTAAGGAGACTTTACACATGTAGTCTTCTGGCACTAACGGGTAGTTAAAGTGCATATTCTCCTGGGAGATCTTTTTGTGGAATACCAAACAAGAGGTTCAACTATGTAGCACTCCGGCTATCGATTGCTTCAAGCACGCATGAGCTCATAAACTCGTGTATACAAGGCGTAACTATAAATGAAAATGGATATTATGTTCGAAAGATTTAGGTGGCCCAAGCATGGCTCGTAAAAGTAAATGCTGTGCTAACTGCTGCAGTACCATCAATAGCTCGTATATGTACATGTAATGATATACCGTATCGATGGCGTTTGCTGGAAAATCGTTATGTACTTAGCATTTGTATTACGTACTGTGAGGAATTCCAACCTCGCCCGGTCTTCTTAAAGAACTCTCTATGAATGGTATTGCACCAATGGTATTTGATTTGCTTCCCAACTTTTTAAGTCTCGGTGAAACTCATTCAGACAGGATAGTCAAGTGCGGCGATTTTTCGGCGAAACTTGTCAGCCAATCAAGGTCCTGATCCTTGATCCCCGCGTCTCCGCCTTATGTACCCCAGAGAAAATTCCACATCTGGGGTCGCCGGTTCCAGTCGTGGCCTCCTGATATCAATCCGAGGTACGTGTATGTAGTCCGGAGGCTAGGTGAGACTCTCAGACATATATATACCGGTAAAGAATCCACACAGCTCGTCGAGATGCTCATTACAAACTCCAATCGTTGCTTTGGGTTTGCCTACCCCAGATCCAGAAGCGTCTAGCTCATTTCTTTGCTAATAACTGGCAAATTGTTCCTTGTGGCTGGAAACACTTGAGAACTGTTCCCAAACAGGAAACTGTTCCCAAGCAGGAAACACAATGGCTACCAACGAGAACACCCAGGCGACAGCCGAGCCCAAACTTGAGGTCTGTAACGTTGAGGAGATACCAGCTGCCGAAGTCTTGGCTCCTGGCGTGCGACCAGACGAGGGGGCGATTAATTTGATGCTCGTCTTGTCGTGTCTCGCGTTCGGTGCCTCATCTTTCTTATTCGGCTACGATGATAGGGTCATCTCACCTGTTGCCGCAACACCAGCCTTTGTAAGTTCCTAGCGTCAACAGTATATTTTCTCTTTCCAATGGAACTCAGAGTTGACTGGTTCTTTAGGTGCGGTTACTTCAAGGCCATGCCAGTCCTGGTAGTGACAACCTTTCCTTGACAGCACGCAATCAGGATCTAGTCTTCTCTGTCCCTCTGGTTGGATCAGTCATTGGCGGCCTGGCCACGACGCCCTTGACCAATCGCTTTGGCCGAAAGTGGACACTCATTGGATCCTACGTGTTTTCATTGTTGGGAGCCTTCTTGCAAGTATTCGCGCCAAACTTGGCCGCCTTCGCCATCGGCCGTTTCTGTAGTGCCTTTGTCATTGGAATAGCGCACACCATCGCACCGCTATATCTTTGCGAAGTTGTGCCTACATCGATGAGAGGCCGGAGCGTGCAGATCTACAATATCCTCAACATCTTTTCAGGCGTGATTGCCACGATTGTCTCAAACGCCACCCACGCCATCGACGGACCGAAGGCTTATCAAATTCCCCTGTCAATCGAAGCTGGCCTTCCTGTGCTGCTGTTCGTCCTGACTCTTGGTATTCCTGAGAGCCCTCAATGGCTCGTATCCAAGGGCCGTATGGAGGAGGCTAAGAGGAACCTACGACGCCTGCGCGGCTTTTCCGACGCTCAGTTAGAGGATGAGTTTCGCGTCATCGTTCTTTGCGAGGAAAACGAACGCGAGCTGTCATCCAACGTGCATTTCTGGGACTTATTCAATCGAGAAAACTTCAAGAGAACCATCACCGCGGGGTCGTTTTATTCGCTTAATCAGGTCTCAGGCGTGATCCTGTCGACGACGTATACTACCGTCTTCCTCAGTCAGTTGGGCGTGGGTAACGCGTTTGTTCTTACGATTATAGCCTCCCTCTGTAACCTCGCCGGAGCTATTGTTGCGCCCATGGTTCTCGATCTATACGGACGTCGCCCGACCGCATTGTGGGGGATGGTGCTTCTCTTCTGCCTCGACGCCGTAGCTGGAGCATTAGCTTTCTTCCCCGATAACAGGAACGCTCTGTTGGCAATCGCTGCGTTGGGATTCATCTTTAACTTTTTCTGGGCATTATCTTTCCTCTCTGTCTCAGTGCTGCTCCCGCCTGAGATCTCAACGCCGAAGCTGCGGTCTTACACCATGGCGTATACCGTGGCATGCTGCCAGATCACAGCTGTCATCACGACTTTTGCCGTGCCTCAGCTTACATCAGCAGATGCAGCCAACCTTGGTGCCAAGACCTATCTTGTCTTTGCGGGCTGTATGGCCTGTGTGATTGTCTGGAGTTACCTGCTTATGCCTGAGACGAAAGGCCGGACCTATGCCGAAATCGATGAAATGTACGACAAGAAAGTTCCTATGCGGAATTGGAGTACATATGAGACCTCAACTGAAGCAAAACAAGGCAACCTAATGGTTAAAAATACTATGGGAAAGCGGGTGAATACTGACGTATAACTATATTGATGTATAGAAGTTATAACAACAGCAGAGAAGGGATTTGATAAACATACCTAGTATAGTATCCAAGGAACCAAAACCCAAATGTCATTTTAATCTAATAATCCATCCGCGATTGGTAGATCGGTCCTGCGTTAATCCGGTCTGCCTGCAGCAAATATGTAGTCATTCACATCGTCCATGAGAGTCGCCTAGAATACTTCATTATGATTGGTAAATATTAGATGGAAAAAAGTTAAGGATAATAAGATAACTAAAACGTTATGCCCTATAGAGGACAATAAATTTGGCAACATCTTCTTACATGTAGTCGATAAAGCCCTCTCGGTATCGGGACGTTTGTACGTCAATTCCTACATAATATCAACCAACAAATGAAAAGCGCGGAAGCGTTGCACCAATAGTGACACCAACTTCCACTTCCCCGCAACCTGTTTTCGGCTACTAAGAGGCATTTTCCTTCAGCACGCGAAATTATGAGAGTTGTACTGCTGTATAACTATTTAATGTGACCCGGGTCATATTTACGGTCTTCAGAATCTGCCCTTCCCTCAACAACTGTTGAGTGGTCACGTGAATCTCCCTTCATCTACCAAACGCATTCCGTTTGCTTGAGTAGCTTTTCCATGAAACACACATACAATCAATCATTAGATTCATCAAAATCTCTGGAATACCAGCTATAGCTTCGCAGTTGGATATCAATTATTGAATATGGCTTCTATATTGGCCGAAATATCTATCTCTGATCTGGATAGTCCCCCGGCAAGCGATGCCACCATTACGGGGCTTCAACATATCGCGTCATACAACTGGCTTGAAGGATCTTTACCGACTATTTCGGTGCCAGGTAAGATATCTTCTCCGCCGCCTTGATGGTTATTTCTGACATTTGAAGGTGCTCCGCCTCTTTGGTCACCACCCCGAGTGGTTCCGAAGCTTACGCCTGATTCTGGCATGGTATATATCGACCAAAATGCGGCGCGCAGCCCCCGCTATCCTCTTGAGCCATTGTTCCGTGCTCTTCAGGCCGAGAACCCCGATTTCGAGCTCGGAGATATAGACCTAGTTACCGATAGGAACAATATCCGGAAACTCTTGCGCTTCGTTCAAGGGTCCTCCTCCGACAACTTTGAGATTCGAGTTGAGATTGCTGGTAACAAGACAGCAGTATTTACACGCGTGGAGGCCAAGACAAAAGACATAATCCAGGACTTCAGAGGGTTCGGCCATAACTTTGAGAAGGCGTATACGAAAGGAATCCCTGGAAGCACTGGCCATCACAGAATAATTCACTATCTTTTCGGCGGCATGAAATGTCTCATACGTCACGAGACCGATGGGTATATCGACAGCAAAGGTAATGCAGATAGCGTCCCAAAAGCAGCGTCCGTGGTTGATGGCGTATCGGATCTTCTGGGAGCTGTTTCCATTTCTGAAACCGGCAAATCCATCGGCAAGCAGCTAGTAACTGTGGTGAAAACTAAGACCAGGCCAGTGGATTTGGCATCGACTCTCGAGATCAAAACTCGAGCTGCGAGTCGGATGCTTGACATGGCCGACGTCACTCCTCAACTCTGGATCTCACAGACTCCGATCCTGGTCATTGGTTACCATCAATACCGCATGTTCAACAATGTCCAGAAGCGCAATGTTACGCAGGAAATTCATGATTGGGAAGCCGCCAACCAGACTGCTCTGCGGAAGTTGGCATTGCTGATCAAGAAGATCAGCGAAGTGGTGGGGCATAGCAGTGATCGCAATGCGACTGTAAAGTACAACGGCGGATCAAAATTGACAGTTACCACCGGCAAGCAAGAACGAGCGCTACCTGAGGACCTATACTTGCTTTGGGACGTAAAGAAACAGGGGACAGATGACGATATGATACAAGATCGCGGCAAAGCCATCGATGCCTCACATACGAAGTCATTAGAGTCGGTTCCCGCTCCGGGGCATATCCAGAGAGTCATGAGCGATATTGCAGGCTCTAAGCAGCCGTCAGGCGGCGTCCCAGCTTCGTTACCATCTCAGAACAAGATGCCTTTTTCCGACATTGTGGATTGCGCAGTGCAGGATGGATTGCGGCAGATCTTTCGCCGCATGTCGACGAGCCTCTCCGACTACCAATCTCTCTGCGAAACTCTTAAGTCTCGCGGCATTGATGTACTTGCAGGACGCCAACTACGTGACATCATGAAAGATCTGAGAAAAGGAAAGGACGATTGGGATCCGGATGAGAGACGAGAGATCAGAGGATTAAAAAGTCTGGCACGCGACTCCGCTTTTAGGCTCCTTTATATCTTTATCCTCAATTTGCATGAGTCAGGGGCCGGTGATCAAAATATGGCCTACAACGCAACCACATTCGTGGTCTCCCATCGTAGGATATTCAGATACAAAACCAGGAAGATGGTCCGACAAGCTTTTGAGATGCGGTTTTCCATCTCATACAATCAGCGGAAAGGTCTAGACAAGTGGCCCATCGATAATCCTTCTTATGGAAACTCAGAGGAGGAGGATGTAACCACTGAGGAAGAGGATGTCTATAGCTCTGATTGGTCATTTGAAAGCTAGAGACTGACTAACGTCTAACTGCCGATTTTACCTCTAGTGGCCTAAGATGGAAGGCGCATGAGGACTTGGATGGAACACTTCAGGTGTTGATCAAGGTTACCCAGCTTGTAAGTGGTGTTACTGCCTAAAGAACCAGGCATATCTCAGCCGAGTAGCCACCGTACCATGCTGTAATGAAAATTAAATCCAAGGTTCATTTTACTATGCAATAAAACAAATCGTTAATTGGGTGACTTTTATTTGTCCCTATTTTAATGTAAGAATTCTTAAGTATAACCTTAACTGGGATAGCAAGTAAGCCAGACTACTGAAGCGGGTAGTAAGGCAACAGACCGTCTGTTAGCGTTTTCTTATCCATTATTATTTATTTAATCGGCTTCCTATTACCCAGCTGAATAGGTATGCTGAATCGAATCTTGTACTATTTCTTCAACTTCCAAGACTTGCGCGAAAGTAGTTTGCCCAATCTCATCTAAGGTATCTTGATGCAGTAAGTCGTGCGATAAGTCTACTGCAGGCACATAAAGACGCCATGAATGAATAGATAGGGCTCTATTGCAGAGCTTCTAGGAATGAGAACTGCCGCGGAAAGCGGAGAGCAACACGATCCCAAAAACGCATGGAGTTGGGCGAGAGCCGGACAGGGTAGAACTTTTGAAATTGCTGATCGAGCCTCGCTAGGACTCTAGGCAGCCATGAAGGAATCTGCTTATGCCTCTCTACATACACACTATGCCATTTAAAGGCCTGGATTTTCATTAAACATTTCCTTTTAATTTATATTTGGTCAGGTGCTATCTACATGGACAAGGGTCAAACCAACATTTGGTATCATTGCTGGCCGTTTTGACACTTAGCGTGGTATTTCAGCTGATGGGGGCCGTACCATATTCGGAATTGCACCAGGTACCATATCATAATAAAAGAAAAAAACGAGTTTCGCGTCAGTTCTGGTGTCAGAATAGGATAATTGGTGCGCTATACGTGGAAATGATATGCATGTTCATGTGCATTGAACGTGGTGGAGGCCGCTTCATTGACATCGATGTTTGAGAGACATTGCTTGAAGACAAACTTTGGGAAACCAGAAAAGAGAATGCCAGAAATATTAGACACTCCAAGAGACAGAATGTTCAAAATCAATTAGAAGAATTATAATACAACTGGCGCGCGATGATGGAGCAGTACTTACAGCAAGTAGGCGATGCTGGCAGCCAATAACGGATAGGCCGTCGCAATCAGCACGGAAGTCCCGCCTTGCTATTATCCTAAAAATAACTTATCCCGCATGTGTTTTCTTGGAATGAGCTGCCTCTTTTCGATTAGTTACTCGGACTTGCTATATTCCGAGGAGGTTCAACCTATCATCAGTCGCAGTTCAATCCTTCATTGCAGGGGACATACGAACACGGTGCGGAATTGAGTGAACTAGCAGCCAACATGCATATCAGCAGCCAGTATGCATTCAACTCCTCGTTTACCGGGCACAGCTCCCTGTCTTTCTTATCATATATAGACAGGCGATACCCCCTCCTGATTCTCTTTTCAGAAACCGGTTACTATCAAATGTGATAATTTAAATTGTCTCGATATGGCAGCCGTAATGGACTCGCCAGTGTTCAGAGAAATTGCTATAATCCTTGAACACATCGATCCTTTCCCACATCCTGGCGAATCAAACTTCGAAAGATGTCGAGGCTTTAGAAAAGACAAAATGGGCCGCTGCAGAATCAGCCTGGCTCAAGAGCAGGATCGAATCGATAGCCTTTTGTCTCAATTCCGGAGCATGACCAAATGTGTCGACACCAAAGGCCTGCATGATGAAATGAAAACATTCATCACCCTGACACACTGCAAAAATCATCATCGCGATGAAGCTGTTAAAGCTTTCAATAGATGGAAAAGGCAACGGAAAGCAGCTACCTCAAATATACGACCAGTCACTCCGCCGAGGAGTGTGACATCACACGATGATTCATTCGAATCTGACTCTGATACCAACAGCATGTCATTTTCTAGTCTTGAGAGAGGCATTCCAGATTATGACAAGTCTATATTGGATTCTGACATTGAAGACAAAATACAGAGTTTAAATATCGCTACATCTGTGCGCCACGCTAGCACACAGACAATGGACAATGACATTAACGAAAGCGGAAGAGAAAAGTTTGATGAGATGCTCGGTGATGTCCATTTTCCTAAATTAGGGAAAGATTACAACCACGGAAAAATATCTCAAACAATGCAAGAGAGTTTTAGGGACATATCACAGGCCGGCATTCTCTATGTCCTTGAGCATACTAAGTTACCTGGCTTATTCAAGATTGGACGATCAAAGTATCCTCAAGATGTGAGACACAACCAGAATTGCTACAAAATTGAGACAGATGGTGTCCATGCGACGGAACCGTTCATTGGCTATGCGCAGGCTGAAAAACTTGCTCTTCAAATTCTACGGCATAAGAGGCTCTTGATTATTGAATGTATTCATTGCTCAAAAGCTCATCAGGAGTGGTTCCTGGCAACTAAGAAAGAGGTTGTCGATGTTGTTAAGCTAGCAGAGCGGTGGTTCAGTATACCCGCATACGCACTCCAAGGCGGTGTGTACAGATTAACCCCAAAGGCAGACGGTATACACAAGAAGCTATATCACTTTTCTGTGTCCAAAATGGATAAACTTATGAACGAAGTCTACGGATCCAAAGACGCTTTCCGCACATTGCCTGATGCGCCATCGACAGCTGCAACACGAGAATTAGGCGCTTCTGCTGAAAAAGCTGCTGAAAAAGCTGCTGAAAGAGAAGCTGAAAGAGCTGATGAAGAAGCAGTCCCGAGAATTTTAGTCGACGAAATTCTTGATACAACACCTCCCCAGAGATACAAGACGCGGGCTAAATCTCACGCGGCAAGAACTGGCGTCAAGGGAGAGAGTCCTTTGTTGGAAACGGAGGAAATATTTGCAATGCACCAGAGACGGTCGAGAGAGACGACGCCCGATGGGGATGGCAATTATAAACTTGTGACAGAGCTTGAAATGACGAGAACTATTTACACAAAAGTCTCGATATCGGAGCTTAACCAAGGCAGTGGAGTTTATGACTTTTCTAAACATGTTGTCTTTGGTTGCAATGGAGAGAAAGAGAGGCGTGCGGAGATCAAAGTCCAGGAAGTTGGAAAATCTGAATAGGAATACTATGTGAAATGAGCAAGCATAGTCTAAGAATAAGCCTTTGTAATTTAGTTCGAATTGTGTATGTATACTGTTGTAGTGCGTATATGTATCCTGAAAGCAGGACGGTTTGTTGACTTTTACTGTTCTTGGGTCGAGCATATACCACTAAACATTGTCTGTGTCGTCTGTATGTTCTTTGTAGCTCAAGAATAGGTCCAGGTTCGCGATCATGCCAGAGCCCTGAACTAGTAAGAGTACTTACCTTGTAATTAGGGAAATAATTCCTCGTGAGTGAACATTGTTTCGTTACGACAGCTTATCTGTTGATGTGGCCTGCGACTAGTGTCATAGAAACTTTTATCCGGATTGAAACTGAAAAGCTGCTGTAAAGACGCTTGTTTCTTCTAAGTTCGGACGTAAATACAACCCCAATTCATAGTTCTGCGTACTGTGCCCTTTCTACCTTCTTTTTACCTTCTTTCAAACCCCGGCTGTAGATGAGTGTTTGAGCCCTCGTCTGAGCATTGTAGTGCCTCGAAAAAAAGGCCGGTGGGTTTTTGTCACAACTGAAGTGAAATAGCGCCATTATTTACTAAGCGGAGCAACCAGCTAACTTGCTTTAGTTAGTATGAACAAAGGCCCACTGGCCAGTTTTTCGAGATAATCATGATTCTCAGCTTACCTTGTGCATCCTAGAGTTTTCTGCTGATTTTCAGAGTTATGCTCCTAAGATCAACACTAAGACCAGTATAACGCAATTTCTTTCATTTTATTTGTTCTTTAAACAACTCAAAAAAATCTGAAGCCGTCCGGCAATAGCGACCTATTTGGCTAACAGATCCTCCATTTCCCTAACCTTCAGTCTGGGAATACCACTTTGCACTCAATTGGAGGTATTCAAGCAGATGAAATGATTACAAACAAGATCTGACAGACGATTCAAGAAAGATATGGAAACCTCAGACTCGAAGATGAGTTTTATACAGCTAATTGAGAAAGGTCACGTCTCGATAAACTGATAAACTGGAAACTAGAATGGATTGGAGACATTTTATCAGAAGGATAAAGTTTGTTGCAGAGCAATTAAAGATCTGGGAATATGTTGACCCAGAGTGGTCGAAGGAGAACACACTTTCGGAAAAGGAAGACGAAGTTAACGTTGAAGAGATTTATGACATCAGTAAAAAGTTCTTTGAGAAGGAGTTCGCAGCTACTCTAGCTAAAGATGATCCCGAGATGCGGGACTTACTATTCAAGATCATACTGGAAAATCAGTTGGAGACAAAGATGTATCAGCAAAGAAAGAGAAGGTTCAAGTACGGAAAAACGAAGGAAGACATTCAATGGCTAGCACTGGCTATCTTAGATGCAGTTGGTCCACTATGGAGGCAAGCAATACTTTACAAGACCTCTCCCAGACAGATATTACACTCTTGAAAGATTAGCAGCACAGAGTCATGGCGAAGATATCAGAGGAGCCCGTGATCGTTTCTGGGAAGTCGTCACTCGAAGGAATATCCAGAATTGGACTGCCTTGGCTAACGACTTCTATTTGGCCTACGAGAATGCATTGAGCTTAAGGTGTCCGATATTACGGAGGAAGTAGCTGCCAGAGAGTTTCTTGGAACGATTCGAAGGGACCACCAATTGGACTGGAGCATGGGAAAACGTCTATACCAACTGAAAAAGAAAGAGATCGCTGTACTCAACGATGGAAATTTCATCATGCGCCTCGTTCAAGCATTTCATACTAGCATAGCGGATTTGGAAGCATAGACTCAAAGAATCCAAAGCAAGGCGATAGCTACGAAAGAAAGTGACGAATAAGATGACTGCCGATCACGATCGCGCCACCGGTCAAGTGACCGAGCTCGATTTAAATCGACAGATCAATCGCGAAAAAAGTCAAATGAAGTTCGAAAACGGCAAAGACCGAAAAGATGTTTGGGTTGCCGCAAAGTTCATCAAAATCAATGATGAAACAAAATGGTGGATTTCGTGTTGGAATTTCCAGGCGATATATGGCAAAGAGATAGCGCCCTCCAATGCGACTCCAGGAAAATATGTGAGAGACCAACTAAAGAAGTATTTTGATTTTGAGAATAGGAAAGAAGAAAATAAAGCTGCTCTGAAATGGATCGAGGAGAAGCAAAAGTCAGGAACTGGGTCAGATAATTAGAGAGAAATTTTTCCACTTCCCCCCATAGCCTGTTCGCTAGTTATGAGCTCGGTATTTCCGTCAAGCTGCGTTTGGAGCTTCCACCCAGAAAAGAGTCTTGTATTCAAGATACCAAACTCTTGACAATTGCTGTATGATAACCCCATTATTGAGTCGAAGTCTGAAGCCAGCACACACAGAGAAGCGATGAGCTGTTGGTTAAACTGAGTGTAATCGACCAGGAGTTAATGAGAGGCGAACTCCAGCGATCCAGTCCAGCAGTTTAGTGGTAGATGCTTGAATGCAAAGAGTATATTTGGCGGAACAAGAGTCTTTTTTTTTTTTCACAGCGATACAACTCTTGCAGCTGAAGATGCCTCTTCCCTTTTGCCAATGGTCTCGCCAACTGCATATACTCTCCTTATAAACTGCAACGACACAATGGCTAAAAAAAAGGTTGATCCCTTAGAAATCTGCCTGGCATGTCACACACTTATTGTGGAATAGCTAGGATCAAGCTATTAGCAATTCTATCTCAATTGCATTCAAAATGTTACAAAACGCAAGATTGCGCGGTAGCATTCCAGCAAGCAGAGGGTGGCAGTGGTGCGTACAAAGTCTAAGGAAAGTTCTCTAAATCTAGCCGAAGTCATAGGCACAATACAGACCACAATCAAATACTTGACGTCAGCAAAGCACTAGGCAAGAACTAAGCAAAACCTCCAACCGCAATTAAAGATAAATAACTATATTGGCTCTAATTATATGTAGACACATGAAGGGGGGATTCCACTTGATTAAGAGGTGCAAATCAGCCCCGCTACTGAAGGTGTATTTATGCTTTTCCATAGCATTGGAAGGCATCACGCACTAATAGGTAGAAAGGGGGGGATCTTTTTCTTTAGAATGTCACACCGTGCACTGTTTCAAATACTTGTGCGAAATACCATGCTGTTTAACTATCTTATTCTATCTTGACTGCTCAAGCATTTAAACTATTCTCTCATAACCATGTTGTCTTGCCATAGTGGCTGCTGTATCCCCATTTCTATCCATAAAGCGTGGATCTGCACCGGCTTCCATTAAAATAGCCATAACCCACTCGTGACCTCTACCAGACGGCCAAAGGATAGGCGATCTCCCAGCAATTATCACTAAGTTAATTTTTACGTCGGTCTTTTGCGCTAGAACTTCAACGACTGCTTCGTGTCCATTTTTTGCAGCGATGTATAAAGGTCTTTCTCCCATGGATATTCTTTATATCTGGGTTGATTTCTTTATGCATTGGCTGTTTAATATGATCAACATCTCTATCCTTTGCTACGTTGTAGAATCTTGAGATGGAGTGCTATCTATCCCAATCAAAGCAAATAATATTCACCTAGGATAAAAGGCTCAAAACTAAATTCTAACCACACGTTTCCGCAGCCCTAACAACCTCTTCCGTGATAGCAATTAGGCGATCTCCCTGTCGGTTAAAAAGTAACGTCATTACTTCTTCGCCAACTATTTCATTTCCCGCAGCAGCTTTAAAGTACTTCTTCTGTGATAATGATCCGGTCTCCTCACCAATTCAATAATAACTCCATTATCTCCTTGCCACTTAGTTCATTTCTTGCTGCAGCTTTAATGACTTTTTCTGTAATAAGCATCTGACCTCCTTTTTGTTCAAAGAGTAATGTAATTATCTCCTTGCCGCGTGTCTCGTTCTTGGCTGCAGCTTCAATAATTTCTTCCGTAATAATCATCTGGCCTCCTCGCTGGTCAAGAAGTAATTTTATTACTTCATTACCACTCCATCTATTCTTTACCGCAGACTTAATGATATCCTCCGTAATAGTAATATGGTCTGCTCGTCGGTCAAAGAGTAATGCCATCATCTCCTTGCTATGTTGATTTTCTACTGCAGCCTGAATAACACCCTCTGTGATAGTAATATGGTCACCTCGCCGGTCAAGGAGTAATGCCATTATTCCCTTACTGAATTCATTTCCTGCCGCAGCCTTAACAACCTCTTCTGTAATTGCAATCTGGTCTCCTCGCCGGTCAAGGAGTAATGCCATTATCTCCTTGCCATGCCAATGTCTTGCCGCAGCTTTAACAATATCCTCTGTAAAATGGTCTCCTCGTCGGTCAAGGAGCAATGATATCATTGGATTGCTGTTTGAGTTTCTTGCTGCAGCCTTGAAAATGTTTTCTGTGATTGTAATTTGGTCTCCTCGCTGATCAAGGAGTAATGCCATTACTTTCTGACCATTCCAGTTTCCTGCTGCAGCCTTAACAATGTCTTCTGTAATTTCGATCTGGTCTCCTCGCCGGTCAAGAAGTAATGCCATTATTTCCGCGCCTTTCGAATTACTTGCCGCAGCCTTAATAACGTCTTCTGTAATTGTGATCTGGTCTCCTCTTTGATCAAGAAGTAATGCCATTATTTCCGCGCCTTCCGAATTACTTGCCGCAGCCTTAATAACGTCTTCTGTAATTGTGATCTGGTCTCCTCTTTGATCAAGAAGTAATGCCATTATTTTCGCGCCTTTCAAGTTACTTGCAGCAGCCTTAAGAACGTCTTCTGTGATTGTGATCTGGTCTCCTCGTCGATTAAGGAGTAATGCCATCACTTCTTCGTCGAAGCCTGTAGTAATAGTATGCATAATCTCTTCTGTGATCGTGATGGGATCTCTTTGCTGCTTAAGGAGTAATGACATTATTTGTTTGCCATTCCACGAATTATCTACCGCAGCCTGAACGATCTTATTTGTTATGACGACCTTGTCTCCTAGTTTTTCAAGTAGAAGCTCAATGATAGGTTTATACCCATTCTTGACAGCCAGATATAATGGCGTGTTGCCATTCTTATCCTTCGAGTTAGGATCAACTCTACCTTTGTCGAGCAGGAGCTTAACGATTCCCGCATGGCCCTTCTCCGCAGCGGACAAAAGTAGCGCCATGCTCATGTCTTCCTCCGAATCGATGTTGATTCCTCTCTTAAGAAGTAGATTAACAATGTGTTCGTGTCCGTTGCAAACGGCGTAAAAAGATGGCGTCCCTCCAATGCTATCCCTTGTATCGACGCGGGCTCCTGCTTCAAGTAATAGTTCGGCGATAGCAGCATGCCCATTTAAAACGGCGTAGGATAGTGGTGTTAGATTGTGTCTATCCACCGAGTCTACCTGTGCTCCTGCTTTAAAGAGTATCTCAAGACCCTTCCAGTGGCTCCTAACGCCCTCAATTAGGAGCTTAACAGCGACGTAATAACCATTTCCTGCAGCCCAAGATAGAGCTGACCGCTTGTATGTGCCATCCCGAGAATTCACGTCGGTGCTATCCAATATAAGCAGGAGCTTCATCACTGTCGTAAGTCCAAAATAGGATGCAATCATGAGAGCGGTAAAATTCTGCGGGAAATCTGTGTTCGTGCTCCTCCAATAGATTCTAAGCCAAGTCAGGCAGCGACTTGAGGTCCCATCGCAGAGCTTTGATATTAATTGACTTAGTGAATTCTTGACATCGATATGCGATTCGCGGACGTGAGTGGTCCAATGCTTAGCAGAGTAGTCCAGGAAGACACGTTGGTCATTGTGCTGGAAATTCATTGTTTTTCCTTTAGGAGATTGGGCCCCAAACTCTGCGAAGAGTAAATGCCAGATGCAGATCTCGGCGAGAATGCGGTGGGATTCTTGCGGCCACAGTGAGTGTTTCCATTTGGTAATTGCCTGATTGCGTTTCGAAACATTCGATGGCTTGGTTTGGACCAAAAATTCCTTCGCTGTTTGGTGAAGCAGATAGACCCTTGAGTCAATGACCGCTATGAAGAGGCCGCAGAGATCTCGCACGTTCTCTCGGAATCGCTCTTCTGACTTGAGGTTAAGGTCGTCATACGACTGATGGTGGCTTCTCAACGTCAACGCTAAGTTCATCTCACTCAGGGTTAAGGGCCGCGCGGCTGAAACCACAATATGCAGCAGCTTCTTAGCCTCTTCAAAATTGCGGCTTCTGGATAGAATTCTTTCGTATGCTTCTTCAACCGTGTTGGGAAGGTGGGAAGTAATTCTGACTATTCCGCTTTTGTCGAGATCGAGGTCTTGCTCAATCAAGTCCAGAGTGAGATGCACCCACAGATACGTTCGGTTGGGGACCCGCATAAGTTCTCGTAATAGAATGCCTTGCTCGTCACTCCCAAGCTTCAGCTTTTCTCCAACAACCCGGACTCGAGCCCGAATGAAAATATCGATTTCTAGGGATATCTTTACCATCTCATCATCACTCTCCCCGCTTAGATGAATCACAGCCAACTCTGGAATGTCCGGAGGTCGGAAACCATGCTGAATACTAACATAGGGCCGGCTAGTTAATAGAAACTTCAAATTAAAGCTTCTTCCAGTGTTATAAAGCGTTTGTAAGGCCCGAGCGAGCTGGGATCTTCCGTGGTCTTCGCATTCGTCGATTGCATCTAGGAGACATATGATTTCGCCAGCGTTCCTGTCCTCAGCTACACTAAGAAGGGCGCTCCAAAGCTTTCCAAATGAGCTAGTAATCTCTTCTCCATAGACTTCAAATTGTTCGAGAACAGCCTCAGAGAGCAGGACGCGTTTTTGCTTGAAAAGTTGGTATAAGATACAGCAGAGAGCACTGACGACATTTTTCTGATCTTCAAAGTCGTCCTTAAAGAAGAAGTAGCATATTGTTCTAGATGCTGTGCTTTGCAATACTGAATCAATCAGGTGCTTTGATAGGACTGACTTTCCACATCCGGGATCTGCAGATACCCAAAGTGTTGTTGACTGTTTGCTTTCTTGCCACTCCTGAAAGAGCTTGTGAGCTACGAACCACTCACAGGTTCCTCGAGTCCGATCTGGATTTCGGTCTTTCCGATCTTCGTACGGTGATTTATAAAGCCTTCTCAGGATCTCTATTTCTCTCTCTCGACGTTGTCGGTCGGCATGGGCCGCATTGTTCACGGTCCAAAGTGGCTCAGGGGACGTAAGATTGCCTTGAACGACGATAGCATTGGGACCGAATGTGTTGCCGGAAATGACGCGACTATCCATTGCGTTCGAGATCTTTTTTGTTACGATTGATTGCAAAGATATCAATATCGGGTGGGGATTTGAAGACGACGGGCTGCGCCTACCGAGCAATGTGAGGCTGAATGGGTCACGGGATCTGTAGGTTCGCGAATGGTAGCTGAGTATCCAAATCCGCCATTAACATTTCGGTGACAGGGATTCTTTTGTCAGCGTAACTTCAACATTTAGAAGGACAGCAAAAACCGAGCGCTGCAGACGTGCGTTGGATGCACAGGGTCTAAAGTTATTATGAGGAGGAATAGTAGTAATAGCATTCTCCAAGGCGAGGGTTGCTACTACAGAGAGTTCAATGCTCGACTCCGTATAAAGTACCTACACATTCTAGTATGTCGCATCTCAACGAACATTAAGTCACGAGATCAGGGAAACAGAATTGGTCAGGCACTGTTGGGCACCAACCCGATTTTCTATGTAGGTATTGAGAAACATCCAAGTCTTTGACATGTACTGAGATGAGAAACAGTACTCCACTCCCTTTATTATGAGATAATTGGGATATTGCGCTCCTACTGTTGCTTGTATTGGGATGCTCTTACAAGTAATATTCTTCTTCTACCATGTACGCCTCAAGCAGTTTAGAAAGAAATGGATGATTTTTTTTTTTGGCTCAAATTAGCTGCCGTAAGTCATAGTGTGGAGGGGTTATAGCCAATCCTTCACGCGGGTGGCGTTGCCTCACCAAGCCAGCCAGGCCAAATATCAAGGTCGTACCTAGGTACCTACAAACTAAATATACTTACATCTCATACGAGCGTAATAAAAGCGACTTTGAGACCCTATCTTCTCCCCCATAGATTAGCTATTAACCGGCAGACTAGTAGTTGAGTGGATTATCATCAGCGAACACCAGCTATTGTACGTTTTTTTCGTTGTATTCTGTCTTATTGCACAGACCAGCCCGTTTGTGGCATGCTTTTGTTTCGGCCTCATTGTGACTACCGTTGCAGACCTCGAGTCGAAGTTCATACGATTACGAACAATGGATTATTCAAGATCCCGCCAAGCTCTTTTTTAAGGCAGAGTCAGATGATTGGTCTCCCCTAGAGTTCTTCTGGGCGCATATGATTCGACAGTCAGGAGATCTTCGCTATCTATCGAAATCATATCATAGGATCAACAGACCTTTAAACAGCAAATATCAGAAATAAAGAGGCGTTCTTTACCAAAAAGCATAGATCTACCATCCTTGGGGTATGGGCTACCATTGGCGATCAGTATGGTTTATGGCTGTTTCAGTTCAGTCGGTTCTAATCTACAATTGTGTGGGAATAGCATGTCATCTTGATTTCCATCTCAGCATAAATTTTAATGAAGATGCTATCTATGTGACAATATCCGCTAGGACCTCTTGGCTAAGCTCTGTCCCTTGTCTTCCATAGCTTTTCCGTACTTCTTGAGTCGGATCGCGTTGACGCTGACAAATCCAGTTGTGTCCTTTGGCGAGAAGTCACCAATCTCATCCATGGAGCTTTCGCTTGCATCATAAAGTTTGGCGGTATTAGACCAACGCCCAAGAACGGTGAAGGAACCCTTGTACGCTCGGCATCTCACTGAGCCATTCACATCCTCTTGCGAAGCAATTATGCTCTTGGTCAGGAATGCGCGCTCGGGCGAGAAGTAGAGGCCATTGTACAGCAGCTTTGCGTAGTTAAAAGTAACAAATTGGTCACGAAGAGCGCGAACTTCGCGATCCAGTACAAGACCTTCCAAGTCAACGTGCGCCGCTCGCAACATGGTCAGACCAGGTGTCTCGTAGCAGCCACGAGACTTCAATCCAATGAAGCGATTCTCGACAATGTCAAGACGGCCGACACCGTTTCTACGCGCAATGGCGTTGGCAGTCAGGAACAGGTCAACGGAATCCGTGACAACTTTTTTTTCACCCTCATACTCGAGTTTGACTGGGAGGCCTTTCTCAAAGGTGACGGTGAAGTCTTCAGGCTGATGAGGGGCTTCTCTCGGATCTACAGTCAATTGCCACATATCATCAGGAGGACTGGTATTCGGGTCTTCCAAGATACCAGCCTCATAGCTGTAGTGGGCCAGGTTCTCGTCCATGCTCCATGGCTTGCTCTTGGTGCTCCTGACGGGAATGTCCATTGCCTTGGCGTAGTCGAGCAGGTCGTTGCGGCCTTTGAACTTGTCGTAGAACACGGGATCACGCCAGGGCGCAATGACGGTGATGGAGGGTTGGAGAGCGTAGAAGGCGAGCTCGAATCGAATCTGATCGTTGCCCTTGCCCGTGCATCCGTGAGACACGGCGAAACAGCCCTCTTTTTGCGCAATGGCAATCTGTGCGCGAGCCGTCACGGGACGAGCGAGCGAAGTACCGAGGAGGTAGACATTCTCGTAGATGGCGTTGCATTGGATTGCGGGGAAGCACTGCTCTTCGATGAACTACACGAGGGCGTCAGTAATGGCTCTTAAGTTTCGTGGAGACTTCCTCGTGGTGGAGTGCATACCTCTCTGCGAAGATCCTCAATGTAGACCTTGCTGGCGCCAATCTTCAGCGCCTTCTCCCTGACGGCGTCAAAGTCCTCTTCCTGGCCAATTTTCGCCGTAAAGGTGATGACTTCATATCCTTCTTCCTAGACAACGTCTCAGTCGATGGATCAAACACAAAGGCCATGGCAATGACTCACCAACAAATACTTCAAGATGCAGCTCGTGTCTAAGCCGCCAGAGTAAGCGAGGCAGACCTTTTGTTTCGCCATCTTCAATCAAAATTGGTAGCGCTCGTGGTCCGGAGATTACTGGTGGTGCTTGTGAGAAGAGAATGAACGACTCCGAGAAACGGCACAAGTGAGGGGAATGAGAGTGCACGGTTGATCAGGAACTTCTTGAGCAAACGAATTGAAAACGAGGTGGGTCTTGTTACGGTCATGACGTATCATTGTTCATTGTCTGTTGGTTGCACACTATTTTGTTAATCCGCCAGTTGGTTGCCGCCTGCATGTGCGTGTAGCTTGGAGCAGGCGGCATAACCAAAAGCTGAGTGGTGAATTGATGGAATGCGGGCCATATTCTAGCCGGATTACGCTACACATGGCAAAAGGAATACTCCGTAGGATTGCACAAGCTGCGACGGTCCGCCGTGCCGTTACATCAAGACGGCAAAGGATTAGCCTATTAATGGTAATTGTCAATGGTAATCATGTAACGGAACAGTTGTGTATAAGGGATCACGGTATGGAGAAATGGTTGTAGCACATGCGCAACCACAGAATTTATGAAAGCGGCACATTTCCCTAGAAAAATGACTTAGGATTAAGCCAATCGATAACTTTTTATATTGGTTCAAGCTTAGTTTATTTTGATGTCTATTTAGATAGCTGGAAACCATTAATGATGATTCTGTTAGCACTCTCACGGCGCCAGCCTATATGCATCGCGCGGGAAAAGAACAGTCTCGCGAACATCAACCAAACCCAGATATCCCTGAACAAGACGATTCAGTCCAACTATTAGATGCGTCAGTACTGCAAATTATACAATTGAAAACTGGGGTAAGTGACAACTTACGCCCAAAACCGCCCCATGGCGGCATCCCAATCTCGTGCGCTTCGGTATATGGCCGCCACCCGGGACAATCTGGATCGATGGGATGCGCGCGATTCGTAAAGGCTGATCTCACTTCTTTATAGGAGTGAAGCAGTTGGCATCCCGTGACAATTTCTTGCCCACGCAGAATGATGTCGAATGAATTCGTCGTCGCATCATCCTGTCCCAATGAAGAGACATTGCATGGACGAAGGTGGGTTGGAAAGTGAGTTATTATGAATATATCAGTAGGTGAGTCCAGAGGCGACTTGTCGCTCGCAAGAAGCTCTCCTAGCGATGCTTCTTCCTCTCTCCTGAATTAGCGTTTAGTGATAATGTCCAACTTTAGCAAGGTTTGTCGCGATGAGTACATACGTAAGGTCTTCCTCGGCGTTCGCCACTCTGCTGAGGTGATCACGAAGGATAGCTTTAGCTTCATCAAATCGTACGCGCGGAAGCTTGCCGTTCTTATCCAAGCCCAGCTTGAAGCTTCCAGCAGCAGGATACAGCCTTTGCGCAGCTGCTGTGAGTTTGGCATACTTGTCGTCTTCTTGCAAGGACCGCAAAAGGAACACCAAGAGACTGTCTGCGAGCTCAAGAATCTCGGTCCAATCATTCTTCAGCGCAAACACGAGCTCAAGCATTGTAAACTAGACTTATATGTAAGCATTTCCTGAGGAGATCGTGTATATTCGGATTCATAAGGAAGGGTATCAGACCTCTGTCAGATGTCTTCCATCACTCTTGGGTTCTCGACGAAAGACGGTATGAATATCGTAGACACGTTCAAGATCTGCAGCGAGCGCCATTCCTAGATGCACCTCGCCGGTTGGTGCCAACATCGCTTGCCTGCCAAGATAATCGAGATAGAAGTGATCTTCCTCCTCAGCGGGGAACTCATAGCCCACGAATGCCGGCGTCGGAATGTAGTGAAAATCGTGGATTGCCATATACTTGACGGCCAATTGATGCACTGCCGAGAAGAGTTTGAAGATTGAGGCCGTGGCCGCAACCCGAGCGTCCAAAAGTCTGTGGTCGAGCCTTGTGTCTAAAAGAAGTATCCGCTCATTCAGCGAAGGCAGAGTCTCTCCAGGAGCTCCATGTAGCTTGAGGTTACTTGGGAGATTGGCCGTTGCTTCGGACAATATGTCCAGTGAAGATATCTGAGTAATAAATAAGGTCTCTGAGGTTGCATTGTCGGGCGCGGTTATAACGCACGAGATGCGAACAAGCGATTCGGGTGTTAGGCATTGAGCTGTGGTAAAAATGGCGGAGTCCGCGCAGCCTGTACTCTTCAACTCGGATTGGAAGAATTGGCCATTTCTTCTTAAAAGAAAAGCAATTGAGCCGCTGTTTTCATCGACAGAGATATTGTGGACACGAGCAGTAAAGGCGATGCCTTCATTTTGCCCAGTCTTGTTCGAATCACTGCCCGAAGTCTGAAGGTTGTTTGCTGGTAGCTCGTCTGCACCCATATCCGATTATGAACACAGTTATTCTTCCAATTTGGCTGATCTAAAGACTAAGATTATTGTCGAGCCTTAACGGACCTCGTTTTCTAGAGACGTGAGTTAAGGAAAAAAGAGGTTGCTTGGCACTGGAATGGACCTAAGATGTCATGTGCAATTTTGCCTTGATCAAATTTGAATGCAAGAATCTTGAAAGATATTCGGCGTAATAAGCCCCTACTTTTACTAATAGAAGGACGCGATGGCATAAGTAAGACACCAGAAATCTAGAACTGTTTCATTTCCCTTTTATGTTTTTATTATGTAAAAATAATGACACCCTACTCATTACAAGTAAGATTTAAATTTATGTTAATAAAAGTTATTTTCAAGACTTTAAGGCTGGTAGCGGTGGAAGATTGTGATATTAATTGCAGGTACATGTGGCAATGGTGTGCTGAGACAGAAGGATTCGGAGGATCAAAAATTCTCTGCCGTGTAAATAAGAAATACCAAGCAAAGACCAACGGCCCTCGCCACCCGCATTCCCGCGATCCTCCAAGCCATCGTTCTTACATGCATCATGCATGTACCTGTAAGTAGCAGTACATGAACATGCCAAGTTTGATGATGGCTTCCGTGCATGCAGCATAAGGGTTTGCGCCATCCCCAGTCTCCATAAGCTCATTCTTATTTCTGAAGAGTCATCTCATGGTCCAAAATCTTAGAGCAGTCTTTATTTATCTGATTATTTTTCTGGTGTGACCAAAAGAAAAAATGGCATACATGGCTCTTGAAGTTATCGACTATCAGCGCTTGCTGGAACGAGACAACAATGAGATCAAGAAGTTGGTCAGCATTTGCTCCAATGCCGGGCTGTTCTTTTTGGACTTGAGAGGAAAAGAGAGCAAATCCCTATTGGCAGATCTGCAGCCCATCATCGATGCTCAGCGCAACTTCTTTGGGCAGAAGCCCGAGATGAAGATGCCGTACGCGAGCCCTCTCGATGGTCGAGGGTAAGACGCCCCGTTTCTAGTATAAGGGTATGGCATTGACCGCTGCATACAGATACGACAGCTTTGACGAGATTTTCGTACAGAGACTCAAGGTTTGTTTGTAATTGTACAGAATTTACATGTACAGAGGCTTAACTGCTATATTTCACAGTTGTCGCGCGAGGAACAGGTTCAGGGCTGTCTTGCTCTGCCTAAAGACCTGCAAGCAGTTGAGACCAAAGTCAACAACGTATCCTCAAGAATTGATGCCATTCTTCGGGACATCTCCATGCTGCTATGCCAGAACTTGGACCCTCCTATTGCGACCAACGTTGTGGACAATCCTAGCAGCACCGGTCTGAGTAACTTGTGTCTGGGTATATCGGCTGCAAAGGCTGGAACTCCAGTGATGGGTGAGCATTTGGACGAGGACCTCCTGACGCTCACGTTCTACGATGAACCGTTTTTGGAGGTGCTGGACAGACAGGCACAAACGTGGAAACTCGTTGATGTGTTGGAACATTTGCCTATTGTGAATGTCGGCGATAGATTTCAGAACTTTTCTGATGGTCGACTGCATGCACCTTTGCATCGGGTTAAGCAGACGCCGAATGAGATAGATCTTATCATGTATGATTTGGATGCAAGTATACAGCAGGTGTGCTGATTTGGTACCAAGGAGGATACTGTAGTCGAATAGTTTTGGGTTTTAAGTTACAGGAAATTTATCTGAAGATAATATTTTGTGCTGGAGCAATCTCTCAATCTGTGAAAAGCCGCAGGCACTAGGAGTAAGTGTTTTTTTTTTTTCATTACGCATGGACATATGCACAGCTGCTCTCTTACTGCATCAGGAGGTAAAGGCACAGAAACTCTAGACAATATCGGCCACTGCTTTTATAAACTCTACATACTCTGAAGTTTTACTTAATGATAACCGTTCACGCCAATACCTTCTCAATCTCCGTCCGTCCATACTCGTAGCCACCAAAAAATTCACAAGACTTGGCGGGATCCGAACTGAGTTCCTCCAAACAGGCTTCAAATCCTATTCTCTTTCGCTCAATGACTTGCCACAGGTAGTTTCTGCCCTCTTTAGCCAGCAACGACTCATCTGCAGCTACCCACACTTCCATGTCAAGAAAAGCGCGAGACAGACCTAACAGGAATGCGCCGTTCTTTTGCGGTCGCATAGACCAGTTGAGCAAAGAGTGTGCAAACTTCGTGACTGCGGGTGAATCCTCACTCAATGGCGCGATGATATCGCCCAGACACGTCGGCTCGGGAACGCTGTGCCTGCGAGCAATTTCACATCCAAGGGCGATGAGGTCTGGGCGATATCCACGACGTAACTGCTCATCCATACCCGCCATGCCCGTGTTTTCTGGGCTGTAGCCCATCTCAGCACGAATAATTTGGAGGATTTTTGACGTCAACGTTTCGGCTGTCTGATATGGCGATGCTACTATGTTCTCCAACACACAAGGATGTACGAACCATAGCGGAAGGATGGCATCAAGCTTGATCTGAGATATTTGCAAGGCGGGCAATGGAACAAAATCGGGCGAGGCGCTAGAAGGGCACACATCTTGGGGTCCAAAGACTGGATGAGTAACAGCCACATCCTGCCGTGGAGGTAGGAATGAGTTTTCCAAAAGGGAGTGCCCTCCAACAGTTTTCCAGTACGCGTCTCCCGGGCGAGCATCCTTTTCCTGGAGAGAGTCGATCCAGGTACGCATGAGTTCGACTTCGCTATCGGTGAATGCGCCAAACATTCTGCCAGTCCAAGAGAGTTCTTTCATAAGCAGGCTCTTGCTGCTATTGCCTCTGTATACCCACGGCCTCGAGTCAGCCAAGGCGTGGAGAAAGCCGTATTTCCACTCATCACCTTTCTCATTGGCAGAGAAGGGAGATGAGAACCACTCTGATAGGCTTTTGCCACCGATGCGGGCTCGGCTGGTGCAGTGGATCTTGCGTGCAAGATTCGCCTTGCGGTGGAGGATCTGGATCAATCTCTCTTCAAACACGTCTGGCGTCTCGCTGTCGTCAAGGGCTTGCGAGAGCAAATATCCGGCCTGAATACGCTTCCACGCCTGGTCACAGTCCATCATGCCAGTCTTGCGCATAAGGTCCATGAAAGCGACAATGTTGGCCAGTGCCATGCCCGAGTGTCCCGAATCAGCATTATCGATTGATACATGCAGAGCGAAGTAGTATGCCGAGATGCCAACTTCTGGGAACTCTTTAGTTGCTCTAAGGCCAGTAGGTGCCAATGCCTCAAAATGCAAGTTTAGGCCCAGTATCTCAGGTAGAAACTCGTTGGGGAAGAGGGAAATGAGCAGTTGCCCGATTGAGTTCCTCCACACTTGCTCATCGTTTAGTTCAGGGTGGTCTCGGATGAATTCGATCGAGTCACATGCAGGAAGATCAACGCCATGGTTTCTCAGCAGATCTCTGTAAATCAAGACGTGGTTTTTCTCAACATCTCCATCGCCTAGTTCTTCGGAAAACACCTGCCATGCGTTCTTGGTGATGTCTCTGAGCACAAATGGCGTCGTGATTTTGTGAACACGACAGAGCCAAGCTCCGTCGATCAAGTTCAAAGGGGCAAGGCGCTTAAGCCATTGGACGGCGTCTTCTTTGGTATTGAACAGCTCTCGAGGGGATCCAGCCGCTCTTCGCCTGACATAGGATTCGAATCCATTAGAGACCTCTTGACGTTCAGCCTCGAGAAACTTGTCTAGGGCTGCTGAGTCGTATTCTTTTAGGTCCAGAATACTGCGAGTTGGTGGCTTGTATTTCGCCATGGCAAACCCGTCTTGCAAAAGTTCTAGAAGCATCTCTTTTGCTGCCGGTAGAATCTCAGGGAACTCTTCGAGGTTTTGTACTTTGTAGTACAGTTCTTTATATAGCGTGACTCGCTCTGCAAGTTTAGCCTCGAGTCTCGATTTCTGATTTGAATCCAAAGTAATGACGCTTTTGGCCTGTCGGCCGAACAATGTACGCCATTTCCGAACCAGGAGGAAGGCAATAGAAAGGGAGAAGAGGGCGAGAATCTTCGTGAAAGACATTGTAAAAGATTTTTAACTGGCGACAATATGAAAGACCGGCCGTATCTCTGACTTGGAATGAGAGTGAAAGAGATTTCAAGATATATGCTAGATTCAGTTGGAAATCAGTTCGATATCACGCGAGACTTTTGTAAAGTGACGACCATGCGTGCCTATTACATGGCGATGCTGGATGCAGCTTATGTATTTTCAATCGAACCAATCGCACGACTGCGTGAAGGACGTGCAAGCCTTGGGCACTCGAGAGTACAGGTACATACGCGTCCCTTTGCCGCTGAAGGATGAAATACTCGCCCTTCATCATGTGTAACCCAGCCCGTGCTTATTCTTACGCCAATCCCATGTTGCTACTGCCTAATTCCACGTGCATGTCTCGGTCAAATATGCTGGTGATGCAAGACTTGACGCCTTCAGGATTGCGTCTTGGCCGTATGCCGGCCATTTCGTTGAGTGTGACTAATAAGCCGCTGTCGAGAATTGGAAGACGGAAACTGGTACAATTCGCTGAGTGAAGTTGCCTAATACTCTAGATGTACCTACCAGACCATCTCTTCTGATTCTCCCAAGGCATGTCAGATACACGAAAGCGAGGTAACATCGCCACAGGAGGTTGATGCCATCTGCTGATGTTTGACACAATCCTTTATAAAGTCTTCAGATTTGGCCTGCCAAATACCGTGCCAATGCCTCCAATGCCGACAATATCCTGTCTGCAAGAACTCACCACAATAATAGGCTTACTTGAGCCTATCTGTAGCCATGGGAAAACTGCAATTCTTTTCCATTACTGGTATACGGATACTAGTAGCTGGTTTTCGTAAGACATTAACCTTCTGAGCGGCTACCATCGCTTCCGCATTCGCATATCGCGAGGCAGAATTGAACTCATTAGTTCCCGTCCCAGCTGACTACTGCATATTACATATGCATCCCTTCCTAGAGATGGTGTAGGTGAGACTGCTGCTAATTGCTTTCCACAGGTGTTTGAAGGATTGAGAGATGTGTCATAGAAATTGGTAAGATGACAGCTTCAGCCTAGAATAATACGCATGTTTCGACCTGAGCCGTCGAGGTCTCGTATACAAGCAATAACGCCATATCGAAATACTGCCGTGGCGACAGCAAAGTGGATTCTGAGCATCCGCGGAGGTTACAATTGCAACCCGCGCGGATCCGCCACCATTCCTTGGGCCAAGCGGAACATCTTGATGCAGCAAAGGATTCGTGTTTTAGATCCTTGCGGTTGATCCTTGGCGGCCACAGTTGGATAAATGATGCAAAATGAGAGTTCAGATCAGGGGGCGGGTATCGGGGATCAACAGAGGGGCCGTCACAAATAGTGGAGTGCGGAGAGGTTTAGGTGCTGACAGGGCTGAGCAGGAAGCCTAGCGGCCGGGGCTAGGGCATAGAATAGCCTGAACTAATCCCTAGCTCTTATTAACTTTCATCTGATTTCATTATTAACCGTAAGCAAAGGATTGATTCATATATAATTTATATACAAGATGGTGTTATAATATTGTTAAATGTTCTATAGCGTAGCTTTAAGAGCCATCTATGTGTTGTTTCACACATGCTTAAAATAGTTGCATTAGCCATATGCAAACGGAACAGTTTCTCCTAGACACGTGGATTCACCTCGACCAACATGAGAAGTGGGTACGTGACCTCATGTCAATCAATGTCCAACTACATGTACCCTTTTGATTCTCAGACTCCTACGTGTACTGTGCATTCAATGCTGGGTGTGCACAAGACAAGATCTAACCAACCCCGGCTAAATGCTGCCCCCCCAGCAGCACTCTAGAACTGTCAACTCACATTTCACAGCCCCCGGGACTCAAACAAATCGCACTTGATCACGTTTGTTGCACATACCTTGCAGAATGGCCACCAAAGTACTGACGGAGCCGCAATCGGTTGAGCTCCAGCCTGTCAAAGCCAATGGCAGCCCTGACTCAGCGTCGGCTGAAGCTCTCTCTGATCCGTCCAGTGGCTCTTCGCCTGCTACTCCAGCAGAAGACGCCAAAACGGCCATCGTCCACTCCAAGCTGCGAGCCACGCTCATTGTTGCGCAGCTGCTGGGCCTGAACCTCTTCAGCAGTTTCTGCAATGGTGTCGTCGTTGTCGGTCTGCCAGCAATGGCGACCTCATTGCACATTGACGAGGGGCTGCTTGTATGGCCGACCTCGGTCTTCTACCTGACTGCAGGATCGTGTCTGTTGCTAGCAGGCTCCATCGCTGATGTGGTCGGCACCAAAACGATGTGCCTGGTAGGAGCCTTTACTGCTGCCATCTCCGCCATGGCCTGCGGTCTGGCCCAAAGCAGCGGCCAATTGATTGCCTTTCGCGCTCTGCAGGGCGTCACAAACGCCATCATCGTTCCCTCGTCCGTCTCCATCATCTCGACCGGCTTGGAGGAGGGACGGCCGCGCAATCTGGGCTTTGCGTGCCTGGGTTTTGCTGGTCCGATTGGATTCTCGCTTGGTTTAGTTCTGGGCGGTGTCTTTGCTGACCGCACCGGCTGGAGGGCCGCATTCTATCTTGCTGCAGCCACCACTTTCGCTTTATTTTTGGCCGGCATTTGGGTGTTGCCGAAGAATGCTGCTCGTCCAAGGAAATCTATTTGGTCCCGGATTTTGACGGAAATTGACATCATTGGGGCACTCATCGGGACTGCAAGTTTGGTGATGCTGTCTTATGTCCTCGCGTAAGAACCCATCGCCAGTCAACCGTTTCTCAGCGTACATGTAGCTAATTTAGGCTGCAGAGTCTTATCCGCCGACATCCACAGCATTCACAAGGCATCTACCATTGCCCTTCTAGTTGTCAGTGCTGTCTTGATTCCTGTCTTCATAGGGTGGATGCAATACCAGGAAAAGCACCAGCGCAATGCACTTATTCCCAACTCGCTGTGGAAGAACTGGGTGTTTACCAGTTGTTGCCTAATGGTGCTCTTCACCACGGCCGTATGCAACTGCATGGAGCTATATAGCAGTCTGTTGTAAGTCGTCGGTAAATTGCAGCAGTCCTTTTATGGATTGAGTTAACACTGGACCTTCTCCAGCTTCCAGCAAGTACAGCGTCATTCTGCGCTGCATGCTTCACTGCAGATTCTCCCGTCGCTTATTTCTGGAGCTCTAACAAACATATCGACCGGCATTTTTGTCAACCGCATGCCAGTCATGTGGTCTGTACTCATCTCCTCGACCATCAGCGCAGTCGCGCCGCTTCTCATGGCCCTCATTCATCCCGAATGGCCTTATTGGTACGATGCTTTCTTCGCCCAGGTAAGTGATGCATAATACATGTACCCAGTTCAGCGCTACAATCGTCTCATGATGTTGAATCATCTCTAACTACATACAGATTTTGACTCCATTGAGCTGCGATATCCTCTTCACAGTTGGCCTCCTCGTCGTGTCAGACGTTTTTCCTACCCACATGCAGGCTTTGAGCGGAGCCGTCTTCAACACTTGCGCACAGCTGGGCACAGCCATTGGTCTAACCGTTACCTCGCTCATTGCCACCTCTGTGACCAATTCATCTTCCGACGCTGATAAAGAGTCGCCCAGCGCGCTTATGGATGGGTATCGCGCCGTCTTCTGGACCATGTTCGCCGCTATGGTATTGACTTGTGTACTCAGTGTGCTTGGATTACGGACAGTCAAGCAATTGGGTGTTAAGCGAGATTAAGTGGTCGCGTTGCCTAAGAAGTATACTCTTGGACATAAAACCTCTCGACACATTTACTTCTCTATAGCTAGGATAATCTATCCTACTATATTCCCAAAAGGTTATAAAGAAATAGAGTCATATATAATAGGGGTCCAGTAAAATTAACTCTGCATTTTAGTTCAAATTGATCTTAAATACGAAAGGCTGCGTACACTGAGTTTGTTGAGTTGTAATACATTTCTCCATATATGTAATGGTTTCGACTTTCAAACGTCTTATCATGCCATTTTATCACTGTCTTTTCAACAATCGCCTACTTTGAATCCTGTCTTGGTATAAACTTTATCTTAGAACCACTAAGCATCGTCCAGAACTGGGGCGGGTAATTGTCAAATCCTCCCTCAGGCACTTTAACCTGAATGTCGAAATTTCTAAACAGCCGCGGGACCACCAACCCAATAATGAGCCTTGCAAGATTTTGTCCAGGGCAGCTGCGGCTTTGACCGCCAAATAGCAGATTGTATCGTTCCAATGTTCTAAGATGGTTTTCGTCGCCGCTAAGCCACCTCTCGGGCTTAAACTCGCCTGCGTCTGGCCCAAACAGATCCCTATTTCTTGCGAATGAGGTCGGGTTAACACCAAGAACCGTCCCTTCTGGAAAGAAATGACCGTGGAGATGAAGGCCATTTCGCGGAGCCACTCTGGACAAGCTGATGTTTGTGACGTGCTGCAGGCGCATCGCCTCTCTTACGCAGGCAGAGGTGACTGTGCTGGGCCTGTCTTCAAATGCCAGCGGCATTCGTTCACCTCTGCACTCTTGCTCAACACGCTTTTGCAGGTCGGGATTGGTGCAGATTCTGCATAGGATGGACACGAGACTGGCGCCCGTGGTATCGTGTCCGGCAGCCACAGATGATCCAGCCATGCCTCTGGCATACCCCACGCCGAAGTCTGGCCTTTTGGCGTGGATTGCCAGTAGCTGCTCCATAAGATCTTGGCCATTCTCAAAACTGGGATTCTCAATTGAGGTGCATCTGTGCACAAGCTGCCCGATTAAGGACTGGAAGATGTATCAGCGACTGAATTCTTAGACAAATGTTATCGCACTCACCGGTGCAATGTGGGCTGGAAGGCCAATTCCGTCTCTCGAATGATTGGTAGGGAGACCCAGAATCCCAAATGCGTATTTCTTTAGCATGGGAAATAGGTCGAGCAAGACGCGCAGAGTGGGCAAATGGCCCAAGACGGTTGTCCGACGCCAGAAAGCCACGTTAAGCTCGAGGTCTCCCCAATCATGGCCCTGTTCAAGAATATTGTCTGGTGATCCAGACCAACTTATGCTAGTTAAGCATTCTAAATAGTGAGTATGACGTTGATGATTCAGCCATCTTGGATTCAAGAGGATTATCTTACCTAAAATCGTGATATGCATCCATTCGCTCGTTTCGACTTCTTCTCCATTCAGTCGATTAAGCCTCTCGCAGACCCTTTGCATGGCTTCAACGACCTTGGGTTCGTATCTCTTCAAATTGCTAGCCGTGAATGCTGGTCCGCCGCTTCTTCTTATCAGCTGGTAGCGTGCCATGTCTGTTTCCGCTAGAAGATGACAGCCGTCTATATGATGGCGCCTGATGAACAGATCCAAAACACCAGATGAAAGCCTGGTCCCCTCTATACGCAGCCATTAGCGCCACTTTAAAGGGCTGACACAGACAGGACCACGTCACGTACCGTACCACGGGCCCTTGTCGAGAGGCGTACTGGACTCTGTATGCGAGTGAGTTAGGCTCAACGTCATCAGAAAGGAAATATAATACTATATATCGCATCGAAAGCCTCCTTGCTATTGCATACGACTTCGTTAGGAGCGGTCCTGACGACTGGGCCATACCTGTCGTGCAATGCGAGTTCATAAGGCTTCGCAACAATGATCTTTCGAATTTGCCACCAAGGTGAGATGGCAGCGAGCTTGGGGCCAGGCAGTGCAGCCAAAGGGTGGAATAGCAGCCGGTATGTTGCCACGAAGACGAGGGACAAGACACATGTAATGAGAATGGCAATCCATTGCGTGGATGCTGCTTGAACTATGAAGGCCATTTTAGCTGATTACACTACATTTCACAAAGGTTCAAATGTAAAGCAGAAACGATTTATATATCCGAGTCTAGCAAGTCTATTTAACAAACATTCAATAGGCAGTCAGATTCCACATCAAGTCTTCACACTAGTTTCCCTAGTGTTTGGGGAAATCAGCAATAACCGCAACTGTCACTAGTGAGAATTAAGGGCGGAAGAACTCTAGCGATGGGGGCACCCAGCTCGTTTTATAGCTCGCGTTGATCACACCCCTCTTCTTATCTTCGATTAAAGAGATAGAGCCTGATCTTACAACTACTGTTTTGAGAAACTGAGGCCGGGTGTTGGCCAATGAGAGCCTCTGTCATTCGAAGGGCGCGCCGATTGTGGCCGCTTAGCTAAGCCGAACTTGACAGGCAAATCTCGCTCTACCTATGTGATATGTTTGAGTTGAGAGCTTACTGTTCATCTTACTGATAGGTGTAATCGGATTAAGATGGGGAATCGGAGCCAGATGGGGTATCAGATGAAGAGTATTTTATGCATTTTAGATGTCAAAGATTTTTTCCTTCTTTATTTTCTCCTTTTTTCTGTCTTGTCTCGTATTGCGAAAACTCTTCCTAGTTTGACACAATTAGGACAATGCATCATCAAATAGTCGCACTAGATGCATGGCATGTGCCTATCCCGCTGGATCTTTTGCAATTGCCGGCCCCGCACTCATACGACTTGAAACTCTGCGAAACTAAATCAACCTCGACTCAAGAGATCCAGGATCGCGTCAAAGATGCCACCATCATTGCCGTCACAATCACCCCGCTTGACGCTTCAACTCTGTCAGCAGCTGTGACGCCAAACCTCCGATTGGTGGTGGTCATTGCATCCGGCACCGATGGCATTGATAAACAACAATGCAAAGCAAGAGGCATCAGGGTGCTGAATTCACCCAGCGCGAATACTGAGAGCGTTGCAAACCATGCCATGGCAATGTATTTCGCATGCCGACGCCGTTTATTGACGATGCACCACACCATGTTTAGAACAGACGAATGGAAGAAACAAGGAACGGTTACACGAAAGATGCTTTCTAGAGATCAGGGATTACCTTTATCCTGTCAAGAAGAGGTTGTGGGAATTATTGGACATGGTGCAATAGGTATGTACCCACGATAGAGCAAAAGCCAACTCTTTCTGACATAGGTGAACAGGTCAACGTATTGCTCAGCAATGCCGCGGCCTTGGAATGACTGTCTTGATTGCTTCTCGGAAAGCCGCAGCATTGAACGCTACCGAGCCGACGCCGATCGGGACAGAAGCTTCCAATGGTAGAACCCCGTTCACAGAGGTTCTGCGACGATCATCCGTGATTGTACTATGCTTGCCCCGCAATCCAGAGACCATCAATATGATATCTGATGATGAGTTCCGGATAATGTCTCGAAAGACTGTCGTGGTAAACGTCACGCGTGGGGGCATTGTAGATGAGCATGCCCTACTCAGAGCTCTAAGAGGCGGGCTGATAGACGGGTGTGCTACGGATGTATTTCTTAAAGAGCCTTCTGGAGCAGGTGACCACTGGCAGGACGGCGATAGCCCGATTCTTAATCTGAGTGAGGCCGAAGCGGACGAGGTGAATTTATTGGTCACGCCTCATGTGGCGTGGTGCGCAATCACAACTATAGACAACTATTTGCAGACTTTTAAGCAGAACGTCGAGAATTGGTGTGCCGGAAAGATGACCAACGTTGTGGTCTAGCAAGGACTAGGGACAAAATATAGCTACTCATTCTGACAATTAGTGTATTATTATGACTTGTTATTCGCCGAAATGCGCATCTATTTGCTCTTACAGTGTTTCACAGAACAGCCTCTTGTTCAATCCCAGCGGGATTGATAGGCATGATCCGAGTAAAATGGCGCTCGCACTATTTGTCCTTGGAGTTCCACATGACGCCGTTCCGAGAATAGTAATCACTGCTTGTCCAGGAATGGATAATGGTGTAGTTTAGCGCCTGAACCTGGCAACTAAGAATGCGCCACACATTTCAATGAGACTCAAGGTAGCTGAAGTAATATTTCGGCAGTATCGTATTATAAAATGCTATAAAAAGGGCCAAAAATAGTCGCTTATACACTCGCAGCAATCCAAGGCTAGCTTGACCAGGCTATCAATCTTAACAAAGCTATTCTAAGTGTCCTATTTCGTGTCGCAGTTGGAATAATTGTATAACCATGCCTGCAATCAGCCGTTGATTGTATCTTTGTCATATGTTCTCAGATATTTCTTTGCGCAATCTCTCTACGAAGCGAAAAGGTCAAGAATACGGTACTATGAGACCGATAAATCTGACATCGGCCAATCACTTTGCGTTTCATCTGCCGTGGGAGCAGCCAGACAGAGCTGTGCGTCTCTCAATGCGGGCGTTCAAAGTGGGAATTCGGCCCTTCATCTCCCAACTCAAGACTATGTTGTTTCCCGTTAAGATACAGAACCTCTCGGGCAGTGATGCCGCATTGTTCATACTATCTATAAAACTTCTATCATCAGTCGCATTTTACAACCGTTTCGAGAATGCTAGCCACGGAGTATATGTAGATTCATCGTATATTGACTTCCACCAATCAAGTGAGTTCATGAATACCTTTCAGATGCTCTCAAGTAAGCAGCGCTAGGTCCTGTATTTAACTCGCGCCGCAAATCTGCCCACAGAACCTACATCTTGCGGTAATCACAGATACTGATATTTATCATTGAGTTCATTCCGCGATTCAGCAGATTCATTTGGAAGACAAAAACAGCTGGCATTGAGTATGATCTGCGATTAGCGAGATGGGCGACTTTCTTGTCTGGGAATTAGCGGATACAATCTCTCATGTTCTCAAAATGCTCAGTCATCCATCCAGCTTTACGCGGTGGGCTTATCCTACCTTTAGCAGATGAGCGGCAGCTTGATTTTGCTTATGAACCCGACAGAGTTCATTTCTGGGAGACAACAACATTGGAGTGCTGTCGGACTTTATAAGGTAGCGAGGGTGCGCTATATAAATCGTCTCCATGATATTCGGACAAACGGTAATTTAGTTCAAGACGGGGAACAATGAGAGTTATTCTTGGGTGCTGAAGCCAGCCAATATCTCAAAGTACGAACAGGTTATGATAGAAAAATGACTTCAGTAATTTTCGCATTTCTCTTCTCGTTGTATCAAGACTTGGAAAACGTCAGGCTGCATCTGTTTTCAAGCTTTATGCTTATCATGCATCGGTTGATGGCCGCATACTCTCCAAAAAATGGCCAGTGGCTTGTTTACGCTGAAGAAAACGATTCGGTTGAAGTTACTAGTCTACACACGAGCTGGACAGTCTCTCTAGATGGTCTAAACATTCGCACAGTCCATAATGGAATCATCCGCCATTAAGCGTTATCAGCCATTCGCCTGAAACCATGTTTCGGATGTTCATTCCATTATTAACGATAAACTGCCCGTACCAGATACCAAGCTCTCTATCTGGGCCGAGGCTCATACGTCTGTCTAGGTCAACGTCATCTACTTCGTGCTGGGATCTGAAGAGATTCAATGCCCACCGATGCTTCCGGCATCCTCACCGTGGTCGAAGCCACTGAAGACATGAACGCCACCATTCTAAGCGTGTCTCTGCCGGGCAATACCTTGACCACCGTCATCTACCCCATGGCTGGCGGGTTTGACAAGGCCTCGGCGCTCAACACTTCAAGCTCACTTCGTGGAGCAGCCTTTGCCGCAGACGAAGTGGCAGGAGGCGTCCTCGACACGCAGTATCTGCCTCTCGTCGATCCCAAACATCAGACGCCCAAATAATCGACGCGGCCAAGAGCATGGCCCATTTCAAAGAAGAATATGCCAAGCTGAAACCACCGCCAAAGACGTCAAGGCTCTTTTACCAGGAAAAAGCTCCGCGGGTTGTGCGCCAACGTGCCCGTGGTGCATAGAAAAGGCCAAACGGCCTCAAGAGCTTCTTCACAGCAGTGGGCGATTTCTTCCGCCAGGTCGGAAAGGTATTCAAGGACGTCGTCAAGTTCGTCAAAGAGGCCGCCGAAAAGGTCTGGAAGTTTGTCGTCCAAATCGGAGAAGTAGTCTTGAACGCCGTGGTTGAAACGGTCAATGCCGTCGTCGACGGAGTGAAATGGGTCTTTGATGTTCTCAAAACGGGCTGGGACTACGTTGTCTGTCAAGTTTGTAAAGTTCCTCTTCAACTGGAATGACGTTAAGAGGATAAAACAGGTTCTGCACAACATTACCAATCTCTTTCTCAAGCATCAGCCAGCTCGATGGCCATAGAGTCACTTGGCAACAAAATCGATGATGTTGCCGATTAGCTGCGAGATTGGGCTGGCATCTCGGACTGGTCCTCTCTGGGCGATGTGGCTGGGAAGCCGCCTGCCGATAGCGGCCAAGATCCTTCCAAGGGGCTTGACGGAACTTCGCTGCTATTTGCCAATCACTATCGTAGTTAGGTCAATAAGCTTGAGGTGTTTAGTGTCCTACCGGATAGCAGCCCTTATGAAACTGCAGACCTTATCCAAATCCTCTTGGACGCCATTTCCGACCAAGGAGAAGTTCTGTCACAGGTTTTCGACGACCTCCAGGAACTGCTAAAGAAGGTTGCTAAGTTCAGTGTTACTGAGATTCTCAAAGGCATTGCTGGTATCATAGGCAGCGCGGCGTTATCCTCGGTCAAGGTGGTGGTCGATGCCTTGTTCCGTGTATTGATTAGTCTTGCGGATTCGGCGATTAGTCTCTTGGATGCCAAACTCCACATCCCCATCATCTCAGATATCCTCAACGCGATTGGGGTTCCTGATATTTCCATCTTGGATCTCTTCTGCTGGATTGCTGCCGTCGGTTACACCGTCCTTTACAAGGTCATTCAAGGCAAGGCGCCGTTCCCGGATACCAGCGACGTCAGAGCCATGATTGCGGCCAAATCCTGGCCAGAACTGCAATCGGTCTTCTCCAAGAAGCCTGCGGCCATCATGGACGGTCCCCTCGACGGTCTCTCGGACATTGAACGGCTAATGCACGTCACTGGGCATAGTGTCTCAGGCTTCTTCTTATTCGCAACAAATTTTCTCGCCGGTTTCGAAGCCGCCTTGCCGTCGGGAGATAATTCGTTCGCCATGCCTTCAGGTATCGTGGGCCTGATTGTCTTTGCAACTGAAGCCGTGGCCGCAAACGTTGCGCCTCGGTATCCCGTCGAGAATGAGGCCGTGGGGGCGTGGTATGGGCTACGTTCGCCGCCACCATAGTGAATCAGCTCATGTTCGGCGCCCCGAATCTCCTAGACAGGTTCAAGGCCTCCAGCAGCAAGTTTGCGTGGCTGATGCTCAACGACGGGCGGGCGGTTGGTGCCATTATCGACTCGATCCTCACGATACCAACGCTGTGTTGTGCCGGTTACCACTTCTTTGAGCTGAGCAAGAAACCCGCCGGCCAGGAGCGCTCGGCGGCGATTATCGGTGAGGTTTACAATATTGCATCGTGCACGGCGACCATTTCGTATGCGGTGACGGTCAACTTGAAGGGCCCCATTACCAAGCCGATACCCATTGCCATCATGGCTCTTGCTAATGTAACCGGTGCTGGACTGCAAACAGCCACTTTTTAAGTAGACTCTTTCCTCCATCCATCTATCAGCGGGTTCAGAAGAGCTTTGAACAAAGATGGAAAAATATAATATGCGACTCTTTACAATCATACCCTAATAAACACTTACGTGAACATCAATCAGCTTGAGATTCAATGCTTACCGACAGTGAGAGGAGTCCTCCAAGCATAATCATGTATGCATGTAAGCAGCTTCCAATAAGCTCGGCCGCAGTCTCCGAGTAAAATAGAGATACCCTTGAGCCACTCCAGTGATCCGTATTGGAATACCTCGAAAGGCAGAATCGACCAAATCCCGGATGACGGCCGTTTGTGCTCCGGAGCCACGTATAGATTCAGCCCCGATTTTAGCCGTTTTGGGAAATCCCATGCGAGATGCCGGGATGGCCCAGTATCGTATCCACTAGATCCGACGTCACGAACCAGCACGCCCAATAATAAGCCTGTTGCTGATGAGAGCCAGCAGTGCTTGGAGGCTCTACTCCGTACCACGTCTCACATCTCATATTGTATCTACTGCTTACTATTGCTGGGTTAAGTTACATCAGGATTCATCCATGCGTTATCTTTCTGCAATTACACGAACACAATTGGCTTCTTCTCACTACTGTTACAGTTATCCACCATAAACACTATAATCCGTCTTCTCTCTATCCGGTTCTTGTTCCCGCCATTCTGTCCTGTTGATCCCCTTCTAAAGAATCTCCAAGTGATCACGAATATTAATCATCCGCTGAGGCTCCTTTCTCCAACCCAGATATGTGGTATATTATCGTCGACGCTGTTGTTGATCTTGCTATTATTCCCATTTGTCAGTTCGTTCATCATATCGCGTGATTACTACAGGGCGAGTATATGAGAGTAGACTAACCTGACTTGCAGCCTGTGCCGTCTTGGTCATGTAACTAGGCTGGCTACCAGTATTGAATGCCGACTGTTCAGATTGCTCAGTGCTTTGGTGGCCCTCTTTTTCCTTTGCTTGTTTGTTTCTGTACTTCTTCACAGCGGCGAAAATAAGCATTGTTGGCTTTGTTCTGTCTTGGATAATATTATAGAATATTATTCCAACGGTAGAAGAATGACAAATTCCAGCTGTACAAAGGCTGAGTGGGTTTATTAAAAGAAGAATGAGTTTCAAGTTGGTTCAAAGGAAGGGAAGACGCCATTTATAGCCAGATTTCTGGAAAGATCGCGGCATTCACAGCCTTGTACCTCGGCGCAGCCATCAGCCGTAAATTGGTAATGAATGCATGTAAGCGAGATTCCTACACACGACGGCCATCAACATAGCCTTGACAGGCTTTCCCAGCTTCTCCACTTTACGCGCAGTCTGTTGGGCATTCTGGTCAGCTGTAAAAGGAGCCTGACGTTATCATACTAGATAATGCGTCTCTACAAGATGAGAGTGGGTCTCTGAGGCTTCTTGTCGGAAGATCGGCGTTTATCTTCCCTACGCAGATACTTGGGAACCTACAGAAAGTGTAGGTGCAGGCACTCAGTCTCTTCCTTCGTAGCACTCACTCCCATGCAAGGCTTCTAGTCCCCGGAAATTATTTATGCCAATGTTAGAATGATAATAAGCAAGTGCATAGGGCTAGCTGAAGGATTTCCGAATTCTTTTACCCCTTATTTTGTTAAAGCCAAGAATTGACGGTAGAATAGGTACATCAATCCAAGAGCCATCGCACCTATATCCTCCCTCAAGCATATAGACGATGCTTCACTAGAATGTACAGGATTCAGATATCGAATTAATAGGTTCAGGGCCCATTTGTAAGGTACGGCACTTCTCCCTTGTCTTTGACGCAGGGAAGCCGCTCGCGGAAGATAGTAGTACTCTGGATTGCCTCTAGACGCTTCTCATCCGCGGCATAGTCCGGATTTTCCTCGATGATGGCCACCTCTCTGACAATCTTGACCATCTGGAACCGGCAAGCACGGCGGGCGAGGTCAAGTCCCTCAATGGTCGCTTCAAAAGGGCGTTCATCGGTGATGGGAGAGAGGGTGTCGGTTTTGGCAAAGTCCTCCGCTTCACTGGGCCAGCCTACAAATTCCTTCTTGCCAGCGTGGATGTCGAGAAGATGAGTTCCCAGAGTGCTGTATATCTGCGTGAACTCAAATCAGCCATATTGTCATAAGGCTCCTTTGGAGTGAATGAGAGGACATACATTCTTGTAGTCCATGTAGGCATCCAGCAGTGAGTTGGTGACGATGGCTGCGTTTTCGTAATACAGTGGCTTCAGATCCGGGGGCTTCAGGGCCATGTAACTCTGAAGCGTCTCATACTTTGTGAGGATAGCACTGAAGAGGATTAGCTAGTCTTCGATATTGAGCCAGAGGGTTACCAAAAGACTCACTAAGTACGCTGGGAAGTGCTAGCAACAAGGTCAGGAAATTTGGCGGCCGTCTCCATCAAGGTTTGAATGGTCCAAGGTTGGTCCGCTGCATCTTATTAGAGTAGGCTTCAAAAAAAGGGTAAGGTGGCAAATATATACCTGGCTTGATGTGGCCGCCACCCGACCAGCCAACCTGGATGGTCGTGTCTGTCTGCGACCAAAGATTGGACATGTCAATGTCATCTTTGGCAATGGCTTTGATGTCAGTAGCTCCAACGCTCAAAGCCATTTCTGCCCTGTCCGAAATTGGTCAGCCATGGGCTACATACAGCAACAAAATCGACAAGCAAGAAATGAGAAGAATACTCACTCGGCTTTGACAGTCGCGCGCTTGTCTTTGTTCAAAACTTTCAAGCTCACTAGAGCATTGAATTCTCCGCCTTCTAGGAAGCCAGATATGAAACAGTCTCCAAAGACGGAGCGAAACGTCTCTGCGTTGACCGAGGAAAGGCCCTGGAAAACGAGAGCATCTTTGATGTTGATGCTCTGGTTGATGACCTTGACGGAGATGAAGATGTTGAGATCGCTCTCCTTGAACTTGTCTAAGTCGACGAAAGAGCCTTTGCCGGAGCCACCAATGGCACCATACTTGATTGGCAGAGAGCTAGAGATGTTCATTTCATCAGTTATTTCACTGGAACAGAAGAGATTAGTTGATAGGAAAGTGCAGCAAGTTGGATAAAGGAGCCATTAATACCTGATTTTGTTCACAAACCGTGAAGTATACGCGACAGTCTGACTTGGTCCACCCTTCGATAATTCTCGCGCATCGGCGAAGCCATCGTTGGTGACCGAATTGTCGAAGCGGTCGGGGTCAATTACAACAGCGTCGTCAATGCAGATCTGCTGCGTGTATGAGTTGAAGCTGAGGCTGTTAGATTCGTCGCCTTGGTTAGACTTCAATTGCAGAGCTCACCCTTGGCCTACTTCCTGTCAGCATTCTATATGTATACATATATATAAAGAATTCTTTTGCAATATACGAATAACGTACCCAGACGCATGGCATTGTTGTATGGCGCGATAATCAGAGACATGATGATTTTGGATAGCACCAACACAGACGAAGAAAGACAAACGAAGCAGTTTCTTAATCTAAGCAGATGTATTCCACCGGGCTACTTCTGCACATGATAAACTTTAAAGGATCAAGCTCAATGGTTCAACAAAACTTCTGGTCGGACTTTGATGAGCTACACGAACCCAGTTTACCGTTTCTGTACTTTCAGCTGAGATGGAGCATGCCACTATCGCTATGACAGGGGTAATAGTAGGGCATGCAGCGGGCTAGTTTTCAATAGCGCGCCGTCTTAAGGGCTGTAACGCATGATCTATTGCTTCTACTCCATATTACAGGCACTGCTGGAACTGGTATGAGCAAATAACATTGACGCATCTGCGAGAGCTGAATCCCTCTTCCCCACAAGCCACCATTCTCTTCCCGCAAATGGCTTCAAAATTTGCCACGCGCCTCGGGTAATCCCGACGCTTGGACAGTTCTAAAACTCGAAGCGTCATAAGAGATGTGAGCTTAGCTTTGGCGGAATCTTGCAAAGGCACTTGGTGAAGATGTGCGTGTACTAGTATTTAAGCTGCGATGTCCTTCTAGTCGTTCGGTTTGGTTGAAGGCGGCAATGGCAGCTGAGAACACGCTTTGGAGCCTGTACATGCATGTTGTCTGCAAGATGCTGAAACCGTGAATACAGCATTTATTCATTTCAGAAACGTACGTAATAGAAGACGTAACTAAGCTCCGGGCCAACCAATTGGCCAACGCTACACCAATCTTTCTCCTCTCAATCTAGACCAACACCGTGGGCAGCCATGCCACTCCCCGGAATCGCCAAAGCCAACAAATTAGCTCTTCTAACCGCTGACACCCTCGATCTTGATGCCTTCAATCCGCTCATTCCCACGTGGCCCGGCAATCAATCACACAGTCTCCGATCCGGCTTCCATAGCAGGCCCGCGCGTTTCCCCTCGGGATGTTCTTCCGGTCTGCGGCCACGGCCGATGGCGAAAACTCAATTGCTATGCAGTCGGCATTCGACACAGATGTCCTTTGCTCAGCGCCGATTTAGTTCACGGTATACGATGGCGGCGGCAACTTCAAGTCCTCCGAGGTGATGAGCTCGTCGGCGTTGATCTGCCTATTCTCCCATGCAACGTCTCCGTACATTATGACAAGGACATCATGGAAAATAGAGACTCAAACAAGGCTCGGGTCCCCACGAGCTACCGCGCCGGCTCAGTGGCTTTTGTCCGTCCTCTAGAACTCTTCACGGATACCTTTGGAGTTACCATGAGCAATCAGTGAGAACATCGTCGAGTTCTGCAGCACTCAACTGTGGTACGTGTAAGTGCCTACTCGACGATTGCACAAGCTCTCGTCTTAAAGGCGGTGCAGATGGGCATGCCCAATTTCCAAGCCGCAACCAATAAAAGGGGAGGCAGCTATAAACATGCACGGGGATTAGATGATTCTGTTGCCAAGATTTTGAGTGAAATCAGTGTGAGAAAAGGCAGGCTGGTGACTCGAGAGCAATGTGCGCAGTTACGCGGGTGTGCAGTGGTTGTAGAGCTTTTGCGGGTGCCGGTGGAAAGCTTGCGTCAGGTACGGTATTGGACTATTGCACTGTAAAGGCTATAAAAATTCAACAAGCAGTCGGTATATAAATTGACAGACTCAAGCAAATAGAAAATCATGGCCCCTGATCCGAAGACTACTGGGCAGTCTTAGGTACTCATATTCGTATCGCCCCGTCAAACAAATCATATAGCTTAAAAAGAGAGGTACCATACTATCTGCATAAATACTAGCCAAAAAGAGTTGTTTTACTTTCAACGCCTGGAGCACTTGTTTCCACTAGCACAAAGTCAACCAATATATAGTGTCTAATCATTATCTATAAACCCATGTGTACTATCAATGTAGTAGTAAAAATACCCTGAACTTGGCCAGAGATTATCAAGTCCAAACCCTAAAGAGCTGCAGACCTCCTTAGTTAGTGTTGCGGTCTTGGCTGCGATAGTCTTTGAGGACCGATGCAAAGCTGCCGTCGTAGCCAGTCCTCTCCATCCATTCCTTCACACTCTTGACTCTTGTCGGCAAGATCTCGTCAAGCAGTTTATAATCCCGCTTCGTCAAATTATCCTTCCAAGTATTCCAGAATCCAGAAAAGTTCTCGCGGAAAGTGAAGAGCGTTGGCTCATTGGGATTGGCAGCATGGCCCACCTTGGCGTCTGGCTCGGGGAAAATGCCCAGCTTGAAGTACTCGTCCAAAGTCACGTCTTTGTAAACCGCCTTCTTGCCGGTGACTTCCGTGAAGACCGCTGCGAGATCCTTCCATGCGATATCCTCCGTGGCGACATGCAATTCGAGTCCGTTGCTTCGAGAGGGGTTGTCGAACAGCCAGCGGGCATAGGCACCGTAGTCCTCAAGATAGATGAGGGGGCATTCCCCGTCACCAAGAGGGACTGCAAAAACGAGAGTACTGGGGTCACTGGGATCCGGGAATGGCCGAAGGATCTCTGTGAGGCCTTCGATGTATAAGCACGAGGTTAAGACGGACCATGCCATCGGGGTCGTAGGCTGGGCAGCGATGTAATCAACGACTTTTCCTTTGCCGTCGAGATGACCAGTTCGATACTTGGGATCATAGTTGCCCAGCTTGGTGGCATACTCAAGGCCGGCATAGACAAAATGCTCGATGCGGAACTCTCTCGCCAGTTCATACAGTCGAATGCCCCAGTAAATCTCGGCCATTTCACCCGTAGCAAATCCATTGGTGTTGGCAAAAACGTACGAAACGCCCTTGAACGCTTCGCGAAGGGTAGGCTCGTGGTAAGAGTCGCCTTCGAAAATGGTCACTCCTGGCAGCTTCGCCAATTCCTGAGCTTCCGCAGAGGACGCGCTTCTGGTGATAACGCGAACGGCATACTTGGAATCAGATGCCAATGCTTTTCAATAATTGTCAGTGGCAATTGGTGCTATAGAAGAAGATGAGACCAACCTTTCACAACGGGCACTCCTTGAGCTCCCGTACCGCCAATGACCAGGACAGTTTTCGTAGTGTTTGACATTATGCAAGATTGAGTCTTGAAAGTGATTTGAGAAAGTTTGTGATAGAAGATGTTGAGTTGAAATTGTTTGTGAATTGATTGAGATGTCTGTCCAATATAGGGCAGGCAGACCGTTCTTTATACCTATTTCCATTCACCACATGTCGCCTTCAGCAATGAAGCCAATTGGCGTAACGCAGAAGACTTGATTATGGATCACATCGCATTCCCTGGGCAAATACTCTCGTAGAAGCTTCCAATGACAAATTTTCAGATTGAGTTTGCGATGGGCAGAGTTTGGCTACGTCACTGTTCCATGAGATAAGCCGGCTCAGCGACCTCTATTGTCAGCTATACAGTATCAAGAGAAAAAGTATGCCCGACTTGGCGTTGCAGGTTAAGCGAAGGATCGATTACTGATCAAGCTGCAACTACGACGCACAGTGGTTGCCGCTGAAGGCTGAAGCCACGTTAGGCGCATTACCGATTACTGATCAAGCTGCAGCTAATGGCCGCCGTCCAAAGCTGAAGCGATGACTAAGTGATTTATCGATTAATGATCAAGCATCATCGCAGACGTCGTTGGAGGCCGAGGCTGTGACTAAGAACCAAGTCAGGATTAATTCCTTCAGCATAGTCTAGAAGCTCTATGCAGTGCACAGCACGTTTGTGCCTCATGAAGTATGCTTGGTTGTTAAGGTTAGCTACAGTGTGGGCCAAGGTCGTCACTATTTGCGCCCGGGCTCCTATCAAGCGAACTGCCGAACTCGCACGGCCGGATTGGGGCTTTAGATAGATTCAACTCTATTAGCCAGACAAGCCAGACAAGCCAGACAAGCCAACAAGCCAGCCTCGTTATCAATCCTGATCAACAGAGCGGCGTTATCGAAAGTTTCTAATCAGCTCACTTTGTTAAACCAAATGTTGCCTGACCTGACTGGTGCAAGTTGGATTTGCCTCCTACTGTTATACGTAGCTGCGTAGCCCAGCATGCAAACAAGTCATTTCGACCAATCAGCGACTTAATCTGAAGCTCGGTAAAATAGTTTTGCTTACTTCTACAAGTAACAATTTGCCTGAATAATCTGTCAATCGCGGCTATTCAAATATCTTGGCGCCCTAGCATGGGTTGTGGACTTTCGTACACTCCGTCCAGTGTCGCCCGATACAATACGGATCTGCCGACGTCTTGCTGTCTTTTTGATAGAATCTTTTATCAAAGGCTTTCTCTGATAGGCAAGATTATGTGACATAGCATTAGGCGTGTAGATATATGCGCCTATGTGCGGGAATGGCTTACATATTTAGATTACTGATCAGGAACATACTAGTATACTGCTGATAATTGGTGTATTGAATCAGGTTCCTTTTTTTGATGATCAATCTTGAAGGATAGAGTTTTCTGAATTTTAGATAAAAGTTGGTCAAGGCGCTGAGATTCAATGCATCTCTTTTTTTCCATCATCTTCATCAATTCTCATTCAACGAAAGTCTTCTCTTCATCACAATCAAATAGCAAACACACTTCGCATTCGCCAAGATGGTAACCGGACCAGTAGTCGAGATGTTGGCACGCAACAGGTACTACCACGGAGAATAACAATGGGGTCAACGAAGGCACTGACAGCTTACAGCAAATTTATCAATCATTACAAAGCCCCGCCTGCGTTGATGCAGATGGTCAAAGGGATGCGGGCCTCGAGAGCTGGGGTCGTCGTCTTGTCTTGTTCGGACCCACGACTGAACCCGTATCAAATTTTAGGCATCGACGAAACACTTAGTACGTTCTGATACCTGGTCATCGCTATGTCCCCCTCAATGAAATTAGTCGTACATATGCCAGAAAGTGGTTTGCTGTTTACCTGCTTACGCGGACTTATGAACAGAGGCTACCATGGTGCGAAATGCCGGAGGTAGAGCATTTGACGCAATCCGAACGCTGTCGGTACTCCAAACTATTGGTGCACCAGGGACAATTGTTGTTATGCATCATACTGGTAAGTTTGTCATAAGACAGGATCTGATAACACGCTACAAGACTGATACGAGGTAGACTGCGGAATGACCCATTTTCACGATGCCGACATTAAGAAAGCGCTTGTGGAAATCGCGCCAAATGAAAAATCTTCAATTGAAGCTAGTAGATTTGGAGAAATTAAAAACAGGTAAGCTTCATGCAGGAATGGTAGCACATCATTCTAACAATCGCCACAGCATCGAGGAGAGTATCAGGGAGGACGTTGCACTCCTCAAGGCTTCGCCTTTAATCAAGGACGACACGCAGATAATCGGTCTCGCATATGACACCGCTACAGGTGCTCTCACTGAAGTGGACGATTCAAAGAGCGCGTTATAAGTTTATAGAGTAGCATGATTGATATACATAGTACAGTTGAGCTTTATAGAGATGATAATATATGGGTGGTCAACTAAATTCTGTCTGATGTGTGATATTACTGTTGTGAGATGAAAAAAAACTTGCTCAAACTGAACACAAAGTGGAAACAGTACCTGTAGATATGGCACTCGCGCCAATGACCAGGTTGATACAAAACATCCAGCCCCATGTGGTCGGCGACACACTGAAGACACCGCTAATGACAGACCCAGATACCACGCCGACTCCCCAGGAGCAGCCAATGATGGTGATGAATGTGCCACGCTTCTCGGGCGCCATGAGCGCCGGCATGATGCTGAGGCTACGGAGATAGAAGTCGGAGCCGCTCATGCTGGCCAGCAGGCGGCTAACAATCAGGGCGTTGACGACGGAGGTAAATAGATTGCTGATCGGCATGATCACGGCAGCCGAGCCCATTGAGAATCCGGCGCCCACCCAGGGCAGTTACTCGGCGTGACCAAAGGTCTCTACGATGGACCCCTGTACGTCTGCTGAAATGGTCGTATCAAGGCCGCATATAACGCAGCTTACAAATAAAGGCAGCAGAAGGAGAATACGCCGCAGCCCTCTCAGTTGGTGCTGTGCTTGATCGTCCGAGATATTTTCCTTTCTGTTTTTTCGATTTTATTGCGAGGATAGGTGTTGCTGTTGGACTCGCGGTCGATAATATTGAAGCCTTTAGACGTGAGAATGTTTGGCGCTGCATCATGGCCGGTCGGAACCTCGGCTTTCGTTAACGATACCATTTCTGGGGTGAAACAAAAGAAACATTCTCTTAAACAGACAAATCTTGACTTGGAATGATGCTGACCTATGCTGTGACTCTATCGGAGTACTGTGTGGCTATTTCAAGTAGAATCAAATGATACACTCTCTTGAGGCTGCTTTTCTGTCGTTATATAGCTAGGAAATCTGTTCTCGGTGGACCCAACGCCTGCAGCAAGCAGAGCAGAAAAAGTCGATTACCAGTGGACTTGTTTACAAATCTTCCCTCTGTTGAGACGTGGTATTACTTATTTGCGCTATTTGGTAAAATTTATTAAAAAGTCCCTGTGTATTGAAGCAAGTAGCGAAGGATGATAATGACATTTGGAAGAGGGCATCGAGGCATGCAGCGGTACACTATGCAGGCGGACTATCTTGGCAATGGATTCAATTCGTTGCATGCCAGCTCTAGCGACTACTAGGCTTGCATTAGCGCTAAGATCTTGGCCTGTAGTGGTTAAGCCCTCCCGTATGGAACTTACTCAATTGGGCATATGGATGGGTCCAAGATCTTGACCTGCTTCGAGGGATATTCTCAACACGACGCAAGTTGAACACTGCGTTGGCAGAACTCTGCCTTGATATATGTTTTCTGAAGAAGTCAGCTGCTGATGAGCGTTTGAAGATAGCATAGGCAATTGGATAAAAACAATTCGTATCAACACAATTCCCGCGTCTGGCCGTTATATCTCAGCGCCTAAAAGAAGCACGGCTCTCAACGCTCATGTGTTCAAAATTGGCCTGACAATGGGCGGGACTTATCCTGTGACGTGTGCGAGATGCAAAAAGCATGCGGCATATACGCGTGTACATGCATGTAGTCTTGATTGTGTTGGGTTCGAGTGAGGGCCGAATCAAAAAAGCATGCAGAGAGGGCATATTATGGACTCGGGTGTCTTACGTTGGCTGACCCGATAAAAGTTGTTTCCTTCTAGATTAGAATAATCTTGGCTCTGATATTGTAAAACGAATATATAGATAGGTAGGTAGTAAAGGCATCTTCAGTTAAAAACCTACAGCGTGCTTTGGGCTCCAAGTAAAATACTAAGTACAAAAGAGCATAAATGAAAATATCAACTGCTAGCTAGGGAGTATTATTTATTCTACAAGATTCCAAGACGAGAAACATCAAAAAAAAATGCCCAGGCCCAAGGATTCGAACCCCGGATCTGCCACCCCCGGAAAGGGCACGTATCTGCACAATAGGCAACTCCGTGCGTCAACCAGCTGTGCTACCATTGCACCAGCCTGGACTTATTTTTTCCGTTGTGGTATAGATAGCAAAACTTTGTCCAATAACCCCTCGTCTACAAGACTAGGCAAGTGGTAGCCTGGAACAAAAGAGTGTTATCTGTAATCTGGAGGCTCTCAAGCGATAGATTGGCGCATATAGAGTTGTACTGAAACAAGGAACTCGCGTAAGAGAAAGTCAAAATGGGTGGATGAGACTTGAGCAGTGGTGGGTGGGAGAGGTGGGTTTAAGTACCTGGCCAAGGGTTCCACTTTCCAAACAAGCAGGGGTCCGCAGAATGAACTCATGCTCCCTGTTTTTTTTTGTGGGCCACTATATTATTCTAAGCCAAATGGACGCAGATGAGTTGTCTTACAAACGCCTCATCTTATGAAAACAGATCTGATGCCAATGAGGCGGGGAGTTTTTCTCTAGGGCGGACATAAGATAGAACTGAATCTATTCTCTAGAACATCATAGAGCGGTAAGATAAAGATGAGGATACATCCCGTGAAGTTTTGCACGCTGCTTTATCTAGCAGGAGAGGCGAATGATGAATACTGGAGAGTTGGGATCTAGGAGTTATTGACTGATGAAATGGAATTGCCTGCTATCTAGACATGATATTGCAATTGCCCTATGTATTTGACCGCCAAAACGGCACTGCAAGGCGGGCAATCCCGAGACAAGTCAAGTAGGGTTGACGAGGACCGACATCTATACCGACCAAGGAATTGAAGAAACTTGCCATCATGCCTTGATCCATAGACTATCAAGTGATTTCAAATTCATATTTCTACTCTCTTTTATGTACTTGTTTAGCCGCTGCTAGCAAGGTATCTACCACAAGATGCAACAAACTATACCCTCTTGGCTTTGGATTACCCATGGCTGTCCACGGTCACTGGATGTGCACGTAGCTAACTTACAGAAGCAAATCTCTTTCAAAGATGACAACGTACCATAGAATCAAAAAGAAGAATAGACAACGAGAGAGTGATGATCGCTCCCCCGGAACCACTCCAATCTCCGTGACCACACGGGCCTCGTGGGCAACTTCCACGGGTGTAACCCTCGGGTGCAACGATGGAATATTGCAAGCCACAGTTGAGCTGAATCCCGCAAGTTGCATGTGAGAAGATTTTTCCTTCTGCAAGGGAAATAAATACCTCATTCTTCCTTCTTCTTCGCTAGAGAAGGCATCAAAAAAGAGAAACAGCATAGCTCCGAGTAAATTTCATCGTCATAATAGGAACTTTACCCCGCTCACACATACTCTGAAACATTGCTATCACCAGATACGGCAACAACAGGCCGAGCTGAAGTGATATTTGTAGGCTTTGAGTGTGTTACCTCCCCCCACGAGGCTCTGCCAATGCTACCTTGTTCCACTGCATCTTCCTAATCAGGATACAGCCGCATCTAACCCTTTGCATGGCAAGATTCGCTTAGACAAGGTTGGATACAGCAGCTAAGGATATCTCTCAGCTACTACGTACATGTAGTAAGTAACAAAGGTCTGGTGTTCTAAAATGTACTTACCTCATCCCTCACACGGAGGAAAGTGTATATAAGTAGCTGTAAACCCCGGAGGCTGCTCTCTGCTTATAGCTGAGGGTGCCCTCTGTGCTTCGATAACTTGGAAAAAAATATTAGTCCTCAAAGAAAAAAAATGGCGATCCTTGTATATGACTTGGCTTCTATAACCTCATTGAAGCCTATGGTGGCCCTGCCGCTGTTAGCAATCGCAATGGTAATAGCATAAATATTCGCCATTTATCATGGCTATCTGTCGTTGCCTAACATAAAACTAGGGGTTTCTTTACATCGCATATACTGTGGTTTACAACTTATTCTTTCATCCCTTAAGAAATTTTCCTGGCCCAAAACTTTGGGCTATTCATTATGGCTTTTACGCTTGCCTGGAATTGTCCGGCGACGGCCACCGCAGAATGGTGGGAGTACATCAGAAATATGGCCCGGTTGTCAGAGTCGCACCCGGCCATTTGGCCTTTTGTCACCCAGATGCAGTACACGACCTTGCGGGCCACCGCAAATCTGGACAACTTGAAAATCCAAAGGACGCCTTTCGTTACTTGACCAGCAACGGTTCGCTTGTTGGGGCGGAAAGAGAAAACCACTCCCGAATGCGAAAGAGCTTAACAAATGGATTTTCGCAACGGGCGATGCTCGAACAACAGCCCTTGATTACGGTTTATATTGATATGCTATTTGACAGACTCCGCGCATTTCATGTTAACCAAGAAACTTTTGACATAGTGTCCTGGTTCAACTACACAGCTTTTGACATTGTTGGCGACTTGGCTTTCGGTGAGCCCTTTGGGTGTCTTCAGCAATCTACGTACCACCCTTGGGTAGCATTTCTCTTCGGCTGTATTAAAAACATGGCGTTTGACTCGGCGTTTAGGCGCATGGGATTCCTGCACAAGATTCTTGTGATGCTGACCCCGAAGTCTATTTTGACAAAGTTCAAAGAGCATAACGAATTATCTGCTCAAAAAGTTCACAAAAGACTAAGCATTAACACAGAACGAAAGGACTTTATAGCATCTATGCTGTCTAAAAGTGGAAAAGATGTAAGAAGATGAATCAAAAGACAGAGCGCCTAGATAACAGAGCGTTCAAATCTACCAAATTACTAACGCATAATCACAGGCATTAACATTTGATGAAATTTGTGCTAATGCCAGCGTTTTGATTTTGGCCGGTTCAGAAACAACGGCGACGGCTCTCTGTTCAGCGACTTATTATCTTGGGCTAAACCCAGGACCATTTAAAAGATTATGCGATGAAGTACGGTCTACTTTTAAAACAGAAGAGGAAATTGATATTTTGAGCGTTGGCCGATTGGAGTATATGCCCGCTGTGCTGAATGAAGCGATGAGGATTCACCCAGGAGCTCCTGGCACAGCGCCCCGAACTATTAATGAGAATGGCGATATAATTGCAGGTTACTTTGTGCCCCCTGGAGTAAGTAACACTCAAATACTGAAAGAGAATTGCTCCCACTAATACATGAATTGCTATAGACCCATGTTGATATCTGGTTTTGGACTGCATTCCATTTTCCTGCGTACTGGACCCAGCCTGAGGAGTTTATCCCAGAGCGATGGCTTGGAGACTCACGCTTTGAGAATGACAGAAAAGAGATTTTTACTCCTTTCTCTGTTGGTCCAAGAGGTTGTATTGCCAAAAGGTGAGATTTCCTCCCACAGACTCGATTCTAGGTTTTTACTAATAGAGAATGTCCTCAATTAGTCTTGCGTTTACTGAAATGCGCCTCATTATGGCTAGACTTGTTTGGAATTATGATATTGAAATTGCCGAAGAAAGTATCGGTTGGGCAAAGAGGTGCAAGTGCTATATTGCATTTGAGAAAGGACCTCTTTATATCCGCCTAAAGCCTAGACAATGAGCGAAGGACAAGACAGACTTTGGGTCTTTATCTGAGCTGAGTGGTACCCACGGTACTAGGAGCGATTTTTGGAGGAAATATTACTGCCAAACTGGGTATCAACAGCGGATATGAGGTTGGAAGTGGCACGATGGATTTAGGAATGATGAGAGCTTAGCCAATGCTTTAGTCTTTTCATTTGAAGAAATGAGACTCTATTCTGAGTGGCTTGAGAGAAACTACATAACAACCCATTCATCTATTTACCTGAGTGCAGTCGTGCGCTGCCGCTTACCAGTTATCCCTTGGTTTAGCAGTTTGGAAAACATGTTGAGTTTTCACGATGGCTTGTCGATATTAATTTACCAATGTACATGCTATCACTTTGAGAAATTAATGCAGGTTCCTTTTTTTTCACCTACTTTGTTAGCATAGTAGCAAATTATAATAATCTTAACTGAAGCTGGTTGACGTTTTACTTGACGGCCTTTGTAGGCCAACTGCCTCTCTTGAGTGTGCAACGTGCCGCTCCAGCTCTATCAATAGGTACCAGGTAGCTACCTCGCCTTCTACCAAAGAGATACGAAATGGTCGATTACTGATGTATTAATTGTGGCACAGCCTTCCATATCTTTTACCCAACCAAGGCGACGGATCTTACACTCGTCCAGGGATCCCTGTCCTATACGGCGTGGGGGTTAAACATGCTTGGTGGCTGAGAACATCGGAGGTTGCTACAGAGCGAGCTGAAAAAAAGAGGCTCTACAGCCTGATTTTTAAATGTATGCGTGATTAAATATGAAACTGAACTTGCAATAGGCCGAATGGAACAAGCGACCAGCTAAAAGAAGTAGCAATCTAGTTTATGATGCATGCATTCATTTATCTGTTACTCGCCTCCGTGCTGCATACTACTTTTGGACGACATTTTCAGTGTCTCATATTTCATGTCAAAACCCATTCGCAGAATATGGATCGAAATGGCGAAAAATCCCTTTGCTTATCAATGTTCGAGTGGAAGCTTCTGGCATAGTTCAGTCACTGTTACACTTGAGGGACTTTGTTCCATTTCATGCCAGGGTTAACCTAGTAAAGTCTGATGGAGTATTCTATATCTGTTTTAAATCATATATTCTGCAGCGCGTATGGCGGCTTCCCTTGAAATCAATGATGGACTTCTAGACATAATTTATTGCGTTATTCAGACAGTTGCGTAACCATTGAGAAGGCTGTCAGAGAGCGGGATCAGCGTATAGGTAGCCGGCCGAAAGAAGCAATTGCTCAATATATTATCATGTATCTAGTATCAAAAATGGAAAAGGGAGATATTTAGAGCAACGAGAAGGCCTGACCAGCGCGAGTGTGCATTTACCTCATTCTGGGCACTCCGCGGATGAGGCAATATCTCAATGAGAAGTTTCTGACCATTGCATTGATCTCAATTTTAGTCCAATTCTGTGTATTGCTCGTCTTCAGACTACGGCTAGTGCGTATTATTGTTAACTGTCCGTCGGGTTATGCACATGTAATGTAGATTCCCAAATTTACTACATATAGGTGTAGGATTCTCGATTGTGTAATCTGTTCAATTGCATCTTGATCACTTATTCAAAGAGAAAAAGACTCAGTCTCCTATTTTGCAATTCGGTTTATTTCATTCTTATTCTTCAACATATTCAGTCGTCATGGTTGAGCTCAATGATGTTCCTAACGAAGAGCAGTTTCCTCGAGCTACTTATCTACAGGCCATGGTCCATCTGTTAGACACTGTGAGCTACAAGGATGAGAATTTTGCAGATGAAGAACGTGTTTCATATCTGAAAAACTGCTATGCAACAGCTGCTGAGCATTTCGCTCAGCCTCATGTTCAGCAAGCTCTCAAAGTGCCTCCTAAGCGTCTGGATGCTGCTCTCAAGACTATTGTCGGCATGTGCGTTTACTCTTGGTGCCGTGTGAGTCAGGACGTTATGGCAGATCTCAGCATCCATTACACATATACTCTACTTCTTGATGATAGCAGAGAAGAGCCTGCCGATACCATGGTGACCTGGTATGAAGATCTTCTGAATGCCAAACCACAAGCTCATAGTTGGTGGAGATTGGTCAACGATTTCATTCCCAATGTTCTGCGTCATTATGGAGGCTACTGCCAGATGAACATAGTGAGAAGCACAATAGATTGTAAGCTTACATACTTTACATCTTTAATTGACCATTAGAAGCTAACATTACCAAATATAGTTTTCCAGGGTTGTTGGATTGAACAGCACAACTTCAAGGGCTTTCGCGGCTCGAGCGACTATCCTGGCTTCCTTCGCCGTATAAACGGGCTTGGTCACTGTGTTGGCGCTTCTATCTGGCCGATCGAATTACTTGACGAAGAGGAACATTTTCTCGAAATCACTACAGCCATTGCCCAGATGGAAAATTGGATGGTCTGGACGAACGATCTCTTCTCTTTTTACAAGGAGTACTTTACAGAGCGCGATCAGACCTCTCTAGTCAACAACTATGTGGCGTGCGACGGCATCACTATGGAGCAGGCTCTCGATAAACTCTGCAAAGATACAATCCGCAGTTCTGAAGAGATCATCCAAGTGTTCCATGACAAAGATCCCAAGATGTACGAAATTCTCAGCCGCTTTATCCAAGGCTACATCACTTGGCACTTGTGCGATGACCGATACCGCCTCGTCGAGGTGTACGAATCCGCAGGAGACGACTCTATTGCCCAAAGGTTTAAAAAATATGTTGAATCTGCTCGCCGTGTCGGCTTAATAGATCCTGCTAAGTATTGCAGGCCGTCAGTTGCCGAGCTATGCCACCGTAAAATGGCAATGCAATCTACCAGCAGGAGCTGGGACTTTGGCCTTTTTAGACTTGTGAGCAGTATTACGTCTGTTGAGTGGTGATCTACATGTATCTATGGAGAGAGGGGAGTCTGTTGCTCTTATTATCACGGTGTGCCGACTATGGTTTTGTATAATAAAGAACAACGTTAAGTATAACAAAACCAAAACTACTAACAGAACTTAACAATTGGCTAAAGCATCCATTGCTCTGTGAACTCCAAAATATTCCTCTCGAGTCTTTTTCCGTGTGTAAAGCTCAGAAAATGAACGCCGTTCTCCATTACGACCAGTTTCGCCTCGGGAGCATTAACAAACAATTTTATTTCCTTTTCGGCGTTGGCGACACTGAATACAACATCATTTGTTCCCTAATACCTGTCAGACTACTAAAAAAGAATAAATGCGATTAAGAAAGGATTAAGTACCTGCATCCAGAGCACTGGACATCGTATATGAGGTAGCCGGGCATACAGTCCGTCTCGGGAAGCCAGACAAACAGCAGCCATGCAGATTAGCTTCTTCCCGATATCTCCCGAATATATCTTTTGGATAGACCTGTTCCATTTTTGTACCAAATCTGCAGTCACCTTCTCTCCATAGCCAATATCCATTAGAAAGTCAACATACCCACTGCCGGGCTCGAAATCATCGTGGGGCGCTAAATCAGCACTCTTTGCGACTAGGGCGGAGGTGGCCTGCGGGCCGTTCCAGCAGCCTAGCTCTCGACTTTCTGGAGATTCAGAGTCCATCGAGGTGCCAATAAGAATAAGGCCATTAACCTTTGAATACAATTAATTGGTGAAAGGTATCATGGCTTAGATATGTTGGACGAACCTTTTGGGGTGAAAGAAGTGCCATTCGCGCAGCTATCCATCCTCCCTGGGACGTGCCCATTACAAAGGCCTGATCAATTCCAAGGACATCTAAAAGTTGAATAGCCATAATCGCTGAGTCCCAGTATGTAAATGTTTCACTCTTTGTTTGTGTGGCGCCATGTCCAAGGGGTTCAACGGCAAGGAGGTTGAACTTGCTGGTCAGCTGCTCACTTTCAAATTCCGGCTGGTAGTAATCCGAGGTTGTGGTGAATGGATTAATTAATACTAGAGTTGGAAGGGAGCAATCGGTAGAAGAGTATCTATACCCAGCATCAATACCTCCTAAATGAGGAACAAGCTTTGTCTTTACGTGTCCTGCCATGTCAAGTAGTGTACTGAAGCAGGGAGTATTTATCAGCGGTATAAGGAAAGTAATTCCAAGGAGATCAAAAGTCGTCGAAACAGGCAATGGAAAGGAATCAAAATGGATTTTCGATCATCTATTCATACTATTACCGGAGTTATGCGCTATTTCTATTGGAAATAAAGAATCGACGCGAGTTCCCTAACTCCCCGACGGGCCGACGGGCCGACATCTAAAACTCGGCATCTCTCATTGTATAATCGCAAAAAATGATAAATACAGTTCAGAGAATCCACGATTGACATGAGTCTTCGGGCATCATTTTCTGTTTTACTCTTCTTTACTCTAAGTTTTTCTCGAGATTGGCTTCATTTATATACAACATTACACAAGATGGTGAGTGTGAACTCGGTGTTTGTGCGTTAAGCAATATGGCTTACTTGTTGCGTTAGACTGTTCAAAAGCTTCACGTAGGAATTATTGGAGCCGGAATCGGTGGCCTTGCGGCTGCGATTGCCCTTCGTCGGGCCGGTGTTGAAGTTAGTCTGCTGGAAGGCGCTGCAAAACTGGGTGAAGTACGCATCCCCATAGTCTTTTGAATATCACACAACTGACTGAATACTACATCATATAGATTGGCGCTGGCATCCAAGTGACTCCCAATGTGTCTGTCCTCCTTCAGAGATGGGGAATCGACAAAGTGATAGGAGACAACCTAGTTCAGATCGAAGAACTCAACATGCGTCGTAAAGATGGCACCAAAGTTGGATATACTGACATCCCCGTTCTGGAAAAAACCCTGGGAAGACCCTGGTGGCTTGTCCATCGCGCTCACCTCCATGAGGGACTAGTAGAGGTAGCAGAGCAACTGGGCGCAGTCATTCACATTGACTCTCGCGTGGTCGAAATCGAGTATGACTCTGAGGACAGGGTGACAGCAAAGACAGCCAAGGGCGACTCACACAGATTCGACTTGTGTATCGGCGCTGATGGAGTCAACAGCGTTGTTCGCCAAGCACTTTTCCCTGAAGTCATCCCCGAGTGTCCAACCACCAACTGTGCATACAGGGCAATTGTGCCGTACGATCTCATTCGCCAGGATCCAGTTGCAAAGGAAATTGTTGATAAGCTGACTATGGAAGTTTGGATGGGTCCTGATGCTTACGTTATTACATATCCCATCAGCGGTGGCGACGTCTTTAACATGGTGCTCTCGCATCACCCGCCTAAGAAGCTCGAAGCTACTCAACACGACGTTCCGCTTGAGGAGTTGCAATCTGAGTACAAAGATTTTGATCCCAGAATCAAGCGGATCATTGATATGGTTCCACAGACAGTAAGTAGTCCATAAAAGATTTTCGCTCACACATCAACCGCTTCGCTAATCACAAATTTACTAGTCTCGCTGGCCTTTGTTGGTAACTGGGCCCTTGGAATCATGGTCCTCACCCAAGAAGAATGTAGTTCTGATGGGTGACGCCGCCCATTCAATGGTCAACCACATGGCACAAGGCGCTGCAACCGCTATGGAAGACGGTGCCTTTTTAGGCAAATGCATTGGTGCAGTTGTGCAAGGCAAACTCAACTTGACTGAGGCCATCAAACTTTACGAAACCGAGCGTATGCCAAAGGCATACATGAAGCAACAGGTATCATTCATCAATGGCGCAATTTGGCATTTGCCAGATGGCCCGCAGAGTCGACAGCGTGACGCCGCCATGGCTACTGAGATGGAGGGCAAGTACTTTATTCGGAGCAGCAACCTTTACGGAGACCCGCAGACCGTTTTGGAGGTCTATGGATATGATGTCGAAAGCCATGCCGAGGAGGCGCTCAGTCGGGTGTTGAACGAAGGAAAAGATGCTGTTGATCCTAAGACTGGCGTTCAGCGCACCACGGAAAATAAGTATATGGGATGGTTCACGAATGAAGCTCCGAAGCAGAAGCAAGCGGTGCTTTAACGGCATGCGCATCTCATATAACAAGGACTTTTTGTATCAGTATTTATCTTATTTTTTTACTTGATTGAACGTTACGTTTCAGCCAACTGAGCAGCCATGATCTCAATGCCCTTGAAATGAAACTACCATGATACACGAGGATCTCCCCACCTTGATTGATTCACAATGTCTGCATCAGAGCAAAGCGACACTTCTCGTAAAGCAGGAAATGAACTTTTTCCTCTTCGCTTTTCTCTATACGCTGTACATGGAACGTTTCTTGCACCTATGTTACCAAGTAATTTATTTTAAAAACGATGATATCGTACTCACATACGTGGGTCAGGTTTCCCCTACCCACCATGACCTTGTTGGTGAGTATAACCACCCCCACAGATCCAAAACTTGGGGTTTAGCTCTACAACTAGCTCAACGCCACTCTATGGGGCATCTTGGGGGTTTCGGCACAGCACTTCCGACGGCGGCACAATGCCGGCTCGGCTCTCCATACATATATTCCCCTACGGCACGGGGAACGCATCCGCTTAACAAAGCAGACTGAGTCCCTACTATGGCTTCCCCGGTACTTCCCCCAAGCAAGCGGCGACGAGTCACCCTTGCGTGCAGTTTATGCAGACGCCGGAAATCCCGCGTAAGTATTAGATCAGCTGTTTACGAATGGCTTCGAGTGTCGAGTCGCCGACATGACTCTCGTATCTGACAATTCCACAGTGCAGCGGTGATCACCCCTGCGCATTATGCCAAGAGCTAGGCGCAGATTGTCAATACCCAGATAGCTCTACCCCTTCTAATTTGACCGTGGGGAGAAGGTGAGAGTTTTTGATATTCGCATATTGGCTTTATCCCGCCTACTGATCGCAGAAGCAGCTACATCTCCCAGCTTGAGCAGAGGTTACAAGATATTGAAAGCTCCCTCCAACAACTACATAATACTCCGAATGAAGTGCGAGCTACACTGTCGAATCGCGGGGATCACGATACTCCGGCCAATGATTCGGTCTCATTCGTCGAGGAGCATCAATCTGTGCTGCTCCCATCAACCCTGGAAAGCCATGACGCCACTGAGCTAGGAGAGATTGATATCTCGGAAAATTCCATTGATGGTATGGGCGCCATGAAGTTTACAAATGAAGAAGACTGTGGATTTTTCGGTACGCCACATGCGCCAGTTCCTCAGAAGGGGGAGAAAAGATCCCGGCAGCTAACTCATCCAGGTCCTTCATCAAACATTGCGTTTATGCGCTACATATCTCGAGCCATATTACAAGCTAAATCAGGAAACGAATTAGCTGATGTATTAACGCCAACAGATCAGAGACACAGAGGAATCGTAAATGTCTCCAAGTCCAGGCCCCCATCCCCCGGACCAACGCCAGGCAGGACTAATAACTTGATGAGAAACACGGGAGTAAATATATATGCACTACCATCTGAAGAGCGGACCTGGAGCCTCATTCAGCAATACTTTCTCAAAACCGGGCAGCTCTTACCATTCATCCATGAGCCGTCTTTCTGCAAAACCTATGTGCAGATGAAAAACGAGCGTTTTCGCGCCGTCCGGCGGACCTGGCTTGGCCTGCTTAACATTATTCTTGCCATTGCAGCAAGTTTGTCCGCTAAAGACGACATACCTGTTGATAAGAGGATACAAGAGTCCGATATCTACTACCAAAGAGCAAACGGACTGTGCGATCGGGACTCCAAACGAAATGCAAGTCTAGAAATGGGTATGTGTAGGCAGCACGCAGCAGCTTCTTTATCTTTTCTCTCAGTCATGTTATTAATGCTAACTTGTTTTCCTCCTCTATAGTACAATATCTGTTGATTCTAGGCCAATATCTCCAGGGAACTCAAAAGTCCGTTCAGGCTTGGACTACACATGGACTAGCTATTTCGGCGGCTTATCAACTGGGCTTGCATTCACCGGACGCGAACCGGGGATTTTCGCCTTTAGAATGTGAGATTCGTAAGCGAACCTGGTACGGATGTATTCTTCTCGATCGGTACGTCTCTGAGTATCCTCTATAGTGAAAAGGGTGCTAATGAGCTGCATGACCCAGCACTCTAAGTATGACATTTGGTCGACCATGTACAATTCCAGAGTCATACATAAAGCTCGACATGCCTCTTAACGACATACAAATGCTTGGCCCAAATTTGGAGGTGGAGCCATGCCCTCAGCCCGATGGAGCCTTCTTTACAGCTGCCATGTAAGCGATCAAAGAAAAGTTCCCATGAATCTTTACGTTTTTGCTAACGATATCTAGAAAACTTTATGCCATACTCTACAATGTTTTAGATTCGTGTTATGGACAAAACCTTGGTTTTGAGGACCCCGCATCTTTGTCTAGCGCCATCTCCCGTGTGTTTGACGGACAACACCAATTGGACCTTTGGCGGCTCCAACTAGTCCCATCTTTGGGTTTCCGTATCTGGGATACACCAATGAACCCCGAGGACGTTGACAAGATGGACAAAGATTTAATCATCTGCCATAGGTTTAGCATTGTTCTCTCAGTGCGCTACAACAACCTCCGAATTCTGCTTCATCGTCGGCATTTAGAAAGCTTTCTGAAAACCCTTGGGACTTCTGAGGATGATTCAAGCAGCGCTGATAAAAAGCTTTTGCGGCAGATGAGTCTCAACAGTGTTGAGTCTTGCGTCGAATCCGCCATTTCCATCATCTCAATAGTTCATTGTATAACGCTGTCTAGTAGCTGGCGACGCGAGTTGCTAGGCGCGTGGAACTATTCTCTTTACTACAGTAAGTATAGCTTATACCCACGTCGTCTTATATAACAAGCTGAATGGCATCAAACTCACCGCTTTGTAGCATTCAATGCTGCGCTAGTTATTTTCGCATCCCTCATGATAGTATCCACATCCAAAGACGCCCTCTATGATACATCCATCGGGATAAAGGTAAGTCAGTCACGCCCCTACATAGAAAACGCAATTGAAGCACTGCGTCGACTTGATTCCGGAAACCGAGTCATTGAGCGCTGTGCAGAGTACCTTGCCCAACTTTCTTTAATCTTGAGGGCTATGGGTAAGTGACATGCTACGAGAAATATTGTTGTTGTGGCTTTCTCTTTTCTCAACATCCTTGCTCAACAAAATATATGGCCCAACTTACAAGAATATGTCTACCAGCCAATAGCTAACTAGATTCCAAACGATAGATCGCAATGAGTCAGACACAAGCAGTAGTGGGATGCGGAACTTTCCGATTGAACATTCTTCAGATATTTTTCCGCCCAGTGGACTTGAATCTTATATGGACCTAGGAGAATTCATGGTTGATGGGGATTTTGACTTTTTAGCGGACTTTTTGGTCACGCAGAATGGGAAGCATCAATCCTGAGCTTGTATGCAGATGGGCAAGAGACTCGGCAGATCTCTATGCTAAACATGTATGATGCTTTGATCAGAAACACTATTGGCGACACTAATTGAACTAATCTTATCGTACATGTATAATGAATAATAACGGCTTTTATTCAATAGGATAGCGAGTAATGAACCCTGTCTACAGTGGTCTTTCTTTCTGCCGACTTATGTAACGTGAAGGACACCGCATTCCTATCAGTAAGATGTGGTGGATTCTTTTCAAGAGCCGAGATCGTTAAGACAGATGTAGTAAAACATAGTGGGCTCATTTCAAGGAATGAGACTGCCCCGTGGAGAGGCATATCCACTTATTAGGTCTTAAGCTGATAATTGCCCATTCAGAATTGAAGGTTCGGAAGCTAGCGGAAGCCCCTTGGCGATCTGGAGCAGTCGAAGCCGTAGGGCACCGCCAGATGGCTTTCTCATGAGTCGTGGGAGAGATAGGGCAAGAAAAACAGAAGTAGCACTAAAACCACGGCAGTGGACTCGGGAGGACCGAAAGGCTGATAGTATATAGGAATAGAAGTGACAGCAATAGCCGCCAATAGAAGCCGTAGAACTAGTGTCCGCCTAGTATTAGCGAAGTGGCTTAGTGCAATTTCCTTATCGTTGGGCCAACTCTATATATCTATTCCTACGAGTGATTGGTTGAGCTGAGTGTGGAGTTGAGCGCCCCGGGCATCGGCTTCACATCCCGAACCCGAAAAGTCATCGTAGTCTGGGGACCCCGCGTTTTCCAGCGTCTCAGTTCTTCCCCCGCCAGTTCCCCGGATTTTCTAAACAAGCTTAATGAGCTTTGGCAGGTGTTATAACTTGAGAGAAGAGAGATAACATGTAAGCTACGAGCTCTGAGTCAAGGTAGCTCTGTAGAGGCTCGACCTGATCTATTTAAAGGAAGATGGAGCCCGCCGTAGTCATCTATTTTAAAAGCAGGCCGATTAAGAACTTTGTTTGCTCTCAGTCAATACACAACACTATCAATTATCTCTTAAACATGTCCAACCAAGGCCGAAAGTATGAATATGACGAGAGGGAGAGGCGCCAATCTGTGAGCTCAAATGAGCCGGATCTTGAAAGACTTCGAACCAAGGGCGGCCATATTGACAATCGTGATCAACCTTCGCTACCTGTTGTTCATCGAAGTTTTGCAAATCCAGCACCCTTAGGCCTTCTATCATTTGCTACAGGATTGTTTCTACTCTCAATGCTTGGTGTTCACGCACGCGGCATTGTGGAGAAGAATATCTTGGTGGAAGTATTTGTCTTCTTTGGTGGAGTATGCCAGTTTATTTCTGGAATCATGGAGTTTGTTGCCGGAAACACGGTATGACATTTGACAAAAGTGAATAGAACTTCAAGATCTCTAATGTTTACTTCCTAGTTTGGAGCTACAATCTTCCCAGCATATGCGGCTTTGAGCCTAAGCTTCGCACTTAGTAAGAATTTCTCTTACTGTTCACTTACCAGCCTTTGCATCAATGGATAAAGCTAACAAAAACATTTCACCGGCAGTCTTCATTCCAGGATCGGGCATTATTGATGGTATGATTTCTTCCTATCAACGCTTAGTATGAAGCAAACTTGGAACAATTTTCTAACAGTAGCAATAGCCTACAGCGATGCCGAAGGCCATCTCCTTCCCGAGTTCAGTCAAGCGCTCTCCTTGTATCTATGGAGTTGGCTCATACTTAACGCGATATTTACCGTCGCCTCTGTTAGGAGCTCTTGGCCTTTATTCATGGCCCTTTTACTTTTCAATGTCGAATTGACACTCCTCGCCACAGGCTACATGGTTGACAATGAGAGTTTATTAGTAGCTGGAAATTCCGTTGGCTTTCCCGTGGCATTCTGCGCCTGTAAGTATACTTCATCTAATACGGCAATCACTACCCTGGCTAATGATGATTATGAATCTAGATTGGTCCGGATGTGCAGGATTGTGGTCAGGAGGCATGACTCCATTTACGCTCCCGACTTTTCCCATGTACACATATGTCTGATGCATTGGACGGGAAAGAGCCAACAATCGGGTTGGTGGTTTATGGGCCACAAGATTTACTAGTCATGTCACTTTTTAGATTCGTTCATGTCTCTAGTAAACTAATGATAACATGAGACAAAGCAACATGGCGGTGGTGAACGTGCTTGGATCAGTGATATTACTCCACAATGAAAGACAGCAGGGGAGCTCTCATCCATTGACTCATCTGTGTGATTGAGCATTCTTAGATTGTACCTTGATACATATCCGGAATATCTTAGAATAACTTTTCTCCTTTTGCTAATTGCGGATGATCTCTCTCCCGTCTAACCAGTCCATGAGCCACGCATAGCACATCAAGATTCTCCTCCGCCATGACCGAGTCCAAAAGAAATTACCAGATCTCCAACTCAACCACGCTCCGTAACCCGTGTATTCACGCTTCCCCTGGACTACACCGTCCCGTCTCCCGGTGTAAGTGACTAAAGAACGTTGCTTGTATGCAAATGGAGACGTGTCATTCTTGTTCAGCACATTGATGATGTAGTCTGCTTTTTGAATCGCAACTTCGGCGGTTGTTGGTAGAGTTCCGCCCTCAATATCTGCTGCATCTCCCATTGCAAATACGTTCCGTAAGGCATTGCCATCTGGTGCGAAAGCATTGAGACGGTCATCCGTCAAAATTCGCACCAACCCCTTCTCCGTCTTTCGAAGATTCAGTTTGTCGACTAAAGGAACCGAGTTGTTCCCCGTGGCCCAGATTAGCATGCCATAGCCGGTAGCGCCGTCTTCTTGAGTTTCAATCGTATTTTGGGTAACCTTAAGTATATGCGTATTCGTTTTAATGTTGACTCTGCCCTTTTTTAGGGCACTGGTCGCATATTCTGCTAGTTTTTGATCGAAAGGTGCCAAAATATGAGGAGCCACGTCGTATACAGAAACAGACGCCTTGCCCTTCAAGTGCGGAAACAGGACATTGGCGTCTCCATTAAATAAATCCGTCAGCTCAGCCGCCATCTCAATGCCAGTGGGACCGCCGCCAACAATAGCCACATGCAGCAGTTGCCTCTGACGGTCCTCTGATGTCCCTGGCAGCGAGGCCATCTCAAGAATGTCGTTCAATCGGCTTCTAACTGCATTCGCATTGGCAACATTCTTCACGAAGATGGCATTTTCCGTGACGCCAGGGATGCCGAAAGTGTTGGTACGGCATCCTGGTACAAGGATAACCTTGTCATAGTCGACATTGAAACGCTCGTCCGTCAGCTCATCGAACGCTGGCTGACAAATGAGAGTCTTTGTGTCGAAATCGATGTCAACAACAAGTGCTTTGTAATACTTTGCGTGGAAATCCCTCCGTCGAAGAGGCTCATGTGCCAATCGAGGGTCAAACAGTCCGCAAGCGGCGCTGGCCAATAAAGGAGTTACTGCGGAAGTATTCTCGGGCGAGATTAATGTGACATCATACTTGTTGTGGTCGATACCATAGCCCAGGCTATAGCCACCCCAACCACTTCCAATAATGACGACTTTGTCTTTCTGTGCAGCCATAGCTGATGTGTAGGCAAATGGAGTGAGATTTTATTGTGTTAAATACCGTGCATAGACGTATAATTCTCACAAGGACAGGTCCAATTAATATACTCGAAGCGGAGAGACATACAATGACGACTGAATGGGGTCAAGCAGCTGAAGCATTGAATATCGGCAGAACTACTGACGTCACGAAAAGCATATATATCTCCTAAAGAGGAAAGGTTAACTAGAAGACTCATATTTCATCTAGACAGAACTTGAAAATAAATAGGGTCCAAATTCAATTATCGCTGATGCGCAGCGCTTCTAGGTGCAGTAGCATGCACTAATTAGTATTCTCGGGGTTTTGGAACGTTTGATGCAAATGCCGAATGCCGAGTAAATGGGAGAAAAGAGTGGTCCAGGCACTCCATAGTGGGGGAGGAAATTCCCGAGGAATTCCAAGTGGATGCCTAGTGATCCAGCAACTAGTTTAAGAACTGACTTCACAACTCTAACTCGAAACTCAGTACTATCCGACATGTCTGTTAATTACCTCAAGGAGACAGAGACCAACCCGTGTGTAAAACTGATAAAGCCGCTGAGTTTGCTAGGACTTGACGGAAGTAAATGCTACACAAAACTAGCATATTTAGCAACTAAGACCAGCTACTTAATCCAAATTAAATTGATAGCGAATTATATACTTGGGAGGTAACGCAACGGGACTTTTGGTTTTGGACATATACCGTCTTACCTAGTAGACTATTCCATAACAGCTTGAGTTGGACTATACCATTGATTAGATAACTGGCTCCAAAACACCTACGACTCTCTGTTAGCAAAAGAGAGACCGCACCAGGCCCGTGCAGCAAATAGCAAAATAAAGGAAGCGAATGCTAGCTATTGTGTCCAAAGAGCAATTTGATAGTTTCCTCCGATTCCGTATTTCCCGCTACGATCTTCACGCGATGGAGCCCCATAGCATTCAGAGACAGGCTAGTACAATTCTGTCGCGCCGCGCGGGCTTCCATAAAGAGATCAAACTCGTTGACCTATTCCTAATTTAGCTCGGCGCGCGGCCGTCCCAGTGTAGGATGGCGCCAATCAGACCATCTTCCTCAGCTACCTCCCTGTAGGATCTATGGGCATATTCAAGAATACGCGGCAAGTATCAGATCATTATTAATGAGATGTGGGATAAGGGATGATGTGTTTACAAATCGTGATCCATTTGTAATTCCAAGACAGCAAAGTGTGGATGAAAGGATTGGGGAGAACAGGCATATAAAGCACTGCATTATCCCCTGTTTACGTGCCATATCCAACAACTTACTCTTCAACGCAACTTGTCTCAATCTACAACTTCTTTCCCTACCATTGACGAACAAAACTCGATTCTTATACAACTAGAAGAATTTCTACCTTAGCATCATGTCTACCACAATTGCAATCGCTGGCGGCTCTGGCAACGTCGGCAGAACCATCAGTGACGCCCTAGTAGCCGCCGCAAAGTACAAAGTCATTGTGCTTGCCCGTGAGGTAAAGATAAATTAGCATTCACTACTGAAGCTATCCATCCCAAAGCTTGTTCTGACATGGATGTATTACAAGGCCCCCAAAGACTGGTCTTCAAGCGATCCCCCGCTTATCAAGGTCGACTACAACGACATCAATGCCGTAACCAACATATTGGAGAAGCACAATGTCCATACAGTCATTTCTACTATCAGCGTTATAATGCCTGAAGCCGGAGCAGCCGAACGCAATCTCATCAAGGCAGCTGCAGAGGCAGCGCCCACGAAACGCTTCGTTCAAAGCGACTGGGGCGTACCCGCGCCATTGGAAAGGTAGATTCGCACCGAGACCTTCTTTTCTTTTCATTTTTGGTCACATACTCTCATTTCAGATGGGACTGGTAGTTACAAATGCTAACATGTTTGGAATGAACATAGTAACCTTTGCTTACCGCAACATCAAGTCCGCTTTGCCTCGATGGAGCAGCTCCGCCAAACAGACCTCGAATGGACACGATTCCACGTTGGCTATTTCCTCGACTACTATGGCATGCCGCACATAGAGACTCATCTCCCGGCGCCATTCGCTTTCGTCCTTGATATCCCCAACAAAGTGGCAGCCATCCCAGGCAGCGGCAACGATGTATTCTCGCTTACATATACGCGAGACGTGGCCCAATTCGTCGTCAAGGCACTCGATTTGCCTAAGTGGGAAGAAGAAACGTTTTGCTACGGCGATAAGGTGACGTGGAATCAGGTTTTGAAGCTCGCTGAAGAAGCGACCGGTAAGTTCCCTTTACATATACTTGCTAGCTGTAGCTTAATGATCGCTTTTTTCCAACTACTAATTATTCTTATCTTTTCATAGGATCCAAATTTGATGTTACTTATGAAGGCATCGAGAAGCTTGAGAAGGGAGAGGTTACTGAACTACCATCCCATGCCATGGCCTACGAGCATTTCCCAAAGCCAATGCTGCAAAGCTATTTCTCCAAATTCAGCCTGTACATAATCGCCGGCTTGTTCGATATGCCAGCAGACAAATCTCTCAACAAGATATTCCCAGAGGTAAAGACGACCACTGTGAAGGAAGTGCTGGATCTCTGGAAGGGGAAATAGATGACCAGACCGTACGCTTTACTGCGATATTGCGCGGTTCTGTTTATTTGTCAGCAAGTGTAATATTCTGAGCATCAGGCCTCAAGCAATTCAGTATTAGCTGCAGACACTGGAATATATACAATCTTACTCGCTTTGCCAGTATTGGTCGGTCGTATCCCAAGTTCTTCTAAACTAGCAAAGCCGGCGTGCCAAGAATTGTCAAGCATGCTTGTATATCCCACACTTCACTCTTCAAGGATCCTCGAATCCGCCATACACTCTCCATAATGCGTAGTGCTTCATCCAACGTTCCAATCAGTGTTGGCTTATCCAAATCGGCGAAAAGAGTGCGAAAGGCTTGTTCCTGCGTTTGCTCAGCCATGCAGCCGATGACGCAGAGCGGCCAGGTCAACGCCCGCAACCGAGAGGAGCCAGCCATTGTCTGTAACAACTGAAGTGCGTGCGCCACATTTGATCGCACCTCTGGCAACAATGGCAGCCAACCGGAGATGACGACTGCAAGGTAGATCCTCGCCGCGCAGGTCCAAATTGCCGTAGAGATTGCTAGACACAGGTCAGATAATGCAAGTTGATAAAGCCAATGGACCACCATTTACCTGTAAGAGCCGCGCCATCAACGTCTATCCGTGAACTGGCGTCCTCAAGCATTCGAGTAATGTGGCTGGCACGCTCAATTAACTCTGTCTTGCAGTCGACGTGCTTTCTCGTCTTCTCCTTTCTCCAGGCATCTAATGCCGATATGTCGGCAACTACACGTATAGTCCAATTTCGACAGCCGATAAGGTTCGATAGTCGGATAGTGGCCTCGCCCTTGCTATAGGTTCCATCATCTCTGTCGGAAAGAACCTGCGGATGATGTTCGAGAAGTTGTGGTGGTCGCTCAAGGGAGGTGCTCGCCACAACGTCAATGAAAAGAAGAAGCCCAGTAAAGAACCGAAAGCATTCCTGTCGGTTATCCCAGACATAAAAGCCATCTTCAATGGCATATAGCGGGCGTTGGTTGATCTCTTTCAAGATGTCGAGTAGTTTCGATGAAGAAGTTTTATCGGTGTGATTCTGCAGTATGTCTAGGAAGAGAGCAATGGTAGGCGAGAGATGGTTGCTCCAATTCGCCGACCTGCCTAGCGCTACCTCAAAAGTAAGAAACTGAACAATACTCTCCATGACTCGGATCTTATCCACCAGCTTTGCCTGCTCGCCCTGGTTATTCAGCTCCTGTATATCCTGCTGCAGCATATCGAAGCACATGTCTGCCTGTCGTACGAGCCGAGACCAGACTACCGCCTTGCACTGTCTATGCTCTTCCTCAGAGTATGCTTCGCTTAACGCAACTGTGAAGAAGTAAGAGCTGATGCCCAGCACTGAATTGAAAGCAACTTTGCTCTGCGAGAGAAACGAGAAGATCCAGCCACGCCCAGGGCCAAGTAGAGGAGTTTGGTAGAATGGAAAGATCAGCGGGAATACATTGTCCAGATACTTCATGAGAAAGTCCATGTCGTAGTCTTCTCCGTAGAACATCATATCGGGATCAGGTCCAGGCCGACCAAATTTGGTTGCAAGGCTAAGTCCTGGCGCAGCATCGCGTATGTTGCGTTTGCTCAAATCCACTGCAGCGTTTTGACGAGTCGCCTCACTCGTCGCATCGATGTGGGAGTTCAATCCACCGCTAACAGAGTCGTCTTTCGGGACAAGGTTGACGAAATTGAGATCCTCTCTGGTTTGTGCTGTTTTTGCAAATTTCGCGACTCCTGCCGAGGCATGGCGTCTCTCTCGACGATAACCAGCGTGCGTCTTGATCTGAGATTTGATCTGCGCAGCCATGGCCTCTTGCTTTTTGCCGCCATCGAACCATTTGGGTTTCCGCCCGTAGTGGCAGGCAACTTGCAAATCACTGCAGTTGGCGCATTCCGGTCGCGTTTCATCGCACTTTTTGCGACGAAGTCGACACGTCCAGCAACCATCGCATCTCCTTTCTACTCGGGCCATGAGATGAGAGTCGAGGTCAGGAGACGATGCGAGTAGATTTCACTGAACGGGACGCGTGCGATAACTGGAGACAGGATGAGTGAGATATAACAGAGACCCGTAGAGATAGAAGATGGTGAAAAGTCAGTAAGCCATTGTCATCTATCTGTCAAATGTTGTTCTGAGATGCGCCCGGCTGGAAGGTAAACAGGCGGTATTAGGCAGCTGTAATCGCAGCATTTCATAAGTTGCCCTGTACTTATAGGCACCTTAGGGAGGGAGTTCCACTGTAGCCAGCAATTGTAAGCAGGTCTGCCGGCTTCATGACCGACGCCACATCACCAACCCAGCCTCTTACTTGCAGAGCTGGTGCAACATTTTGTCCGACGAGCGCAATTTCCAATCAACCAACAATAGTTTCTATCCATCACTATATCAATTAAAGAGACATATCAGTAATTATTTGTCTTCTGTATCTCTTCAGAACTCTAGCGCAACGCATTTGTAAAAGGTTATAAGTTATTAAAGTAGGGTATCTAGGACATACGACCGTAGGTAGTGGAGAACTCGGGGTCCCCTCTTATTATGTGCATGAGCGCTTTTTCTTTTTTTTTGTTGTTAATCCCTTAGGAATCCTCCTATCACACACCTATTATGGGATGTATGTAATGGTTGATCTCGGCTATTGTCACGACCCAGCTCTTATGGTCACGACAACGGGCCTACCCGACAGGACCCACCGGAATAACTATGGGCCGACTAACCAATAACGAACGACTCGTTCGACTCGTCTAAACGAGCTCAATGAGCGACGACTCGTATAACTCGTCCAATGAGCCTCACAAGCCCAGAACCAACTGGGTATATAAGCTCACTTCACCACGCTCATTTAGATAATCTAGATAGCCAGTTGTTAACACAGTATTAAGATTGCAACACACTCTGCACTGCTTACTCTCTGGTGATTTTGTTTACTATTGCCTACATTGCCTATTAGGTTTCGTAACCGCTCCGCTAACATAAACCCAGAATCACTACTAGGTTTGTCCCTTGGGAATCTACCCTATAATGACTATCTAGTGTATGGTTCGTCACACCTTGCTAAGTTTACTTATCTGCAACGCCGGTGTCATGGCCTGTCCAGATGGACATACTAAAGATGGAATCAATACCCAATTTGGTACCAACCATCTGGTCCATTTCTTGTACATGAACTTGTTTAAAAATGTCCTTATCGATTCATCGGCCCCTGAGTTTAATCCCGACTAATTATTCTTTCTTCCGATGCCAACCGTTTTGGCTTTGTTCATTTCGATGATCTAAACCTCGAAAATTAGTATGACGCAAACCGGGCCTACGCACAGAGTACAACCGCTGCTATTTGGACTGCCAACGAAATCGAACGTCTATATGGCAGTAGAGGTCTGCATGTGTGGAGCGTACACCTGGGTGGTGTAGCGACCGACTTGCTGCGGCACCTACCTGAAGATACTATTGAAGATTTCGGGAATCTTCAAAAGCCCCGAGCAAGGAGCAGCAACTACTGTCTGGGCTGCAACCTCCGCAGTGCTCGAAGGCAAAGGAGGAAAGTACCTTGGAAATTGCCAGATAGTTGGACCGTGGGAATCAAGCTTAGGTATGTGGGGGCAAGGCTACGCCGCATAGGCATACGATTCAGAGAAAGAGGCAAAGCTATGGGCTGTTTCGACCGAACTTGTGAGTCTAAGTGGTTTGGTTAGTCTAGCAAACTAGTTTAGCAGCCACTTTCAGCCTTTGACATATCTCTCCAACCTTGCTCATACGTCCTTCATGCGTTAGTACAGTGACCCGGGCGAATGACATATACATCACGACTGAGATTGATTGATATATCGTAGTTTAATACCTATTCTTAAAGCAATCACTCCTGAGTCTACTATTCAGGCCTGCGGTGCGTGGGGAGATGTTGCAAGTAAGCTGTCTCCTGTATGCGGCACACAGCGTTCCCTTTCGAAACCAAGGGGCTACAACGACGATCGCGACACTTCAGGATCTAAAATCGTCCCTTCATACGCCCCGAGAATGTTAGAGCGCTGTGCTTCTCCATGACTTGTGTTGTTGAGTTGACGGGAAATTAGCGTGAGGGATCGACAAACTCGCATACTGAGTCGCTCGAAATCTGATCTCGCGAAATAAGCTGAAGTATACGGTTCATCTACGGAGCTTATCTCATACTGAGATGGTGAGATTCTACAAATGTGTCCACAAGAATTATTACTCTTACTAATATCATCCTTGATCGATCTAATTTTTTTTTTTTTTTTTTAATTTCGTTGTCCTTTATGCCTCTACGCCCGCTTGCGATCTCTTGACTATGACCCACGACCAATACCCACACTCGCCAATGTTCTAAATACAGACACGATAGCCTTGTTATGATTTTGTACAACACTACAAGCTAGAAGCATAGCCTCTGCTGCAGCTTCAACCGGCTGCAAAGAGGTGGAGGGTTTGAACCAGTACGATGAGAGGCTTGAAGGGGAAATAATAACCTGGTAACCTGGTGTATCCAAAACTTAGAAGACACTAGTGTTGTGACATTTCCTATGAGGCGCGCAAAACTCCTATCCTTTCATTACACTCAGCAAAACAAAAAGAAAACGATATTTGTCCGATTTATAGGGGTTCTTCAACACAATCGATTTCCAGCTATGCAATCAACTGTGTGTTACAGGAGCACTGGCACCTAATGAGTGGAAACTCTCAAATGTACGGAGGTACAAACGTTTGTTTAGTAAACTAGACTAATATGAGCAACATTGTTCCTGCACTTAATATTGAAATAAGTAGAATACGACGCCAGACACTCAGTTGGGCATAGATTTACATCCAACTAACTTAAAAACGGCCTCTCAAAAAGGTTATGGCTACCCGAAATGCACTCAGTCTCTTCCATTCGCCCAAGTTGATAATAGATCTACCACGATATCTCTATGGGTGGAGTGTGCATGGCCTTCCAAGTGGCTAGGGACGAAGGCTGTCCTACGGGAAGCCTTCCGTGGATCCGCCGACCCACCCCTCTTTGTGGATCGAGTAGTTTTCGCCAAGCCATACCCAAATCATATCCAGTTAATGGTTATTGGCCTGCAAATAAGATGGCTTTGGGACATCAGCCAGAGAGGCGCACTTTGGGCGAGAAATCCAGGCTGAACCCCAGCAGATTTGGGCTGGCGACGGTCTTCGCTCAATCGGACCGAGTCAAGATAAGTAAGATACTTTTGAGAACATTTGTCGTACCTTAAATGAACCACGGTGGCCACTTCGGCTCAAGATCCAAGCTAAAATCTGGCCAAATTTGGTCTCTTTCAGCTAGAATAAGTAGAGCTGGTATAATGGACTTTCACGCATCCAAGGTTAGAGCAAACTATTTGGCGTTGTGCATTACTTTACTAAATCTCGACTTACTATAGGTTGCTAACTATTGGTAGACCCACCATACCTTATCATTTGGTGGAGTGTTCAGGGGTCTCAAGTGGCAAGAGATAGGGATGGCACCAGAAGGAAGCTAGACTGTAAGCAAGGGACTGGTCGATGGCCTCCCGGAAAGCTGTCCCGGAATGGCAACTGTTCCTACCCCTTGTCCTGAAGCGAGGTCTCACACCAACCAGATATTGGTGGTGGATTTACGAACTCGCGGAGGCAAATGGAGAACTGAGTGCATTTCAAAGAGTCGTAACTTGCCTCAGGTTATCAAGAAAAATTCCGCTCACTTACAATGTTGATAAAATTGTTGCTCTGAAAGACGCCAAGTAGCAAGCTCATAGCAAGAGGAGCTCAAGAGGGCGAATAATGCTGCGGGCAGAGAATCCTCAACAGATTTGGCTCTTTGACGAGCGGCGACGCGACTTCGGTATGGCTATCTTACGCCCAAGGAAAAATGGTTCCGACAACCCAGACTTTGAAACGTTGCCTCCAGATGAAGCTGGCGTCATCCACTAAAGAGGATCATCACCAGACCCTGATGGCGTTTGCAAAATACGCACAAAATACGCACGCTCACGCCCTGCCACTAAGCCACGGTATTTTGCGTATTGTAATTTCAACACGAGCGGGATGGAATCCTTTGCAGACGACTTAGCTGTGCGAAACGGTCCTGTAAGCAGTAGAGTGGCCTTGTTGTTACGATCTGCTGAGGGTAAGCCGTACTTTGCCCCGATTTCCCCAATGCGATAGCTCCTCCCAGCCTCTGGGGGGACGAGTAGGGGTTTTCCGGTGTTTGTGTTTTTGGTTTGTTGGTTTGTTGGTTTTTTTACCTTCCCTCCGCGAAGAAGCAGCGAAGAGGAAGTCGGTGTTATAGAGTGTAAGATAATAGTGTAAGTAAAATAAGTGATACTGTAGCAAGTCATTTAATTAAATATCTGTAATAAATGAATATAGCTTGAAATTTTTTTAAATAAATAAATATAACCCTATATTTGATTTGTTTGATTTGAGAGCAGCGCTGGATTGCAGCCCAGTTTGTAGATGGGGAGACAAGAGAAGCCGCCCAAGCGTTCTTATCATTGCGCGAGTTCAAAGGAAGCCACAGCGGGGAGTTGTAAGCCTGGACCTTCCAGAAGTAGTCGAAGAATACGGCCTCAGCGAGAAAGTTGGCCACTTATCTTTCTAGTAGTTTATTATTACAGTATAAATACAGTGGCGAATTGGGCTAGCGGGATGGACCCCTGTCTGATTTTATATAAGCTTGCGGGTTATCTATTGCATAGTACGGACCAATTACAGTACATGTATACCAGAATCAGTTAAGTCCATTATGAGGAATCATCCAAGTACAAACACGCAATGACACTTGATCAAAAGTTCTCGCTAGCGTAATTTTACATGGGGTACTCCGATGCCTTAACGTTTCTATGCAGCCGATGACCCCAGACCCCAGACCCTTTTTGGATGTCCTCCGCCTTGATTAGGCTGGCGCTCTCACTAGGGCCAACACTTTTAATATATGCTTGACTCGAAACAACAGCACCTCGGGATAAGCGCTGATTTAGGCAACGGCATGTGCGGAACATTCCAAATTTCTCTGTAAGATACAGAAAATAACTCACCTCAATCGTCGCTAGCATTGGAACTTTTTTGGAACTTTTTTTTGGAGTAGGGGTCTAGAATCACGAGTTCCTAGACCGCCGTCGTGGACTAGTGGCCCGCGTTAGTCGACTTCCCTAGCAATGACGCGATAATATTTGGAGCTGGTTTTCGGAAGTACAGGAATGTACCTTCCAATATCTCCGGGGCGTAGCCTGACTTATTCTTTCGGATCCGGTGAGCATAGACACTGAAGGAGGCGTTTGGCGGTGGTGAAAAGAGGCGGCGCGGTGCTTGGGGCAGGGAACTTTTTTTCTAAGCTTCTTTTTTTTGGTGGCTGAAAACGGATAAAACCGCAGCATCTAAGCTAGGTAAGTAATTACATGTATAACTGGTAGTAGACTTAGTAGTGGTAAGTAGCCCTTGTATAGTAGTCTTTTTTTATTTCTGTGTATTTGGCTAAGGGGCTTGCTAAATGTCAGACGTCTGTCTTCAAGCTTAATTATAGCAATACGCGATAGCATCGGATAGACTTTATCGGAATTTTATTCACGTCCCAGTGCAGCGCAGCATCGTAGGTATGTGCGAATTCATCTCTTCGGCACCGCTTAGTTATATCCCAGTGGCATCTGTACGGAGTATCATATATATATACACCCCACAAGGATCAACTTTGTTAGTTTGGTACAAGCACCATATACGGCTATTGATCAGCTGCTTAAGCAAGACAAATGGAACCAGTCTTGGTGTTGTGGCAATTATGATGATCAGGTTCTGCGCCATAGAGATTTGTATGAGAAGTTACTTGTGCTTGCAACCAATCGAAATTAGGCCAATTCTGCTCGTATCGAACTAACAAAATAGATGTAGTCCTGCTAACATTACAAAGCATCTCGTCTTAGTAGGTGGTACTCAGATATACGAGATGTACGGAGTCGGTACGATCCATACGACCCCCATTCTTTCTTAAGACCGGCCCTGGCTTTGCACTAGTGGCTGCGCTAGAGGCCTGAGTGTGGCCACCCCTGGCCTAGGACCTGAAGCTGGAGACATGCTGATTCATTACTGCAGATAACAACCACCCATGTATTGCATTAAGGTATACAAAAGAATCGAATCACCCACGCTAGTAGCAAGAGTAACCTGGTTGAATTCGTCTTTCTTTCTTTTTCTTTCTTTCCTTTTTTTTTTTTTTAAAGAAGGCAGGAAACAAAAACAGCTATGGGTATGTGCCATGTGTGATGCCAACCTCAATTATGTGATGTCTAACATAAGGTCTATTTAGCGGAGCTTGCGAAGCACGAGACCGCTGTCGTCGTACCCAGCGAGAAGGAAGCTTTCGAAGACTCTCCCGCCGATGTCAGCCACGGGCAGAGTATCGCCATTCTCGAACAGAATTACGAGGGAAAACCCACGGACGAGGAATTTGCTACTCTGCGCCGTGTCCCTGGCAAGATTCCAACAGTCGCTTACCTCCTCTGTGCTGTTGAGTTCTGCGAGAGAGCCTCTTACTATGGTACGCTTGCCTAGTCGGATTTAACGGCGTCACATAGTATGGATGAAGCATTAATACTTATGCTTTCCTTAGGCTGCGCCCAGATTTGGACAAACTACATCAACCGACCTCTGCCCAAGGGTGGCAATGGTTATGGTTCCCCTGCACATGGAAGCCAGGCTACTCAAGGCGCCTTGGGCCTGGGCGAGCAAATAGCCGTAAGACCTCGCTCCTCTCCCGTTGACTTTGAGCATTTGTTGTGTGTCTCGCATGCTAATCTGTATCGAACACAGAATGCTACTTCACAGTCTTTCAGCTTGTTGGCTTACTGCCTTCCCCTTGTTGTCGGTTATCTCGCCGACACGAGATTCGGTCGCTTCCCAATGATTTTCTGGGGTGTCATCATTTGTGGTGTCGGCCATGTCCTTATTGTCGCAGGTGGTGCCAAGACACTGATCGACGATGGAACTGCCAAGATTCCCTTCTTTATTGGCGTGTACATCCTCGCTATTGGAGCCGGTACGTTGCAGCCCGAGTACTTGAACCCGTTCTGATTGCGGCACCTGGTTAACTCTTTTTCTTCACAGCCATGTTTAAACCAAATGTCACACCCCTCCTGCTGGACCAGATGAAATCGCATGTACCAAAAGTCAAGACTCTCAAATCTGGTGAACGAGTAATCGAAGACCCTGAACATAGCGCTGAGAGAGTCATGTTGTGGTTCTATCTCCTCATCAACATTGGCGGTTTCATGTCCACAGCGACATCGTACTCGGCAAGATTCGTAGGCTGGTGGTTGGCTTTCTTGCTCCCTCTCATCCTTTATCTTCCCCTGCCTCTTCTCCTTATCTGGCTCAAACCCCGTCTCGTTTTGCACAAGCCTGGCGGCTCTGATCTACCAAATGTTTTCCGAGTCATCAGTCACTGTCTGGCGAATGGCGGCGTATTCAGAATTGGTCGTAAGGGATGGTGGGACAACGCCAAACCGTCTGTTAGAGCTGAGAAGGGATTGTCCGCCGAAACCCACTACAGCGATCAGTTCGTCGCCGACGTACAGCGAACTATGCAGGCAACGGGAATGTTCTGCTTTTTCCCTGTTCAGTTCTGGAATGACAACGGGTACGGTTGCCTAGTTCCTACTTATCATCCTAACTGTGCTAACATGGGGGATGTAGTATCGGAAGCGCAGCAAACTTTTTGGGCACTATGCTCACAGGCAACGGTGTCCCTAACGATGTCATTGGCAACTTCAACTCCCTTAGCATTATTGTACTAGGGCCAATCCTCAATGTTAGTTACTCCGTGTCAAGGCTGCGGTTTCGTTTGCCTTTTGCATTTGGAAACGAGGAATCCGCTAACCAGATCCTTACAGTACGGACTGTACCCCTTCTTGCGCAAGTCTAAAATTCATTACGGCCCTGTTGCTCGTATCACGACTGGCTTCTTCCTTAGTACACTTGCCGGCATTGGCTATACTGTGCTAACTTACAAAGCCTACCAAACCTCGCCCTGCGGTTGGTATGGCTCTTCCGACCCGAGGTGTGTGGATAATGGATTGGTCTCGCCCATCTCTCTGTGGTGGGAGGCTATCCCATACGCTCTCGGTGGATTTTCCGAGCTGTTCATCAACGTTCCGGGTACGTTCAAAACTTAATATGCCATGTCCTTATCGATACTAATGCATCTGTATTACATGTAGCCTACGGTATCGCTTATTCTCGTGCTCCAGCCAACATGAGAGGCTTGGTGTCAGCCATCAACCTCTTCAACACTGGCTTTGCATACATCATCAACCTGGCTACCACAGCTGCGATTGTTGATCCTTACCTTGTCTGGGATTTTGGTGGCCCTGCTATCGTAGGCGCAGTTGTTACAGTTGGCTTTGTATGTGTTGGAACCCCCCTGTGTTAAATCAGACAAATACTGACTTTATTTTAGTGGTTTATCTTTCGCCATATTGACAAGGAAGAATTCGTACTTTCAACGACAAAGACTAGCGAAGCTGAAGAATCTGAGACTGACAAGCAAACTGCGTAATCTTATTAGCTTAATAACTTGGCAATGCGGTAATAGGCAACTCCAGGAGAATCTAATAAAAGCCAAACCAGCAATAATAAATATCCTTCTATAAAATAAACCGCTAAGCTAAATAAGGGAACCTTTGCATAGTAAAATAAAAGAATCATATGTTAAGGGAGTGCGTTTCTATTCCTTTATTATAAGATAATTAATATATTGCGCTCCTGAGGATTATGCTCTTACAATTAAGAATTCTTTTAACTTATACTCCGTACTCCTCAAGCCATCAGAAAAAACAGATGCTTTTGTGGTTAAATTAGCTGCCATTAGTAATTTAGTGTAGAGGGGTTATAGCCAGTTAACGTCATGTAGCACTCTTCTTCATACAGGTGACTATACCCACCCAGCCACATATCAAGATGAAACAGGCAAATTAATGCAATCTCCAAGCACATACAACCATAGGTAGTGGAGAACTCGGGGTCCCGTCAAGCTCTTTCCCTAAGTTTAATGTCTTCCATTCTTTGCATCCTAGGATTCCGTTTTTGGATTTACATACCTCCGTTTTTAAAGGTCAATGAACCCTGCTTTAAGTAATCTACTACCGTTAAATCTTTCGGCCCATTATCAAAAAGAGACTCGCCTTGCCACCGTTTTAACGCGTTTAGGCGCCTGCAGCCCAACATTTATGGGCATGGCCGGCTCCTAAACTCCTGACCCAAAATACTATCAGCATCATCCTCATCGTCGTCATTGGTAGCCTTGGTTTGGGATCCTGCGCGTTATAGACATGGCCAATGTCGGCTGAAGAAGCTAGATACCTTTGGCTAAGACAGGTTCTTTCTGGTAAGTTTGTAGCACTGCTACGTGGAGATCATCTTGGCTGATTAGTCTAGGAATACAGGAGAGGGCGTCAGAATAGGGGAAACTTGACTGGGGATAGATGACAGAGGTACAGAATCACAACTCGGCCAATACTCCTCAACCTCCTCCACACTCGGCTCGCTTAGAACCAGGAAGCATGGATTCTTAGGTCAAATGCCTTTAGAAGATTTAAGGAGATTGGGGTTCTTCTCAGAACCAGTATCTGGTGAACAGACTAGCAATGACCTCACAACGCCCGGGGTTGACTTAGGAAGCCCCAGTGATCACGAAGTACCTATTTTACAATTCATATGGCCACCCCCAGTCTTCGACTGCTCGCTCCCCCACTGCCCCTCTGGCAGCTAACGGCAGAGCGGGCTACTCATCACAGGCTGATGGAGATAGAACCACATCCATGGAGCATCTCTCAGGTGAAATCGACAGAGTCCGTCTACAATAGGCCGGAAGGTAAGTAATTATGTTCAACAGATACCTGCTTACGCTGACTGTCACTACTTAGCAGACCTTTGCTTCGGACACTGGTTTACTATACGACACATATTAAACCTATTCAGGGGGGGAGGAGAGCACAGTAATCTAAGATTGATGTTTACAGATTATTAAATCACAGGAGAGGCTTATATGGGGCTTAGACCCTAATAGTACGGCTATAGGTGTCGAGAATTGTTCCTCCAAAGGGCTCTACTTCTAGTTGTAACTAGAAGAGGGGTTTTTAATATAATAATATAGAATAGCGATATTACGCTGCAAAGTTAAAGGCATCATGATTTACAGATGGTAGCCCATTTGGGGGTGGCCCATTTGCAGGAGTAGTAACTTAAATTGTTAAAAAGGAAGACTAATAAGCTGTCTTCTCCAGAGAGATCCGAGTCAACCTCCCTCCGGCAGGTAGCTAGCTATCGAATAGCAGAAATAAAAGCAGCAGCATCATCCTCCTTACTCATCCCCGGCCGTTTCATTTATCCCCCTGTGACCTGCCGACAGTTAATGCGATACCAGCCCCTTTCCCCAACTTCGCATAAACCACAGCCACCAACCACAGTCTTGCGACGAATCTAACCCTCTTCCCTCTACTCCCCGAGCCTAAACTTGGCGCTGTCAGGAAGAGCATGTTTGGCCTCGGCGGCCTCGGCCACCGTGGCGTTCACCACGTGCAGTCCGCAGTGCTGAAGACGGTCTGGTACGTGGCGTGGAAGTCGCTCTCTTCGATGACCGTGGTCTCCCTTTTGAGCATGCACTTCTTCTCACCCGTGAGCCTGATGAAGTGGCCGCGCCCGTGGCCCCAGTCGATACAAAATTCCTTGACGCCCTCGACCTGGGTGGCGCTGTGGCAGCCCTCGTCGAAGTTGTAGACGGTGTACCCCTTGTTTATATCGTCGTTCCACCAGGTCCCACGGGCGCAGCAGGTAGCGCCGACGACTTGCTCCCAGGCGACGACCCAGCGGCTAGCAGCGGCGGGGACGGCGAGAAGGACAGAGATCACGAGCAGAGAGATATGCATGTTGTAGGCTGTGAGGTGGTGGACTTCGAGTGTATGATAATGGAGATAGTGACACGTAGTGGAGCAATTCGTGATAGCTGAGCGCAAAGGCGGTTCTTCAGGGCTAATTGAGCATATAAATAAGCTTGATTTTCTAGTCCAGGTTTGCGGCGTACAAAGGATATAAATACTTTATGTGTAAGCTTCTACTTAAGCTTACCATAACACAGGGAATCCCCGGACAGCCCGGTGTGCGCACTCGTCGTCTGACTGCGCGACCCCTGCTACGTGACAAATAGTGATTTCTTGATGAAGATGCAATAGTGAAAGGGACACATTTAGAGGCTTGGCCTACAGCAAGGAGGGTGACTTTGTCGGAAGGTTATGTTGTGTGCTTATGGCATATGAGGACTTGGCGCGGGGCATTTGCGGACATTGTCAGACTATTGTTGGCTAGATCTCCTCATAAGAGATGCCTTGTCAGATTTTGAGCCCAATGGGTCATGAGTCTGCTCGTCCATAGTCGACGATTAGCGGTCCAAGCCATCCTGCTCCGTCCTTACAGTATCCGCTTCTAGCATTCTATGTCTGAGCCAGAATCCTCGGGAGGCTCCATGTCCACCAAAAAGCTCTAGTGCGTCAATTCTTCGATGTTGGCTATACGCGGCAGGTGTGGCAATATATGGATTATACGCAGTACCTAGGCGGTACTTGGCGTCACGATCTTTCAGGAAAGTGTCCAAATGGCATGACATGGTTCAAGATGCTCTCGTGAGTCTAACAATTTGAAAATACGCGCTCCGGGAGTGACTATGGCGAAACAAGATGTCATTGCGGCTGCGGTTGCCAGGAGTGCCTTATTTGTCACCCAGCAAATGCCTTACTGTGCGATTCCGCAAGACCCAACCCACCAGATAATCCTCCCGTAAGAAGGTGAGATTATAACATTCCGCGGTGAATGACAGGACGCACTGCGTATTGCGTATTGCGTACTGCGTATTGCATACTGCGTATTGTGTACTGCGTATTGCGTATTGTGATCATCTTGCTCGTAGTTAACAAATCCGAGCCCTCATCTTCGCATTTATCTGCTCACGAGACGAGGCCTGGGATAAACGGATGTCTTTTAGGGAAAACAATCTGTGTAAATAGGTCTCGGCGCGCCCATATTCCCGAATTTTTCCACTTAACCCAATCTCATTTTGTTGTCTTTTGTTGCTTAGCTGTCGAGGCTTGTTGTGTGATGTTGCGTGCAGCGGGCATACGTTCTTAATCTAGCGGCATAGTCCAAACATCTACAACACTAAGTCTTAGTGTTACAGAGAGGTGCAACACGAGATAGACGGATTAAACCTCTGATGCTCTCATTCCCTCAACCAGATACTATTCTTATAAAGTACAGCTATGTGCTGTGCTGGACAAACTAGAAACTAGAATGTAAAGGAGAAATTCGTTACCTACTAATTGATCTTGGCTTTTCTATCTTAGCTAAGGGTAAAAAAAAACAAAATCTGCTTCAATAAAAGCATCGGAAAACACTTATATACCTAAATTAGAAACTCATAGAGGAGTAGCTGCATCATCCTCAATCACTTCTAACTCGTCCAAGTCATCCAAACTCTCAAGACCTAGGTCATCAGTCCCGTCGTCTGCATTCTTCTGTAACTCATCATTATCAAAGTGCTCAGTCTCTTTTTCTATCAAGCCTTCCTGGCTTCCATTTTCAGGAATAGATGAGTCTGGAGTCGGAACGTCCTCAAATTCTTGATCGTGGCCTTTGTAAGGCGCAAATGAGTGTTGTATATCGTCATTAAGCTTGTGATAGAGATTTATATTCTACTGTAGCATGTCTTGCAGCCAATGAAGTCAACACAAACTTGGCACCCATATGCGTAGCCAAAAATCGTCTATTAAGAGGGAACGTGGTTCTGTCAGCATTGATATGCCAGGCTAGGCTGCCTCGAGTGTACTCATATTTAGACATACGTCGCAAATTGCTATCGTGGACCTACTTTCTACTCTTCTCATTGATCTCTTTGCCTTTGCCAGCTGCGGCGCTTTGAGAACCGTCATCTGGGCTAGTATCCAACATGTCGATGATCTCGTTTTCAGCGCTACAGAGCTTGGCCATCTGCACCGGAGTGAACGTCTCGACATTTTCTTCTGTACCCATGGTAAATCTAACGGAACGGTCGGCTCCTTGGTCAATGAGAAATTTCACAATATTGGTATAATTACGAATCTCCGACTCTGAGTCGGGGCCAAGGCGTTTGACAACTCGGCGTGTATCCCAACAAAGCGGCGTCCAGCCATCAATATCAGGTTTATTGATGTACTCCATTCTGTCTCTTGACGGGGAATCCAAAAGCTCCAAGGTGGCTTCAATTGTCTCCATGTTGCCGAACTGGGCAGCCCAATGCAGAACATTCTTGCCAGCGTAATCGCAGACCAAATGATCCCCCCCTGTGGACGAGAGCCAATGCCTCGAAATTTTTGGCACCGTTCGCGGCAGCAAAGCGGATTGGGTAGCGGCCTAAAGGATCACGTTCTTGTACTGACGCCCCTTTCTTGAGTAAAAGGTTGATGATACTGACATCGGCAGCAAAAGAGGCCGCGCAAATTGCATTATAGATAGTGCATCCTCCCATGGCGTTAACGTCAGCACCATGGCCGATCAATTCACCAATAATTCCATCCACCTTATTCTTTCTGTCATCATAAGCTTCCTTCCAAGGTATAGATGCGCATTTAAGCGCCGTGCTATCGTAAGATAGCCCCTTGGCCAATCAGTTCGCATCAGCCGGTACAATAAAATTCTTGTTTGGTGCTACTACCGCTTCGATATGGGTGTATACATGTAGCTAAGGTACCCCCTCTGGGATGTATCGGCTAATGTTATACTCATTAATGACTTTACCTTTACTAAGGTAGACTTCAACTCCATTAACGGTTGTACCTTTGTAAGAATACTACCTGCATGTACCTAAGCACATGAACTAGAAGAATGTTGTTTCCATGAGTGCGGCAAATTGGAGTGGAAAAGCCTTGAACGGCTCTAAACCACCCTCCACAACCACTTGATCAAGTGTTGTCCTTTGATAGCCTGCGACGTCCCAAATATCACTACCTACAAGTTCCAAGTGTTTGCCAGTCGCCCAAGGTAGGCGATATGCAAGCGCTATCGCAGAAACATCGTCCTTTTGCAGACGAGCCTCGATTTCTTTGGTGACCCGCTCGACGCTCGGCCGAAAGATCTGGGGAGATGTCCCATGCTTGCGTTCTAGCGCCGCAGCGACTTCAGACCCGGTAACGATGAATTCTGAAAGCCCAATGCTCCGATTTTGAAGCTGAGATATCGGGGTCTTTGTAAAGATGGCAGCGTAAGCTGCGGCAATATACTTTCTCGTGCTGAAGTCTGTTAGATGCGAATTCTTGCGAAAATTCGGTACAAATAGAGACTTACCAGACATTCATTTTCTGGTGTTCGCTGTCACCGGTATAAACAATTCGGTTGCCGCCAACGTCGATCCCAAGAAGACTGCGGGTTATCCAGATTAGCCTTGAAGTTTACTAAACTTTCCAACTCCCACGAATACGTACAGGGAGTCAAATGTCGACTCAGCAAGGTTGCCCGGCAAAATCACAGTGGTAGGTATGCCAGCGTCTTTGGAGGCTTTTTCTACCCCAGCTTTGGCTTTTAGGACAGGAATAGTTGCCATCACCTCATCAACGCGATAGCCAAGGTCAGATGGCACAAAGAGCTTGACACTTGTCTTAGGAATGGCTCGTATGAAGTTATGTTGCTTCATAACACCTTCATGGCCGACCAAAGAGCTGGGATCTGTGTCAAAGAGCGAAGCCATAGTGAGACATCCATAATTGCAGCTCACATGAGGATATCGACATTTTCCAGTGCGCCAATAAGAGCTTTCTCATCATCTAGATCGACTGCAACTTTAGGCAGGTCATCCGGAAGGCGACTAACATCCGAGCCTGGACGGTAGAGCACTTTCACTGGCGCACCAGACGCGATGAGTGCGTCTACAATGGCTGAGCTCGCCCAACCCCGATGTCCGTAGACCGCAATCCTATTGGATGATGGCATGGTGAAATAGTACGTAGGCTTTAGTCCTGACTTCAGAGCGTCAAGGGGTGGCAAATGTAACGAGAAAGGTGATTGTTATTGTGAATCAGTAGTCGGCTGCCATTCTTCCCAGATGAGGGAAGCTTATGATTATTGTATGCATAGGCGTTGCTTAAGTGGAGGGACGGCGCCTATGGAAAAGTAGGCCTTTTCTATGGTTTAGACACAAGGTTCCGACCCAAATCCAGATATCCACGAAAATAATGTACAAGTAAAGTATTAGAGCAGCTGTGGAGTTCCCGAGTACCCGTAAGATTTGACAAGTACCCTATTAATTACCGATTTTAATGAGAGATTTGGAATCATTACATTTCTCCATAGCTCCAACCAAAAACCGTAGGCAGAAGTCACCGGGGTTAGGAAATTTACCATTGCTAAGTCCTCCTCGGTGCGCGGTCGGGACTTAGTTCCAGAATCGCGGCCCGACCAGCGCGAAGGATTTCATCGTTGCAATGTATAAGCGGGGCAGGATTGTGGACTCTATCAACGAACTTATTGACTCAATTTCTTTGCTGGCATTAGTATAACAACATGAACATACAACCTCATTAGAATCTTTACTTGCAGAACGAGCACAATATTTTCTTCAACGAGCGCAACACCTCAAACAGTAATACTTTCCTCTGTGTCCCCATATCAGCCAAAGTTCTGCTCAGTGTTGAATTGCTGCTATCATGGTAATTGAACCAGTGCTAAATCATCTTGAGCAATAGTCGCTTCTACGAGCCTCAACAATTCTCAGCTACATGTACTTGGAGACATTGAGGCTTCCAGGCTAGGTACTTACCCTGCCATACGCAGAAGTCACCATTCGCACCTCGCCACTAGTACATATTGCAGAACCTTGCCACATGTCCCTACCTTTCCATATACCGAGTATTTGTTGTAGGAGCTTGCAGGGCTGCCTTCACAAGTGAGCATTCCTGAAAATGGACCACTACCTGCTTGATAAAGACACGCGGTCCCCAGGCCCGAGAGGTTAAAAAAGTTTATGCCCGAGGTGGATGTGTTAGGAAAGGATGGCGTAGTTGTGATCCGTTGATCTTGGAAGAGCTCTAATTCCCTTTTATTAAGAGCGGTGCAAAGGAAAGGGGCTAGGCATTTGGGATTCGTTGAGTAACAACGGAAGCTAGGGCTGCCAATGCTATCTGCATTGCTGGCACTTACTAGAACCGCATCAAGTGCCAGTGTAGCTGCTGAGGACAGAGAATAGACAGATATCGCCTATGTGCCTCCGCGTGCAGCCCCGATTTTTTTCTCGCATGGAGCATTACAGAAGCTCCCGTACAAGGCGACTTGGGGCCCAAGCAGTTGCGTTCTGCATCAGCACTCTTAGTAGTTATCAGTATCCGTATCAACCATACGTATATAGCAAACTGAAGCATAGATAGAAGTGAAACTTGCCTGGGTCCCAGCCTCTACATCATGCCAGATATAGCCTTGGTTCTGCTAGCCGCAGAAGCTTTCGCACTTGGTGTTATGACAATAGAGCAGGTTTACTTAGTCGGCAGCCGCCAGTGAAAAGCCCGTTGCTGTAACAATCAGTATTGTTAACATATCGGCTGTAAGCTACTGTAGGTAAATATATTCGGGAAGAGGGCGTGGAAAGGAAACCATCGTGGGTTTCATTACTATAAGTGAAAGAAGTGTATCGGGTCGAGGGTGGTTTACTTCGTCAAGACATTAATTCTCGACTCCACAATTTGCTAGCTTTACATTTACAACAGTATACTCCCGCGGTATATTAGGAGCTATTGAGTATTCTCAAAGCTATCCCCAACGTAGTAGAAAAGAGCATAAACTTTTTCCCACATGATCCAAGTGCCCAAGCCTCGACAATATAACTCTCCCGATAACAAATTAACTAGCCATCACCGCGTCCATTTGGGGTTGTATCGCGCTTCTAGGAGTAATACACTCATGGCAATGGCTGTCTCCACAGCCTATATTGGCTCTCTTTTTGTTTTCTCTCTTTCTTTCCTTTTTTCACCCTTCTTTCTTTGTTGTTGTGATTTTTGCGTAAGTCTCTGTATAGTAATTAAAATGAGACTTTAGCAGAATCGCAAGTAACCTCAAGCAGCTTTGAGAAAAAGTGCGACATTCCAAAATAAAAGTTGAGAACAAAGGTGTATTTAACTCTTTTTTTTTTTTTGGAGCACTTTGACACCAATACAAATACAACAGTGGCACTGTCACTTGCTGAACGACCTTTAAAATCGAACCGAGAAAGATGAACGATCATGGCAGGTAAATGTACCTATATACATGTACTCTATTGTGTAAAGATCTAGCTGTAGTCGTATCTTGCTCATTCCATATATACTCGTACGTCAAGTTACTGTTGAAATAAGTTCTGCTAGCCCTCTCCCCAAATCCAACGTCATAACCCATATTACATTATGATCAATATTACTTTCGGCTTGCCCCACGTTCCATTTTCGCTCTTCTTTATTTACATTCCATAGTAGCATGCAAAAGAATTGGCCCCATCAACCTGAACACAGTTGCCTCCTTCAAAGGCTTGCTGGAACAGCTGCCCGCCGCCACAGTTGGATCCTTGGTAAAAGTCGCACACGCAACCACCAGCCCAGCAATTGGCAATGTTCGCATAGGCGCCGTAGTGATAGTTGTAGCAGTTCGGGGGTCCGGCGTATAGATTGGTGGCCCAAGACACTTCGACTGCACCAAGATAGCTGCTGCACTGGTCGCTGTAGTAGTTGACCTGCATTTGCTGTGCAGACGCAACAGATGCGGCGAGAACCGCGAGGAACGAGGTAGTTGAAAAGTGCATTGTGGCTAGATAATTTGGCTAATAGAGGGCCTGTGAAGAGTTATGGTGGCTCCCCAAAGTCAGACGACTGACGGCGCATGGTCAATATATATCTGCGAGAAAGGCACAAAGAGTCCAGGACCATATATACAGACCTAATTACTAGCTGACAATACTAATGCTGCTGCGCTTACTATAAACCAGCCGAGAATTCTTGAATGCAACGCCGATATTCCGATGCCTGCAATAAGGTGGCAATTGAGCGTATAGCCGATATACAGAATAACTAATCGTAAGCAGAAATGGTCACCTCTAACGATAAAATTGTAATTCTAAATAGAAATAACGGACAATGACTGGTTCTATAGCCATGTTTTACCAGAAGTCGTTCCACTATGTGAGTGGGACATATTGTATTGCTAGAACGATATACCTATCTATCTGGTGGGCACACTTTAGTTTGCACCTGCGCCTTGGGGAATAGCAACGATTACTCTAGTAATCGTTTAATACTTTATTTCCAGGATTGAAGGTGGGTACGTGGAGCACCATGCGGTAGAGCTTACTCAAATACAAAATCTGTTAGTCTAACAAAGAAACGATTGGCACGCAGGTCTCTCAATAATAGCGAATGAGCGAAAAATATCATCGTTTTACATCCGTTGTGAGTGGTGAATCTGTCAACTCTAGCCTCAATAACCGCAAACTGCGAGCTGAACCCTGCTTACTAATATTACTGATTGATAGTTTAGTAAACGTTTTGAAGAGGCCTGTATCATTACGGGGATATAGTAGAGATCATCTCTCTTAGCGCTGGTGCTAAGTGAGATACGAATCAGTTGTTTTTTTCGCTGGATAATTCGTGTCTTGTGGCCGCGCTTACTTTTAGGTGAGTTGTCCCACAGTACTCGCAGGGATTGTGCTAAACAGCGGTGAAGTACCAAGCAGTATTTGACCTCTGTAGTCAGAAAGAGCAGGTAATCCATTTTCGACTGCCTCTATAGCTCAAAATGAAGAAAAAATTGTTTGCTTATGAAGAAACGCACTGAGAAAGAAACGTTTTGAAGTCTCAAGTAATGGTTTCTTTAGATATGAAATGGCTGGAACTCAGTAAGCCTTTTTTGGGAGGGTTAGCACCGTCAATCTCTGTCACTATCTACATGAGGATGGTTGAGACGAATTGCTGGATAGCATAAATAAGAGGCGGAAATCAATGAAACGCTAGATCTCGGTCCATATATCGTACGTCTATTTAGGCATATTTTGAAACCGCCTTATTAACGACTTGGGTTTCGTCAGGAACTAATACTAGGGCTGCGCATAATTCCCCGAATGGCATGCAATAGCAATTTGGCCTAGTCGACTGACAGACCTCAGTTAGTTTAGCGATAGTCCAACATCAAGCTTACATCACCAGACCAGTACGACGTTTCGCATTGCAAGAGCATTTCAAACAGCTATAAAGCCGTTCGACATATAATAGATTATTCTAAGTCATTGAATGCCTTCCAGCTTATACATCCCTATAATCAGAGGTTTTAAAGGCCCGCTAACAAGCGCTACACTGGCTTTTCGACAGCTGAGCAATTCGGTATACACATAATGTAAAAGCACGTGGTGCCGGTAACATATATTATATGTCTACCAGCAGCAGATTAGAGTATGAAACAATTCCGTACACCAAAAACTTACCTGCTCGTGGAAAGATTTTGATCCTTCTCTGCATTTACGATATTTGATGAGGGCCTGAGTCAGGTGTAACATAACTGAATGGTGACACCACCTACAAAGCGTGAGACATGTCCCAACAACAAGCTCCATATTTCAGCTCAAATGTTCTGGGAAGACTACCCTGTTCATTTATTTCATTCATGTCTGGATAATATGAAGATTGCTAAACAGTAGAGTTAGTATATTGCAGGTGTTCTGCCCTCTCTACCCCAAAAATCATGTTTGTCCTACTAAATGAACAGTTTTAGATCTTATATCCCATTGGTTCAGCCCACAACGTGTTCCAGATTAGAGTATATCACAAGATCAACCAGAGCTGGAAAGCTCATAGCTACATGCATCAAGCTACTGAAACTGACTAATATTCACTGTGGCTTAATAAGTTTTTACGTGCATATGAGTAATTTTGAGCGCATATGAGTAGGTTATAAGTGCGCATTAGCAAATTTTGACTACCAGCTGAGCGGAATTGATAACTCCGACATGCAAGTTCTGCATCCAAAAAGTCTGCAAGAATTTGAAACCGCCAATAGGACGTTTGAAGATCAGCAGCCTTGAAAAGCTTAGCTTGTTCTGTTACCTTTGAAAGTATAATCCGACTGGTGTGCTCGATAGGTATAAAACTGTCGCTTTCCCACAGACGTTGATTCAAGCGCCAAGCAAGGGATACAAGTACTTCAACGTCTTGTTCATAGCATGAGCTCATAATCCATCATCACCTCTTTCTCGCAAATTCGCTCCTTCATAAGCTCAAGACTCTACAAAGGCTCCTATCAAAATGGCCCCTATTGTTATTGGCTCTCTCTGCTACCACTATCTCGCTGTTGATGTCATTGCTCCATTTGACTTAATCTTCGGCGGTACGAAGCAGTTTATGGAAGGCATGAGAATATACACACCAACTATTACCGACTCGATAGTCGCCAAGGCACCAGAATTTGTCTTTCAGCACATTGGCCTTTCCCGCGATCCCGTCGATCTAACGGCCGGCCTCACTCTAAAGCCCACGTGTACCGTCGATGACTGCCCTGAGCTAGATATCCTCTTCCTTGGAGGCCCCAATCCCGGCCCGTTCTCTCTTGATCCGAGATACGCTGAATTCATCCGGAATCACGTAGCTTCAGGAAAGCCTCTGTTTACCAACTGCACCGGTTCCTTCGTTGCCGCCATAGCGGGTGTATTGGACGGCAAGAATGCCACAGGTAATCACCTTGAGTACGAATGGGTGAAGCACAGGTATCCCAAAGTAAACTGGACAAGGGAAAAGAAGTGGGTTGTGGATGGAAACATATGGACGGCATCAGGTCCTATGGCAGGAATGGACATGATTCTTCACTGGCTAAGGGATAATCATGGGGAAGAGGTGTTTACTTGGGCGGCTATGAATCTCGACTACGAGCCTCGAGATATGGATGGAGTGAATGTGATTCCTTTCCGCTATGACGAGGATGGAAAGAGGCTGTTTACTCATGTTCATCGGTATCATGACTCTTACTAAGTGTGTTCCAGGAAATAGACGACGAACAGTTTGACTAGTGTATGTAGTATATAGCTTATTTTGAGATTCGCTATTACTATCTTAACTCATTGATAGATCATTGCTCAATAGGTTTGACGGTCGTGGAGCTTGAATCGCATTGGCAGCTTCGGATCTCCTTCGTACTCCCCTCCAGCTGTTTCCATACCTGTTCCCAGAATCTCTCTCCCTGCTCAAACGTTGGTCGCTCGTTTGGATCTAGGCTCATGCATTGAGACACAAAATCCTTCCATGCTTCTGGCACGCCGCCGCTTCCACGAGTCCACTCGATCGCCGTTTCCTCCGGATGTTTCCTCTCATAAACCCAGTCGTCATGTCTCTGCTCAAAGATGACCCATAGACTCTTCCCTGCACTATAGATCTCAGCAGCCTCCAGCGCTCTTGGGCATTCATGCTGCCACAATTGGAATACATTTCGCCTTGGCCAAGTCCCGCAGTTGTCAGTCAGTGGGCCTGTGAACTTTCGATATGCCATCGTAGGCTCTGCCTCTTGCCCTTCGCCCCGTTCTAAACTTTTGACAACCTCGACATCCCATACGCCGCTCGCTTCCGGTGCGAGAAAGAACGGAGATGCGCCACATTGCTCCCAATCAATCACAATCACGTCATTCTCGTGGTTCAGAAGCATATTGCTCGGTTTCAAATCCATGTGGTACTGTCCTGATGAGTGCACAGTCGCCATTGCCGATGCTAATTGGAACGCCCATTTCGCCTTTGCCACCAGAGATAGAATTGTGTAACTCTCATTGCTCTGGTTGATTACTTCTTGTAATGATTGCTGCTCGTAAAACGGATACAACATTCCGCAAAGGACACAGCCTTCTTCTCCAACGCCCTGATTTGCAGATTTAGGTGGTCCAGTGGTGACCAAGAAGGGTGGAGCTCGCTGGAGATTGAGATGGCTAGGAAGAGAGTAGATGGCCTTGAGTTCACGATGGAACGTATCTCGCTCGAGTTCATAGTTTGCCTCGCCTTCCAGAAACAGCCGGAAACTGAGTCCCTTGTAAACATATGACGCACCGTCTTTCTGGTCTCTGAAACGAGTAATCGTCGTCCCTCCGCGTCCCCCAAGTTTATGGGAAAACTGAAGGGACTCAAGTGATGCATAACGCGGTTTGATCACACTGCGTTTTCGAATAACAGCATCCTTGACAGAAGCAACAGGTAGGAGACTCGCTAGATATCTGCAAAAGACACTCTCGTGAGAGATTGTACACGCGGTTTCGCTGCGATCGTCTTGCTGAATGTGTACAACAGCATCCGGAAGGCGGATTAAAGGATCTGATGAGCAAATAGGCCAAACGTGTGATATTAGATCGTATACTGCTTGGCGCATGGATGCTCTGTCCGGAAACGTATTTTTCTCGTCGTCAACTTCAAGCTCGTGAAAGCAGGTGACTATGCGGCCGCTAGTGATGAGCGGCTGAGAGACATCGAGATCGAATTTAAAAACTAATGAAAGATCGCCACTGTAGGCCTCTGCCAACACCGCGGTCTCATCATCATTCCCGGAAATCAGCGTGGTAGTAATCCCCATTGTTCAATGACAGAGATGATCAACGCGAGTCTCTAGATTGTCAAATATTAAATGCTAATAAAAGCAGAAGAGCAGATAACAGTCCATTTGAGCAAGGGGCCCAAAAGCACAGACAGTGGCTACCTGTAACGCGTTGCACCCTACCTTTGACCCAACAACACCTTTGATTTGAACATCTCGCATCATACCCGTCAAAAAGTTAAACGAGCCTTCTCTCGTACCTCTTCTATGCGCGCAATGTCTCTATCTATCATTTTGAAGCTCTAGCTCTTCAAGAACGAAGGGTCCAAGAGTTCACATCAGTTGTACGTCCGCACGAAATCATTGCACATTGACTGACAGAGAAATGGTCTCAGATATAGAAAGAGTCAGTAATTTTCCATTTAATTTACTATTGGGCAGTGGTTACGACTTACCGAAGCAATTGTCATCGGGCGAGTAATCGTTGCTAAAAGGGATTAGCTTGTACCAACCAGAGCATGTCACCAACCTCATCTAACGTTTGAGAAGTGTGTTTGTAATTTCGCATGTAAGATTTACGTGGGTTGGTGGGAGAGAAGAAAAGCCAATCTCAGCCGGCTGTGAGCTCTCTCTGCCCCATGGCTCGGCATCAACGATGACAAAGGTAGTGCCATCCGCGCATTCATTGAGGGCTTTTGTATCCGAGATGCGGGATTCGTAGAGCTTCCGCCAGTGTTTCGTTTTGAAAGGTGGTCGTGGCTTGTAATGTATGTTTGGATGCAAATCTGGGCTTGGGAGTGTACAATTGAACTTGCAAGAAGAAATAATGTTGGAAGAAAAAGATGCGCCATCGGGAGAGGGCAATGGATCTATTTCAACACTGAAGGAGGTGCCGCCACCAGGTAAGAAATTCCCCCTATTCTAGAAAGAAACGGGTTCTAGAATTGTCGCTTAAATCATAAATATCCTGTGATATATCCAAAAAAAAAAAAAAAAAAAAAAAGGAAAGCATCTACTACAAACTCGCGTTCAACTCATGAATGTTGAAGCATAACTAGCCTGCTTGCTGATAAAAGTCAGCGTCGCTATAACGCCAAATACATATTATTCTCAGATGCACAGTCTACAGAAACGCTAGAAACGTAAGAAAACAACCGCATCTCAAGCTAATTGGCCTGCTTCAGCGAAGTTTTGACAGTGCAATTCGTCATCCTAGGCGGGCATATTGTAGGGCGCACAAGGCTCTTAAACACAGGCCCATTTGGCCCATCCTGAAAGTACGCCAGCTGAGGGATATTGAGAATCGCAAACTGTCGAACGTCTGTCAGGGGATATTCCTGGTCTCCCCACTGCCCAAAATATGTCAACCAGCTAACTGGCGGCTTGGCGTGGTTCTTGGTAGCCAGTGGAGTGAACTGATTGTTTTCTTCTGCTGAGCGTTTCGGATTAAAGTCAAAGGTGTAGTTATAAGCGTAAGCATTCTTGACCGGATCCCAGAGAGCACCCCGTGATGTGGTATCTTGGAGCAGGTTTTTAGGCAGAACAGCCTCCAGGATAGTAGAGAGATTCAAGTGACTCAAAGCGCCAGCAGGAAGGCCTGGTATATTCACTGAGCTCAAATTGACCGCGGGCAGCGGGGGCAGCGTGAATGGGATATTGTGAGATCCGTTCGTGGCATAGTTGGCATGGCCGCCGAACGATGAGAAAATGAGAGCCCTTTTGCCAATTTTCTGAAGCGCGTCGTATTTGAAAGCCTCGCCTTCCTCATGTTGGGACAAGAATATCTGGGTTGGCTTGCCGTTCACGAAGCGGACCACTGAATTTTCCCAGTCGCCAAGATGAAAGTCTTCGGGAACCCCAAGCACGTGCCCGCCGTTATTTAAGGCGAAGAAATAGAAGTAAAAGGCGTCGATAACGGAAGAATTGTCAGGGTGGGTTCGAAGAATGATGGCGCAGGAGACGGCGCCTACGGTCTCGCCTTGGGCATTTGGCTTAACACCATGTACCCAAGACGGCTCCCTCGCAAGATCTGTTACGTCTTCTTTGGCTGTCAGAAAGACTGATGTGTTACCAAGCTTATTGAGCTGGTTCAAGTTGTCGAGTGTCAGTGGACGCAACTTTTCGCCGACTTTGGTGAAGTTGACTTCGGGAACGGTGTTGAGTATCTGCTTGCCAATATCCGAAGGGAATAGGACTTCATTCTTATCGAGTGCGACGATTGGAGCTATGGAGCATTAATAATCAGCCTGGCTGAAAATCAAAACGAGAAGCTCAATATAAGCCTGTGCTACGCTTACCATAGTCAATAACAAAGTCTGGCACTTTTGGAGCTGCGGTGGCTGCACTGGCGGCCAGTGACGCCCCGACCAAGGCAAAGATGATGGTTCTCATGTTTACCTATTCCGCAAGAAAGTTTCACGATTCTCGGTCAACAGAGAATAGCAGAGTAGAGTGAGACATTTACGTAGATGGCATCTGCATATAGAATATATACGCAGAAAATCACTTCTGAAGCATACGTCATGTTACCTACGAGCTGCTATTGCGTCAAGTCTATCGAGGCACAGCTCCAAGTCATGGGTGAGATTGGAAATGGAAAATTGTAAGCCCGCTGTAAGCATCAGCGGGCTCACCCAAAGCCTCTTTTCCTGGCTTATATCGCTAATATGAAATCAGAAATAAGTCAAATCCCTTTATCCCAACTGCAGTTAGCCAGCACTGTAATCTCAAAGTCTAGTGCCATGCTGTTCGCAACATGCCGTGCTTCCGAGTCCCGATAAGATCAATCAAGATTCCATCTTGTAGCAGTAAACACAGGATGAAGCTATGCCTATTAATAGCAAAGTACAAGAATTTAGTACTATAAGCTAACAGTGTGGACCAATCATCTACATGCACTAACTGAATATCTTAGCAATCCTTCGTAGTAATGATCTCCGCTTAGTGTTTAGCACACAAAGCAAGACAATAACCATCAATACATGTAGTTGGCAAACGACAAAAAAGCAAAAATGAAAGACATACAACAGCCGGTGTTCGTCAGTGGTCGCCCACCTGACTACCAATCTGCCGGTTGGTGTCTAATCTATGGGGGAGCAAGACGGGAATCTGATTCACCAGCTGAACCTGGCCTGAGATTTTGCCATTTCCCGTTCTGCCCGCCGTCAAGCATATGCCCGTCTCCCGCTTTTCGCTTTTCACTTTACTTTAATATTCTGTTTTTTTTTACTGAGACCATTCAGAAGCACCTCTATCCAAACTTGACGGCGTAGTCCAATAGCACCTTGATCTCATGCTTATTTGTTAAAGCGACTTAAATCGCATCACTCGTAATGTAACGTAAATATTAGTTACTATCCTTTTAATCGCTCCTTTACTCCATCTCAATGGTGCCTGTAAGACTGATTAGAAACCCATTCTTGCATTCAGGTAGATTCCGCTTGCCGGACTAATTTCTATAGGACAGGGGAAAATAACTCACCGGGAGGCTTGCTTGTAAGGTCGTAAGTCACACGCGCGATACCCTCCACCTCGTTGACGATACGCGTCGAGATCTTCTTGAGCAAGGCGAAGTCAAATTCATAAGGCTGCGATGGCGTCAGTGCCGAGATTTTTTAACACTGATGGGAGATGGCGAGTTCTTACCTCGGCGCTCATGAAGTCAAGGGTTTTGACGGCACGAAGGCTAAAAGTCGAGTTAGCGGCCATTGGGGACTGGGAGTTGAGTTGAGAGCTGAGGGTAAGAGATGTGAATGGTCACGGTGTTCCAGATTCTACCACCATTCTCTTTCATTGGAGAAAATTGGCAAGTAGTAAACTGCCAAGCATGGGAGGAGATTCGTTGGAAAACGAATAATAAAACTTACATAGCAATGAATCCGTAAACTCGCGCGTCACCCTGAACACCAACAGCTGTGAAATTGTTAGTCATCAGAGTCGCGAGTGAGGTTTTCCAGAGATATTCCACGTTAGGCTAGAGCCAATGTGCGGCTGGAGCAGATATGGAGCCGAACACGTACCTCGGTCTTGACTGATGGCAACGTAGGCTTGGCTCATCTACTGGACGGTTAGACAGGTTCAAAGAGAGGAAAATACAGACTTCTCTACCTCGTCGTATATACCAGCTGCTCTAATCTCAGAGATAAAGATATGGTCGGCTGCTCTTGCGCACGCAAGTCGCTAAGTGATTATTGTTAGTATAGAAGGAGCAGTTGGTACTAGATGAACACTTTACCTGGTCTGTGATTTCTCCAAGGATGCGGATCGCGAGACCGGGACTGTTAATTTAGAACATTAGAGTAAACCATCTTTATGGGAGGCCAGAAAAACATACCCGGGGAAAGGATGGCGATTCACAAGGTCTTTGTGAATGCCCAGCTCGCGGCCAAACGCTCTCACCTCATCCTTGAAGAGAGCTTTTAAAGGCTCAATCAGTTTCAGCTACCAAAATCGTTAGTGAAATTTGAAACGCGGCGAAAATCCAGTCGGGGAAGATGGCCCGAGTAATTCGAATCAAATACCTTGAGAGTGTCAGGAAGGCCTCCAGTATTGTGGTGAGATTTAATAGTTGAAGATGGGCCTGGTTTTTTTGGTCAGCGTGGATATCTTTTTGACGACTTCAAGAAAACGCATTACCTTTGTAGGAGACACTCTCGATACTTTAAGATGAATAAGAAGTAAGAGTCAGTTTTTTCACGAAATAGGACCAATAGATCGAACATACATATCAGGGTATAGCTATAGCATCTGGTCAGCAGAATTCCAGAAAGAGATGGCAGTACATACAGTGCCTTGCAAGAACCATTCGACTGGGCCCGCATTGGGGGTGTCTTCGGCCTCCTTCTCGATCCGAAGGGCTTCTTGTTGGAAAAGATCGATGACTGCGATGAGGTTAGAGGTTTTCAAGAACAAGTAGAGAAACCTGGGGAAATAAACATACAGGTAGCTCCGATGATCTTGCGCTTCTTCTCTGGATCGTTAACACCCTTGAGGCGGCTTAGGAACAGTTCAGCTCCGTCGACAACGGTCAGGTTGATGCCGAGATGCTTGTCAAGAGTCTCTTTGACCTGTTCGCACTCGTTGAGACGCATGAATCCTGTGGGAAATATGATAAGTTTTCAGGCCACAATTGCAAGTTGTGCGAGTGCTTTCTTACCATTGTCGACGAGGATTGCGTGAAAGCGGTCCCCTGGATCTACGTTAGCCTCCCAATCACGAAAATGAGGGACCTTGAGGTCTAGAAACGAGTGAAGGGATGATTGAGCTAATGGAGGTATCAGGCTCAGAGGCGGGGGAACATAATCCATACAAGGACTCTTCGGCCGATGCCGTATCCCCACTTCACGCTGCACACACACCACAAGCCCAACCAAGGAGAATGGCTCTACTGCAAAGGAGAAAAACTAGAAAAGCATAGGGAACATACCAATTGCCTCTCGCATCAGCTTGGAGGCAACCGTCGAATCAACGCCGCCGCTGACGGCACCAATAACCTGAGCGCGATCGCCAACAAGGTGTCGGATGCTAGCAATCTCATTCTTGATGAAGTCCTTCATCTCCCAATTGGGCTGGGCTCCGCAGATCTCGGTGGCGAAGTTGCGTAGGATCTCAATACCACGGGGTGTCTACAAGAATCGAGTCAGATCAAGCTAGAATTGTAGTGTAGAGGCAAGGCTCAACTTACGTGTTCCAGCTCTGGGTGGAATTGGACACCTGCAAGAGTTTAGAATCAGCTGGAGGCTTGGAGTACAAATACGCAGGTGGGGCGAGGCGTACCATAGATGGGCTTGGTCTGGTGGGCGATTCCGGCGAACTCAGAGTTCTGGGTGCTTGCGATAACCTCAAATCCGGCAGGCAGCTTGACGAGCTTGTCAAAGTGACTCATGTAAGCTAAAACAGTATTAGATCCCATGGTTGAGCTGACGGTATGCTGGACGAGAAATCTCACCGTGCATCGTCTCTCCCAACCCAGCGAAGAGACGGTTGACGTGGGAGTCTCCTCCGTTGTGAATGGTAACATCGGCATGACCATACTCTGTGAAATCAAAATTGTTAAAACGCTAGTCCGGTTTATGACCACTCCATCAGGTTCACAAACCTCGGATTTTTCCACCAGCAACATTCTCAGAATCGATTCTCCAAGCAAGCTCCTGCAAAGAGTCGATCAGCTCACGTTCTGAAAACTTTGATCGTATTGTATCTTCGGCAATCCTCCAACTGCTCTCCGCAATCTCTGATGGCATGAGGTGAAGGCACAGACGTGCCTGGGAGTCATGATGTGGAAAAAAGCTAACAGTAGTCTCGGAGGGTTTGGAGATCAAGGGGTATCCATATGGGAGGCATTACCTGGCAACCGTAGCTAGACACATGGTATTAGTATCGGTATGACTCATGGGCAGTGGGAGGGCTCATACCAAATACCCAAGACTGGGACACCAAGGTCAAGAATGGCAGGATCAACATCTTGGGCATATTAGCATCAGTTTTTAATTGGCATAGAAAGGGACGTTTTACGAGGTGCGTCCTTATCGTAAACGGATGCTGGTCCTCCGGAAAGAATGATTCCCTTTGGCTTGAAGGGGAGATCGGCAAGCTTGGTGGTGCATGACAGCATTTCTGAGTACACTCGGACCTCATTTCTCAACCGACGGAGGATCAAGTGAGAGGTTTGTGAACCTAATAAGGAAACTAATAAGCATATTTGGCCATTGATTACGACTCTTGTAGATTGTCGGTGGTGATGCCGTCGATTCGGCGGGAGTGGGCTGGTGTTTGTCGTCTTATGGGACAGAATCGGTTTCGTAGATCAAAGGGACAAGAACCATGGGAACGGGCTTGACAGACCGAAATCCAACACGAGGATGGTCTGTTTCGCAAGAGATTAGCAATCAACATGCCTATATGGAACAAGACTGCCTTTTGCTCGCGCTCGTTGTTGTCTCTGACTGTGTCGGTACCACCAGTGTCACTTGGCGCAAGTGCCAGCCTGCCGCTTGCTACCCTCGTTGCAATTTGTAATCGAATGGTATGCGTGTATTTGAGTTTGCATGGTTAAATATTTTGGTTGTATTGGCTGAGGTTGTTTTGAGGACAAGTTTGTTCGAGATCATGACAGCTTCGGGCCCGGATGTTGCTTGGTGGTTGACATAGCGCTCGACACAGTCAGAGGCTCCAATGAACCTCGCGGAGGTGGCTTTCCGTTCTTTATGCTTCGAGAGGAGGATGCACGTACATCAAAGGTGTTATGAGGCGCCTCAGCCTCAATGTTTGCTGCCATCTTGAATGTTTTGCTCGGGTGCGATTTCGGAGTTGCTGGTGAGTCTCGAGGTTGCGCCAGAGAAAAAGAGAGGCAGAAAAAAAAAGTCTTGCTTGCGCACCCAAATCTCTTATCGGTGGGGCCGCGAAAGGCACAAAAATTCGTGGTGGGGGCGGGGCAGTTGACGTCCGTCTTATCTTATCGGGCATTCCTTTTCAGGCCATCCCCATTAACTTGAAGAGACTACTAGTAGGTAGCCCTCTTGACTTGATGTTTCGCAATTGCTGCGCCATGTTTTAATTTCATACAGAGACACTATAGAAAGAGATATCCTCTCCAGGTTGAATACCTCCGTTGCTACTAAAGAGAGGAACTTATACGAGTAATGTACACAGTCCGATATAGCTACTCTCTTGCGTAGATCGTCGAGCCACTACTTGCCCTTAGAGAGGACAAGCATCTTGGAACACTACCGGTGGCGGATGGACTTGGCGTCTTATCTACGGCAAACACAACAAACACAACAAACACAAACACGCGCCTCTGAAACAAACAATTCCTGCTCTTCAAGCCATACCAACAACAATAAAAGCACCAGAACTATGATCATAGGCAGTCCCTGGGTGCACATTCGCTGCACTTGAACAGGAGCCAGTTGGGTTTGCAAAGCTCACCTCGCATTGGCATACTGGACTTAACTCTACTAACTGTACACCACACCAAATTCCTGTCATTAACCCAGAACCGAGGTTTGATGTGGCTCATATCACGGCTTCGGTCGATCGGGGAACGATTGACTGGGAGCAAAGTACAGAATGTTATTCTTTGTCGACTACAGTCGATACGCCAGACTCTAGAACAGAGATGCAACATGAAAAGGTATTATAACAAAACAGGCATCACGTTCCTGCGTTGGCTTACTAAGACAATGGAAACGTGGCTAAGAGAGGTGGAGAGGCAAGGAGTCTTTTGTGAGAATTCTCTCAGGGATGTTTTGCCCTCTTCGCTCTATAATACGTCTCATCCTCTAGACGACATGATGATGAATGCTTTATTTGTGAAGATTCGTCAATACGAGCATATGTGGCAGGAGGTAGCTGGAAAGGGCGAGGATCCTAGCCTTGTTGCAAAGCCCCAGTTGACATTAGAAGACTTGGTCTCCATCATCCGACAATGTCCGTTGATTCAAGAGGATAAAAATTGCGAGCATTTGACGGCGAGTGGCTCCTGGAAAATCTCGGCAGAAGATTCGTTTAAGCCGAAAGCAGTGCTTTCAGATCAGCACTTGATGTTCGTCTATCCCATTGTTTACCGCCTGTGAGACAGGCCTGCTTTGACGGCGACTCAAAGACGCTCAATTCTCTCCTCTATAAACAGGAAAATCCGAACTCTTCAACAATTGATGGCTGCGCCATATTCCATTGGCTATTCAATGCTAGATGACCTTGCTGCCGTGGCGGAAACCTTGAAGTCAATGTTTGCCGAACCAGTTACTCTTCACGTAGATCTACCGTTCTCATTCCTGCGGAAGGCTCACGATCAATGGCCCCTACAATTGCGGCCTGAGACCGTACCTTGTGTCAATGGTTTTACTTCCTACCCCAGCTAACATTATACCTTGAAATCCTTGTACGAAAACAAAGAAAGATGAAAGTAAATTGAGTAAGGAGCTGTTTAATTCTTGCTATGCTAGTTATCTAATCTTAATATTTATTCAAAGATAAGGGAAACCAATTAAATGGGGAAAACCTTATCAAGACTTAGATATCTTATAGCCATTCTGTTCCTATGAAATATTAATACCATGGTACTACATTAACTTTTATCCTATGACGGAACACATACCGAGATTAAGCAGCACACACACACGTGCTCAAACATGTAACGCCTGCTACGCAAAAAAGGGTGTCTCCAGAACAAGCACAATAGGTATCCTCGCAAATATTCGTATCGCTCAGCCCTGCTTCACAAACAACATGTGCCTGAGCTGAGCGAGCCCCAAGTTCATTCTTAGCCTTGAGAGAACTAATGTCTTCATTTGTTTCGAACAATGCTCCATGAGTAGTGCAGAACAAGGCTGCTGAGAGCATTGTGCCGATTGCTAGAGTGATATGCATTTTGCTAAAAACGTTGGTTGCAAATTGGCTGATGAGTAGAAGGTTGGAGTTGGTGGAAACAGTGTATAGTGAGTGAGATGAGGCAAGACTGAAGAGAGAAGACTGAGGTTTTCTCATTACTTATAGTTTTCTTTATATGATCAAATCAGGTTCGCTGGCTGATAAACCAAAGAATCTAAAGGATTCCTCTCTTCCCCTCTTCCTAGTCCTTTCCGAGTGATTTCGTAGTATTTCTTGATGCTTTCCAATCCTATGAATATGTTCTCATCAATCCTATTGGATTGACTACAACAGAGCTGCTAAAGGATTACTCTCTTCCCCTCTTCTCAATCCTTTCCGAGTGTTTTCATAGTACTCTTTGATGCTTTCCAATCCTATTACTACATTCCAGTCAATCCTATTGGATAGTCTACAACGGAGATGTCATTAATTCAGGGTCGCTGGCTTAAAGGATTCCTCTCTCCCCCTCTCCCCAATCCATTTCTAGTGTTTTTGTAGTATTTTTCAATGCTTTCCAATCCTATTAATATGTTTTCATCAATTCTATTGGATTGCCTGCCACAGAGATGTAATACAGGATTATAGAATTCGACGCTCTCGTCAGAATTACGTTTGTAAGAAATCGACGTAGTTACAGATCAGGCTAAATCAGGGCAGACAATACTTTCATCTTCCATTAGCCAAATCATAACGTACGATAGGAATTCCCAAGGCAACCCTCCACCGTCGCAGTCACCGAGAGTGGTCGCATCTCGGACAAGATAGTCCACTTATGTGTGTAAGATAATATAATAAGTGCCTACAATAGCTCTTGGCTGTAAACGTACTTTCTCATCCGATTGGCTACACACAACCTGAGCGCGACCCTCCTTAATCCTAAAACCTCTTAGGGTTAGCTTAGTTACCCAAGAGTGCCGACGAGCCGATGAGAGGGAAAATCTTCCTTCAATCAGCTTGGGCTCGTCTGGAGGTGCAAATTCTGGCATGAAGAGATGGTACATGAATTTGCCCTTATTCATGATGTGATTGATAAGGCCATTTCAGATATAGGTCAATGGCGATGTATTTTGATCAGCATGGTATTTGAGTTTTCGTATTGTGGATGAAGTTATCGATAGGACACAATGCTATGTGGCTAGACTCTCGATGCTGCTAGAGCTGGAGTCTTTGGTCAAGACACTCGCCTAATTAAACCAGCCCGCTGCACAATATGTGATAAAGAAGAACACGAAGCGTACTTAGCAACGGTTGAATCATCAATTGCTATGGAACACATGAGCCAACCGCTCTAGGATGGCTTGCTCGACCCATTAAAAGGAACGGCCGGGTCAGCTGAAAGGGCAAACCTATTACAGGACTCCCTATGTTCAATCGCCGAGGCAGCGTGGCCTACAATATCAACCGTGGCAAAGTGAGCTCGAGGGTCGGATAATATTAGATACTCTCTAGCAAGAGTGCTGACGGACGAGGGCAACGTCCTGGTGTAATTCATCAAAGTTTCGTATCGCTTTTTGCCTGCTATGCGCCTACAAGTGAATGCTAGTTGCGCCTTTCTAGAAAAATCAGCGAAGTGTTGACCAAATCCTGTGCCACACAAATGGCTCCTCGAGTCAAGTATCATCAAAACACTACCCCACATCTTATCAATGCTAATCAAATGAGACATAGCTATCAGTACGAGCATGATCAGTATTGGACAAAAGAAGTTCAGGCCATAGGAGTCAAATTGCGAATCGATGCTTTGTTCAACGCTCATTGAGGAGACTCCAACCGGGTATGAATTGGCTCGGATTCCAAAGACATACTTGTACCATTGCAAAGTCAAACATCAGATATATCAATTGTGGGGTAAATGCATGCTAAAAACTGATTCGGGAATTTAGTTGGGATTATTTGCCTTTCTTTCGCATAAGACGCAGCAAGTGCTTACTATGGTTGCCCGTCCAGAAGATCAGCAGCCATAGCTTATTGAAGCTGACTCGGATATGTATATTTCTACAATGCCTCTAGGAAAAGTCCCATCCCCGTTATTCCTCTTGTTATGAGAAACTTTCTTATAATATCAAGGAGATTTGCTGCGCTATTTGCTTGAGATGTCTAGCAGCATTCATGGACTCCTACAACTTGCTGATTATACAAATTTCATGTTGCAATCATGGCTATCGTCAGCTCTCTAGCAGGACTATGTCTCGCAGCTATAATTTCTGCATTTGTATTCCGATATTCTTCATCTTATTCAGTTTCTGGCGTGCGAATTCCTCTCGGTTCGAAGCTGCCGCGCGGTCCTAAAGGTATGGTCTTAATGATACAGAGAGCATAAAATTACGAATAAATATACTGACAGAAATTTACAGGCGTCCCAATTCTGGGAAATCTGCCTCAGGTGCCTCTTACACACTCATGGCTAAAATTCAAGGAATGGGCAGGTCAGTATGGCCCGCTCTACAGCCTTTCTCTGGCAGGCAACCGTCACGTCGTTGTGTCTACCGAGAGAATCGCCAACGATCTCCTGCGGGGACGAGGCAACATTTACTCCAGCCGGCCGTATTTGCCCATGAGCTCCGGGCTCCTCAGCCACAACTTGCGCCCTGTTTTGCTCCCGTACAACGATCTCTGGCGCAAAGGACGTAAGCTGATGCACAGTCTCGCGTCGGAATCCGTCGCGCCGGCATACGAGCCAGTTCAGCTGCGTGAATCTTTCCGGCTGTTGAAAGACCTATTAGCAGACCCAAACAATTACGAGACGTGGTTTGAGCGCTTATCAGCCGGTGTTGTTCTTCAGCTGGCGTATGGCAAAACAGTCGAGACTGGCGACGAGCCAATCGTGAGAGACATTCTGGAGGTCGTGCATACCCTTGAGCGAGTCATCTCTCCAGGCGCATACTTGGTCGATACGTTTCCTGCTCTGATGTGGCTTCCAAAATGGCTGGCCCCATTCAAACGCGAAGGAGACCGCCTGCATAAACGAGAGTTGAATCTGTTTCGCAAGAACATCGAAGACGTTCGGGCTGAGATTGCCAACGGGGACCAGACGCCCTCTTTCTGCAGAAGCTGGCTTGAAAAGGAACCTTCTTTCGGCTTGAATACGGATGAGGCGGCATATGTGATTGGCACCATGTTTGAAGCGGGTGCAGGCACTACAGCTGCTGCTCTGATGTCTTTTATGCTGGCCATGGTGCATCATCCCGAATGGCAGCGGCGTCTGCAGCAGGAAATCGACGCCGTAGTCGGAAACTCACGTCTCCCTAACTTTGACGATATACCTCGCCTCCCAACAGTACGGGCAATTGTCAAGGAAACCTTGCGGTGGAGGCCAGTCACTGCCGGCGGTGTGCCGCATCAACTCATCAAGGACGACGTCTATGAAGGCGTTTTTCTTCCAGCGGGAACGAGCATTCACCCAAATCAATGGGCGATCCATCGAGATCCTTCTCTCTATCCAGATCCAGAGAATTTCCGCCCCGAGCGCTGGCTGGAGCCCTCTTGGCCGACGTACCGCGAGCCTTTGACCCAGTTTCCGAATCTCCAAAATTTCAGCGCCTTTGGATTCGGTAGGCGTATTTGTCCAGGCCAAGCCATTGCAGAACGAAGCTTGAACATTGCAGCTGCTCGTGTCGGCTGGGGTTGCACGGTTTCGAAAATGAAGGGCGTCGAGGTTCCGTTGTACGACTATACGGCTGGCCTTAATGTGCAGCCTAAGAGGTTCCTTTTTGAGCTGGAAGCGAGGGGAGATCACATCATGAGGCTGCTAAGAGAGAATGTCTAAGGCAGCGGAGGGTCTGCCAGAGCATGAAGCTGGGCATGATATCCCGTTGGCTAGGAGGAACTTGTCGAATTGTTTGGGCGGAAAGCACTGCATCCGAGACTATAGCGCCCAAGCGCATGAAACAATCATGTTAATCTATCGACAGAATGCTAACTGCAACTGGAAGCTTGAAAATGTTGATAGCATCACGGGCATGCTAAGATTCAGCTGGCGCTTTAGAGTGCCGCTGTCGCTATTGCTAGCATTGGACCAACAAATCTACTATTGGCCACTATCACGACTAGCAGCTGGTACTATCAGTTTTACTATCAGCCACTACCGCTGCTAGCAGCCACTGGTCCATTTGCCACTGCGGCTTTCAGCCTCTGCTGCCATTTACTTATTGATGTCTATTATTCCAAAATAGATTCGGTATCGGTCAAGCAAGCTGCATGCCAACTGTTCGCGCTATATATGAGCATGACTGATTGCATCTAGCTTAAGGAATGTATATAACCTTGTTTACACAGCCTTCCTTAATCCAAATGAGAACTCTAGTTTGTTCAATACGATACCTTCGACAATATCGGCGTTGTAGCTTGCTCGCAGTCACAACCAACGCTCAGCACATCACCTACTAGAGGAGTATATAACAAACAACTCAACGCTCAGTCCAACTATCGCCACTTTCAGCAAATAAAGACGCCCCTCTTAGTTCAAATTAAAAGAGAACCAGGACTGCTCCTCTGCAGCAGTAGATTCCAGCAATGGCTTCCCCTGCCATCCACAATCGCGGCGGACCCGTCCAGACTGCTCATCCCGGAGTCTTCACCTGCTCACAGTCCATCTGCTCAGACGCCGGCTGCGTGGACAACAGCCTACAGTTTGAATGCATCTCACAAGTCAAAGAAGGCTACGACATCTCCTTTCTCGGGTTGACCATGGAGTGTGACGGAGACAAGAGCGGATACCCGTACTTGGCCTGTACTTGCATCGAGGATTTTGTCAACTGCGATGACAACGGCGCTCTCCAAGGCCGGGGCAGTCCCAGCGTCGTGGGCGCAAACGGCTACGCTTCGGCCACGACGGTGATTGGAAAGAAAGCAGGGAGTGCGGTGAATACTCAGGCTGCGCAGAGTCAGCCGAGTTCAAAGAGTGCCGCCAATAAGCTTGGATGGCAGGTCAAGTTTGGGCTTGTCACTATTGTAACGGCCGCGTTGGTCCTCTGAGAATTTTTAGCAACACTATATACCCAAGAGATTTACCATGATCTGCCCAGTAACTGCTGCATTCGTTATACCATCACTTATCAAGAGGAACGATAGCTGGACATTTAGAGCATGCAGCACAACATATTGAGCTCGTTTATGTGGCCTGAGAGTGCCTATGTCCGGAACATTTCCGGCGGCTAACACAACGCCATTCCATAAGGCTTAGGCCAACTTCTACAACAATCTGTCACACAATCACAACTCCTTACAACTAAAACCAAGAGATGAAAGCAAAAGGTAAAAACACACAACGGCTAGGAGATTATTTTTTAATAATAGGAATGTTTGTAATATTGACTTATATATGGGGGAGCAGACGAGACCCCGAGTTTTCCACGACCTATGGCCGTATGTACTAAAGTACTACCCAACAAAATGTATGAATTACAATGAAGAAGGCGCAGATTACAATATTTGCCTTGCTCTTTCGACTTCTTAGTGATAAATTCATGTGTTAGTTTAATGAGATACCCCGTACATGTCCCAGACATTGTGAACAGACCAACTGGCAAAAATGAAGAGACCACTTCTGCATAATTATACAGTACATGGGGAACCCAGTTCCGCCAACAGGCATAGTTTAGTAGCCATAAGTTATTGGATAATAATCATGATATAGCCCGCTTGTGGGGCAAATTCTGCATGTGTGCCGGCGACATACCATATACCCAAAACACTGTTGGTTTCTATATTTACTCCTTACCAAATTTGTGCGATTGATGCCTGGAACCCCGCGCTTGAAAATGCCTGGAACCCCGCTTTTGAAAAAATTCAATTGATAGCTGAGGAGTGTGTAGTTGAAACTCCTCACTTCATCAAGAGACCATGCGAGATGATGAAGGCCAATAACTCACAAACGACTTTGGTAGAATTTTGTACTCTGCGAAACACCCCTTACTTCTGGTTCCTCCATTCTGCGCTACACCAAGTTGGAGGTTATGTCAGACCCCAAAACCTACACGGTGGGTTGGATATGCGCCATCACCGTCGAATATGTTGCTGCTCAGCTATTCCTTGATGAAGAACATGAAGGACCGCAACATCTTCCTCAAAACGATTACAATAATTATAAATTGGGTAAAATGGGAAGCCACAACGTCGTCATTGCCGTGTTACCTGATGGGGAATATGGGACCTCTTCTGCAGCGCGCGTGGCTGCGGATATGCACCATAGCTTCCCAAATGTTAAAATTGGGTTAGTAGTTGGTATTGGCGGCGGTGCTCCTAACAAAGACAATAAAATTCATTTGGGAGACGTTGTGGTTAGCTCCCCTCGCAATGGTTTGGGCGGCATACTCTCTTATGACTCGGGCAAGGCGATACAAGACCAACCATTTCAGATGTCAAAGTTCTTGAATCAGCCACCCACCTACCTTCGTACAGCAGTACAGGGCCTAAGGACACAGTATGAGATAAGGGGGAATCAGCTTGAGACAGCCATCGTTTCTGTTCTGAACAAAAGGCCAAGGTTACGGAAATACCGACGACCTGACCCAAGCACCGATAGATTATACCGAAGTGACGTTCTTCATCCCATAGGCAACACATCAAAATGCGCCGATGTATGTGGGAATGATCCATTAAATCTAGTATCTCGACCTGAACGAACCGAAGATGAGGATAATCCAATGGTTCACTATGGTATAATTGCTTCTGCAAACACACTCATCAAGGACGCTACGGTACGAGATGAGCTTGCTAAAGAAAAGGGCGTTTTGTGTTTTGAGATGGAGTCGGCTGGATTGATAAACCATTTCCCTTGCTTGGTTATTCGTGGCATATGTGACTACGCGGACACTCATAAGAATGATGATTGGCATGGTTATGCGGCTATGACAGCTGCGGCATATGCGAAAGATCTTCTCCGCCAGATATCCCCGAACAAAGTTGAAGCTGAGCGTAGAAATGACGGTCAACTTGACAAGAGTTAGTCATCCAACCCCTGTGGCATTTATACATGAATGGATTGCTAAGGAAACCCCTGAAAACGAGTTGACGAGAAGTTGGATGCCCTGAGTCAACGCACCATACTTGATAAATTGCCTGTTGCCAGAGAAGCAGCCTTCAACTCAACCCCTGAGGCACAGGAACCAACCTGCCTTGCCGGCACTAGAGTCGACATTCTCCATCGGATATCTGAATGGGCCAACGACTTCAACACCAAACCCATTTTTTGGCTCAGCGGCATGGCTGGGACCGGAAAATCCACAATTTCTCGCACTATTGCTCAGTCCTTTGCTGGCCATCTTGGTGCCAGCTTCTTCTTCAAAAGGGGAGATGCGGACCGAGGGACTGCATCTAAGCTTTTCACGACCATCGCTGCCGACCTGCTCATACGAGAGCCTGCTATCGCTCCGTACGTTAAGCAAGCTATCGACAATGATCCTGCTGTTCCGTGGAGAGGGCTGCAAGAGCAGTTTGATCAGCTCATATCGCAACCTTTGCTCAAATTTGCCGCGGACGGAGGGAAATTTGATTCCGTAATCATCATCATAGACGCCCTTGATGAATGTGAGCGGGAATCTCAGATAAAATCTGTTATCGATCTTCTTTCTCATCTCAAAATTCGACAAGGTCTATGTTTACGAACCTTTGTTACTAGCCGACCTGAGTTACCAGTCCGGCTGGGCTTTCATGCTATTGAGCATAAAAATCTAATCCTTCATGAAATACCTCAAATCATTATCAAACAAGATATATCGCTTTTTCTAGAGTACAAGATGGCGGAAATCCGCGACAAGTTCAATGCTTCCGTCTCAAAAGACCGGCAACTACCTTTAAGCTGGCCTGGTGAGTCTAGCTTTCAGTCTCTGGTAAAGATGGCTGTTCCCTTGTTTATCTTTGCTGCAACTGTTAGTCGCTACATTGCCGATCGTAGGGGCGGAGACCCTGATGAGAAATTAAAAGATATCCTCCTATATGAGTCAAGAAGCCAGGAGTCGAGATTAGACGCAACGTACATGCCTGTGCTGAGCAATTTAATTTCTGGATTATCTACTCGTGAGCGAGAGAAAACAACCAAACAATTTCATGATATCATTGGCTCGGTCATTACTCTCGCAAGCCCCCTGTCTTCACTAGCTCTCAGTCAGATCCTCAATATCTCGAAACGCATCATTGATAGCCAGTTGGATCTACTTCACTCAGTTTTGCGGGTTCCTTCATCACCTGAGTCTCCTATAAGGCTATTGCATATCTCTTTTAGAGATTTCCTAACAGATCCTGACAAGGAAGGAAGGAGCCCTTTCTGGATAGATGAAAAACAAGCACACGCAAGAATGGCAATTAATTGCCTGAATATAATGGAAAAACATCTTAAATGCTGTATTTGCGGCATTCAAGATCTTGGCATGCCTCGCTCTGAAATTCAGCCAGCACATATTGAGGCTTGCCTACCCCCAGAAACTCAATATGCTTGCTTATATTGGACATACCATTTACGAAAAGCGGAGAAATATATGAATGCCAACGAGAAAATTTACAATTTCCTTATATGTCATTTCCTCCATTGGATAGAAGCGCTGAGCCTCATGGGAAGAAGTCATGAAAGTCTTGGCCTGATTAATGAGCTATTCCCTATTCGAGATGTAGGTTGTCGTCTTCACATTTCTACAAAATGATTGAGCTAAAATAATCAAAGCCAATTTCCAATCTAGAGTTGGTATACTTTCTCGATGACGCTATTCGCTTCATCCGTCGAAATATTACTGCCATTGAGGAAACTCCTTTACAATTATACTCGTCCCTACTGGTTTTCGCACCACGAGACAGTGTAATAAAGAACACCTTTAAAGACCACATAAATTGGATAGCCCGTGAACCGGAAACAGAAATGGAAACCTGGAACCAGCATCTACAGACTCTTGAAGGTCATGGCGATGGAATCAAAGCCGTTGTTTTTTCGCATAACTCGTCGTTGCTAGCATCAGCCTCTCGGGATGGGACCGTGCGTATTTGGAATCCCAATACAGGGGAGTGTCTCCAAGAGCTTCAAGTTGACGGCACCGCAGTTCAATCAGTCATCTTCCTAGAAGGATCTACGCGCGTGGCATCAGTATCCAAGAATATGACAATCTGTATCCACGAAGTGGAGACAGGCAGGTGCATACAACAACTGAAGGGATATCATCAAACCCATGAAGCGGCAATTGCGGTATACAACTCAATATTGCTAGCATCAGCTGCAAGTAGTGATATGGTGCGAATCTGGGATATCAATGCTAGAAAATGTCTGCAAGTGCTACGCAGCCATAGTGAGGATGTGTTTTCACTAGCTATCTCAACTGACTTAAAACTTTTGGCTTCGATATCAAACGACAAAACAGCATTTATTTGGGACGTTGATTCAAAAAAACCCATGAAGCGATTTCAAGCCAATGGTGCGATTGCCCTTTCTCGCGATTCAAAGTACATTGTTGCCGGGGGCATCGATAACTCGGTAGGAGTTTGGCCTGTTACCCATGGAAATATACTGCACAAGTTTGAGGGTCATACTGGCCAGATCACAGCGCTTACCTTTTCAGACGACTCAAAATTGGTAGCGTCAGCTTCTGTTGATCGAACAGTAAAGATATGGCATGTTGAGCAAGGAGTATGTATCCAAGAGATGCAGAACTATAGCAGATGGATTTCCTCAATCACATTTTCACATGATTCGGCGATTGTAGCACTAGCATCGGATGACAGCACTATAAGGATCTGGAATATTGAAGGAAACCAAGAGATTGAAGATTCTCCTGATCAATGGGGCCCGGTTATGTCGATTGTTCCATCGCCAGATTCGACGCTGGTCGCATCGCTACATTATGCTGAACGAGCGGTGCGGATGTGGCATGTCGACAATGGAGAATGCATGGGTGAAATTGTCAGTGATGACTGGGTGGATTCAGCTAACTTTTCGCTCGATTCAGCATTTTTAGCAACGCGTGCAGTAGACCAGACGGCACATATCTGGCGTACCGATTCCGGTGAATGCGTATACGAGATCCTGAGTTGTAGTGCTTGGTTAGAATCAGTAACCTTTTCGCACGACTCAGCGTTAGTGGCATCAGCTTCTATTGACGGTTGTGTGGTGCAGATATTGGATGTCAAGGAGCATAAGCAGATACAAACTCTTCACGGCCACACGGGGATGATTCGCTCAATTACCTTTTCCCATGACTCAGCTCTGATGCTTACTGCCTCGGAGGATAAGACAGCACGACTCTGGCATATCGAATCCGGGTTATGTTTACAGGAGCTTCAAGGTCATGCCTGTGAGATTACATTCGCTGTCTTCTCTTACGATTCAGCCCTTGCTACATCGACCTCGTCTGATAAACTGCGAATCTGGGATGTTCAATCGGGCTCATGTCTTCAAGAATTTCCTGGGCACGCCAGTGATCCTAAAATAGCTGCATTTTCGCATGATTCAGCCCTTTTAGCAGTATCCTATCAGGATAATATGGTACGGTTATGGCAAGTCCATACAGGCAACTGCCTGTTAGAGATCGATCTCGGAGCAACGACAACTCGCTTGAGTTTTTCAACATCTCTTTCAATTTTGGCTACCGATGTTGGAGCTATCAATCTACAGTATCTGAGTCGACAACCCTCTCACAAAGATGAACATCATGCACCTTTTTGTGGATATGGTATTAGCAAAGATCGTGCTTGGATTACATGGAACGGCAAGAACACCTTGTGGCTACCTCCAGAGTATCGGCCATCATGCTCTACTGTGCTTGGGTCTACAGTGATGTTCGGTACTTACTCTGGCAGTGTTATATCATTTAGATTTCCAGGTGACCCAGAGTTATAGAATGCTCCACGCCAAAATTTCCTTAGCATGCGTTCTAATTCGTTAAGCGTGCAGGATACAAGCAGGAGGCAGATATGTCAAGGGCGTCTCAGAGAAGGAGTGTGAATAGCAAAAGTCCTTGGGTTGATGGATAACCGATATCGAACTTTTAGATTTTAAGAAAGAAAAAAGAAAACAGGGAAAAGAAAAGAAAAACAGTGGTCGAATTGATACTGTTAAATGATACGGTCGTGTGATGCTGTTCAGTATAAACAACTTGACGGAACCCCGAGTTTTCCATTACCTATGGTCGCATGTGACTAGTGGTGGCTTCAGTTTACTCATGGTTCGTTTGCTGCTAGAAGATTCTTAATGACACGGAATGCGACAGCAGAGATTAAAGTAGATGGTTCAATAGTTTATTTGGGCCATGAGACGAAACCAATGTCGGGAAACCATTTGTTCTAGCAGCTGGAGCGGCATTCCCTTGGAACGAAACCACTGGCACGGATGAAGCATCTCTAAGCTTCTCTTTTGCTTGAGAATAGCTGGGCCACTCGGTTTAGTTACCAGTTCTAGCCAGGTAGCTATCAATGGATCACAAGGCTTGTCAAAATGGCCCCTGGCAATGCTCTATGCATCAACTGACGAATCATCACAAACTTGCAAGAAAACTGCGAGCCAAGATTAATGCCCTCAGGCAGGAATCCCACCCATGGCTGCTGGCTACTACGAGGTGTGAGTTGAAATTCACAACTTAGACAGCCGTCTTTACAACGACGCAAGATGGGGTGTCAAACATGGATGGTTCGAGTCAGACAGAGTAGCAGACTCGCTTGGTGGAGGGGACGTATCCTACATCCATATGGGCGGCGCTCCAGGCCCAGGTATCTTCTGCACTGCTTATTACAGCTACCCGGGATGGCCAAGCGTATTTTAGATCTCTTACGTGGACTTCTGATAAATAGCAACGGTCGATAAGACAGCTAGCATTCTTTTAATGGCTAGATTGTCCGCTTCTACGTTCAGCAGATGTGATTGGTGGCCTCTATCCCAAAGTATTCGATGTACGAATTACAAGGTGCTAAATGGCTTCCTATCTATTATTGAAATATGAACCTTTTTAAGAGCGGAAGGGCTTTGGTAATACAAGCTGATAACTAGAGGTTGGGTCAATATTATAGAAGATACTAGTGTATATCGAGTAATGTATAGCGGTTTTGTCACGACCCTGTATCTAGTAGTTGAATTGATGGAATAACAGACCTACATGCTAAGCAGCCTGGAAGCACCTTGGAGCTTTTGTTATTTAACGATAGGCTTTACTTTGTACTTGTAAAATGATTATAGATATTTTGCGTTGTGGCATGTTGACTTGACCCTTGCTCTCCATAGCGGCTTAAGCCAAAGACCCATCAGGCCGACCACGATTGTCATTGCTGTTCCAGCAAACACGTACTTGTGAAAACATGATGTTTATTAACAGACCTAAGCTTCATCTCCCAAATCAAGCCTCAGGATTGTATGCCTACGCATCATAGCCTCGGCTACTCGAGCCAATATTATTCGTCTTTCTCGATGCTTACAACAAGTGCAGATGCCAGAGCATTTCCGTCCTCGGCAACTGATATGACCCAAATCCAATCACCCACATCCGATTTTTGGGGCTAGTTCGGTTCCTCAAAGTCCTGAGACGGCGGGATCAAGCCCGGATGACACACAAGCTTCCTTGCAAGGTCCTGTGCATACGCGCACATTGTCAGTGTCGGGTTCCAACTTCCTGACGTGGGAAACACCGCTCCACCCGTAACAAACTAAACGTGCATTGTTAGTTGAGGCTTGTAACGAGAACTTCATGTAATGGGTGTACTCACTACATTCGCAATTCCATGTGGTCGGTACAAGCTGTCACATGAGCCACCTTTCTGCTTGCGTCCAACAAAAGCCGTGCTTCCCTCATGGACCACACCGGGCGCACGAATCGATTCCCAGGCGGGTTTCTTCTCGACCCATTTATTAGCTGTGTCGTCCCAGTATTCAATCACTTTCGGCTGATTGCCAGAAAGGACTTCAATTGTCTTGTAGATTGCCTCGTCCATAGTATCCCACATCCTTTTATCTTTTGGGCTCAACGTATATTGTACGGTGATATTGGATGTAGGATCAGGCGTGTTGTTCAGTTTGACCCAATTCTTCCTATTGTCTTCATCCAGCTCACCCAATCCCGAGAGGACTGTCATTTCACATTAGTATAACCACTGAGATTGCAGGTAACTATACGTGCTTACCAAACACAATATGCTTCTCAGAGCCCTTGAGCTGCTCATCCGTTGCGGCTGCGGCATAGTCAGGACATTCCCGCCCTGCGTCCTCGGCGTCGGCCTCTGGATTGGGACTATGGATGGCAGTAATCCCAACATGGTACTGGCGATGCGTATTCGGATCTTTTCCAGCAAGATATGTGCAAGCAAGCTGGAGCGATTTATCCCCATTCCAATGGATAGCTTCACGCGGAATACGTGCTGCAATGTTTGACCGGACATGGCCTGTCAAGCGTTTGCCAACATTGCCATGTGAGGGACGACACTCCTCGAACGAGTTGAGAAGTAATGTGGCATTAGGAACGGCCTGTGATGGGTGTCAACATCTGATTTACAATGGGGGTAGTGTCCAAGCAACTTACTCCAGCGCATAAAACTACTTTTGTATCGTCGTCAGTCCATGAGAGCACTCCCCGACTGGTTTCAATAGCTCGGACGACTCCTCCCTCGTCCTTCTTAAGTCCACTGACGGTACAATTGATCATTAGCTCCAATGGCCGTCCTTGTTCCGTCTCAGCAAGTTTGCGCTGACTTTCGTGCAGCGCAATTAGTGGGCCAGGAACGGAAAACTTGTTGAAGCGCATGATGGATGTGGGCGACTTGGGACCAACAGCCAAGGGAGCTGGCCCGACAGAATCAGCAGTGGGAATCTGACCTAGTCTCTTCCCGAGAAGGTCATCAATGGCGTTCTGCATTTCACAGTAAATGCCGTCTCTTATCTTGTCGGCTGATATCACATTAAGCAACTTCTCAGCAGAATGCCAGAACCCGTCCTCCTTGGACGCATCAATCATGGATTTTGGAAAGTCCCTCATCAAGTCTTGAGTAGGTTGCGGGGTGTAGGCAGACCAAAAGGTGCTCCTCCCGCCGAAGAATGGGCATGATCCATGGAGGAAGCCAAGCTCCTTCGTCTTGAACGTCTCTGTAGAAAGTGTCCAGGGATAGGTTTCCGATGGGCCTCCGAGCACCGTCTTGAAAGGCAGAGGGAGGTTTTGGAAGTGGGTTGGAAGCCAAATGTCTATTGGCAGTCAGTATCAACATTGAACGTTTCAAGACGCATTTAGCAACACATACCACCTCTTTCTATGCACAAGATTCGCTTCTTCTTATCATGCTTCAGCACCTCATCAATGAAGGCCAGTGCGGTGAAACCAGATCCAATCACAATGTAGTCAAACTTGCCATGGGAACGCATATCTTCCCAGGTATTATTACTAGAGTCGCGTTAGTATCGGCGGACCGAGCACACGGCCAAAGAGCGATGATTACCTGACAAAGTAGTCCTGAACCATGACAGATGTAGCAGATGGGTTCTGCTCACCAGGAACAGGGAATCCCCCAACGCTAGCATGCTTTGATGTACGAGCAGGGTCGAGAGATTCTTGGCCAAACCGATTGTATGGAATCTGGTCATGGAGAGTCATGGTGAAGAAAATAAGATTGTAATAGTGCCAAGGTCAGTAGATTGAATATGATTGTCTGTGTAGTCATGAGAAAACAACACGAGAACCATGGACGCTTTTATATAGCAGGTCCCAGCCATAATCAAAACTCCATGTCTATTTCCATACTGATTCGACCACAGCCGTCTCAATACTTTGACCACCTCTGGAGGGCAGTCCTGCCACGAATGGTTTGCAAAGCCATTGGCTGCCTTTCAGAGGCGGAGGCGGAGGCGGAGGCGGAGCCTACGGGCGGCCCGAAGCGGCGCTCGGAAGGCAGCTGAGTTGCTTGTCATTTTAGTGGCATCCCTTGAAGCCTCGTGCATTCCAACCCGTAGCGCCAATTCAGCTGGACTCTCTTCCAATCGCCTTCTGGCAGACCCCTGTCTCAGCTCCCCATAAGCCGCGCCACCACCTCTTTTGCTACTCTTCTGCATCCCATCAATAGTCTGCAGCAGCTGAAATTCAACTAATACTGCCTATTAACTACGAGCTCTTTTATTGCATCTCTAAGAGGAAAAGATGGTGGTAAATGGCGGCAAAGGGAGGTACGGGCCGCCAATCGCCCTCCAAGTCACCGAGCTGAACGTGGAGGGAAACCGGTGAATGTATATACAGACTGCCACCCATATTTGTGTTTAAACGGAATGTTTCAGGATGCCCGTGGGCATATGCAAAGACCGGGACTAGCCGCAGGCGGTTTTGCCCTTTTAGATTAGGTGGCTATTTATTACAAGGCGTTTTTCCTAGCTGCTATTCTCGCTCATGGGCCAGAGCTGTGATTACTAGCGCTCTAGATCGCAGCAGCAAGTATAAATACCGAATTTGACCAAACTAGGTGCAGATTGACACACCCAAGAGAAGTGCTCAGCGGGACACCCGAGTTCTCCACTTCATACGTATGGTCGTTTCTACAGAATATTGTGCTGCGACGACTTAAAACCTTTAGCAACAGCGTGTGGGTATGCGGTTAGTGCTTTATACAGTATGATGTTGAGATGATCTCACAAAGGATCGTAAGAGGAAACTCGTTATATGAGAACTGAGAATACGAATTTACAGCTATGAGCTGAGCAAGGCTACCCCTATTTCTTTGTCTAAGGAATTGTAGGCTAGATAGTCGAGTGTGGAAAGGGTTGCATCAGGAGTTTCGACGTTAGACGGGGCGAGCATAGCGACGCAGTGTCTGTTTCATTCCAGAAGAAGGACCCTTAGGGCACTTAAGGCAAACCGATTAAGACTATTCCTTTGCATTTCAAGAAGAAAAAGACGCTCCCACAGAAGGAGACAGATGCCTTAGTACCACCAAAGAGATATACATTCATGGTCGTTCTGGAGTGTTAGCTAGGAATACTTGGTATATATTACAGCATTGTTAAGAAACTTCTATAAGAGTGAACGCCACTTATAGCGCCTGGCTATACATATGATATTACAGAAGTAGTTTCTTGCAGGTTCTATTCGCCTTAGACACCAGGTATAAAAAGGAGTGCAGAGCGGGTGGGTGGGGTGGAGGTTAAGACAATATTATCGACGACAATTCAGCACCATGCAATTGGAGCAGCTGTACAACGGCCTCGTTCCCGTACCAACTTACGGCATACGATAGCGGCGTCCGGCCGTCCTTATCGGCCGCCTCAATCTGCGCGCCCCGGTCAAGCAGCAGCTGTACAACGGCCTCGTTCCCGTACCAACTTACGGCATACGATAGCGGCGTCCGGCCGTCCTTATCGGCCGCCTCAATCTGCGCGCCCCGGTCAAGCAGCAGCCGCACAACAGCTTCATTTCTATTCTTATCCACGGCATACGATAGCGATGTCCGGCCGTCCTTGTCGGCCGCCTCAATCTGCGCGCCCCGGTCAAGTAGCAGCCGCACAACAGCCTCGTTCCCGTTCCGCGCGGCATGCGACAGCGGCGTTCGGCCGTCCTTATCAGCCGCCTCAGTCTGCGCGCCCCGGTCAAGCAGCAGCTGTACAACGGCCTCGTTCCCGTTCCCCGCGGCATGCGACAGCGGCGTCCGGCCATCCTCACCGGCTGCCTCTATCTGCGCACCCTGGTTAAGCAGCAGCCGCACAATAGCCTCGTTCCCGTTCCCCGCGGCATGCGACAGCGGCGTCCGGCCATCCTCACCGTCCGCCTCGATGTGGGCACCGCAGGAGAGCAGCGCTCTTAAACAAGCTTCATGACCATTGGACGCTGCGTAACCCAAAGGTGTATGGCCACGCTCCCTATCTTGTGCGTCAATTGTTGGTGTCATGAACCCGAGTAAGTGTGTCAAGAGGAATAGATTGCCGCGCGCCGCAGCGTAATGGAGCACGGCCGTAGTTTTTGAAAGTGAGAACGCATTTTGGTATTCTATTTGATCAATAATCTTGTCCGAGGCATTGTAATGAGGCTGAAGTATCTTGTATACCTCTTCATGACCATTTTTTAAAGCAGTCAAGATAGGGCGTTTGTATCTCTCTCCTTTCAAATGAGCATCAAATCCGTTGTCAACTGCAGATCGGACTAGAGACGGTAGGTTGTGCTCAGCAAGGATGTAGACTAAAGAAGCCTTGATTGTATAACGACGAACTTCATACTTTTGAAACAAGTTAATTAGATAAAGCCAACGTTTCAATGCGAAGTTCCTCAAGAATGTAATCTGAGGAATATTGTCCTCGGCAGAATTGGCATGATGAAGAACATGTCGTGTCGCGTAGTCAAGAAATGGGAACTCTTCTGGGACTTGAGTTCGTAAAACTTTTGCCCGCTCTGACGATGCGGCAGGCAGAGGCTGTGGTACGATTGCGGAAATGTCAATGTTGCAATAGTTATCACAGCATTGTTTCAACCGATCGTGGCTGTAACTTTCAAAGTTCGCTGCGTGATTGGGCCATAACTGGCGAATCCCATCGTCCTTGATGAGAAAATCGCGTACCGACTCATGAATGAACTGCACAGTTCGCTTCTTCGACTTGACAAGTTCGGCAAGGCCTTTTGAAGAGCTAAGAAGATACAGCTCCATGGCTGTAGTGGTAGTGGATTCTCGGTCCCACCTAACCAAGTTCTCAGGGCTTGGGTCCAGCCCTGATACGAGGGCAAAGTAGTACTCCTCACACGTCAAGGGTCTTGCTGCATACAAGATCCACTGGATGCAAAGTAACAGATCGTCCATATTCTCATTGTCCCGGCAAAGTATATCCTTGAAAAGGTTACTAAGCCCATCGGGCAGCTCCCTTAGTCGCCCCTTTACTGCCCACATGCGACCATTGCGGAACTCTCTGTTGAGTATGTCAACGACGAGCACCACCCACAGAAAAACTCCTGATGCTCTCTCTAGGATTTCGGCAGAGACCTCTTGAGACGCCTTGCCGTTGCCAGCTTTAAATTTGCTTCTCACATATTTCTCAAGGTCTTCGCCATGGCCTGACTGATCCTCTAAGGTGAGTTTCAACCCGTTGCGTATCTCGATATGTGGGTAGTGGCGACTGGAAAAACAGATGTAAATTTTCGCTTGGCTTTCAGAAGCTTGATCTCCAAGGTCTTCGAAATACTCGACCATGTCCTCAACCTCAGATATATCACATTCATCCAGGGCATCGATGAAGCAAATAATCTGTCGCTGTCCAAGTCTGGTAACCGCATGGGTAAAAAGAGCCTGAAGCGTTTCAATATCCCAGGTAGCCCGGTTGTGCTTCGCTTGATAGATATGGTCTGAATCGTGTAAAACGTCTGGGAATTTTTGAATAACTTGAAAAAGTAAGGACCGGTACATTCCCTCTGTTGACTTTTCAAGATGAACGCCTCGAGCGTTGAAGAAAAAAGAGATGACGGTTGCGTCAGCTGTTGCTTTCCACTTGTTTTTCGCGTGGGTGTAGGCAAACTTCATCAATGTTGACTTCCCAGCTCCAGGCTTTCCACTGATCCACAAGAACCCATGATGACTGGGAAAATGGATTGGTTCAAGCCACTCGACGTACTTTGGGTGGCCAAGTAACCATTCGCAAGTTTTGGAATGTTGAGTCTTGATTGTTGCATGGCGCGAGTCGATTTGCTCAAACGTTAATGAGTCCGACAATGCTTCCACTCGACTCCGGAGCAATTCTAGGTCTGCGAGGAGATCAGTCAAGACTCCAACATTCAACGTTTCAGCACGTACCTGTTGTAGGATAAGTCGCCTCAGCATCCCTTCGTTGCTGTGTGGGTATGACAGACAGGAGTTCCTTGGCATATGCAGCAGCGACAGCAGCGGAATACTTCTGCCAGGCCTTGTTCTTGTGAGAATCTGAGTAGTCGCAGATGCCGCGAATGGCAAGGCAGGGGAAATCATGCAGCCCTGCAGCCTCCATCTCAAAGCAGATGATGCCAAGTTCCTCCGCCATCTTAGCACGAGTTTCGCCGTCTTTGATGACCTGGTTGCCGGATGCAATTCTGCCATAGTGGACTCTGGGTTTCGCGGTCTCCCGATGAGGCCGTTCCAGAACCTCCCATGAGCTACAGCGCTCGCAGCTGTCCACCTCTTGCGTATGCTTGTACGTGTGGCGGAACAGTCGATCTGGCAAGCTAGGTCGAGCGTATGAGACCATTTGCTCGTTTCGGTCGAGCATGTCGCAGAGGATGCTGGGAATTCTGCTGGGCGCGTTTTCATAATCTGCCTGTAGCTTAGACACCGCCGTCAGGATCGTGTGAGGAGGCGTGGTGGTGCGGCCTGTTCGCTGAAACTGGCCATCGGGCAATATCTTGCCCAAGTCGTACTGCATCACTTCATTCCCGACTACAACATCTCCTAATCGTATGTCGATGCCGCCATCGGGCACGCCACCACCAATCCCAACCATCAATCGAATGGTGATCGAGGGGAAGCTTCGACTCATATTGCTGGCCACCGTAGCGGCGTTGTTCGTGCCGTATTGGCTCGATGGAAGGCATGCGATGACAACATTATGCCCACAAACGCGACCAAAGGTGTAGTTATTGCTATCGCCTTTCTGGGGGGGCAAGGGGACGTGAGTGCTGTCTAGTATAGCTATTGCCGCAGCCATCTCGATGGGGAGGGCGCAAACCCAGCCAACGGTGTAGTCGCAGTAGCCAAGGGTTTGCCAGTCGCCATTGTTCGATTGGTGGCGTTTCGAGCGGATCGAGAGTGCATCATCGTCGTTTCGACTTCTCTTTCTGTTCTCTGGAGCCTCCATGATCTGCCGCTGTCATCAGGCGGGGCAACAGGTCTCGGTTCGTTGAATATGTGCGCTGCTGGGGTAGACAGACCCGTCATGTGCTCATCCATGCCTCTTCAAACGAGCTTTGATGGAGGATAATAGTGAAATGCCGAGGGGCTGCGACTGGTGCAGCAAGAGAGGCAAGATTGGGAGCAAGATGGGGGAAAACTGAGGACGAGTTTGAGCCGCAGGTCAGGCTGGCGGTTGGAGCCTGATGCTGATTTCGCTGGTTTTCGAGGCATCGTGATTCGTCGAACTGTCGCCGCAGGCATTCAGCTGCCTGCAGGCTGTGCTGAAATTATGCCTTGCTGAGATGCAGACGTCTACTCGAATAGCAGACACGCCGGGCCTTTTGACGCCGGGATTTACTTGTCACTTGAGACCGTTGCTCTGTCAACCAACAGCCAACAGCAGGATCCTCGTAGGCGAATGTTGGCCAAATTACACCGCACTTTGTTTCCATTGCAAAGAGAGCATCTTATGCTAATACCTACATACTTGTACATAGTAAGACCCTGCATTTTCCGGGGCTTTCCAGCGCCTCGAGAGTTTGTACTGGCTGAATGCGAGCAGGGATTGCTATCGTCAGGCGGGGAGCGGATTAAGCTCAGGGAATATGCTACGCGCTAGCCGGATCGATTCACTCACTCCCCACCTCAGGTTTCCCTGCCAGCCCACATAGTTGGAGAAAATCTATCCATAGCATATTAACACTTGTTGTGCCAATATATCACATATGCGTGTTGCGGGAGCCTATGAGTCCTCTTTATTTCCTCCGCGCTTCTGGATTGGATCAGCGGCCTTCTAACACCTCAGCCGAAGCGCAGCAGGCGGTACACGCGTGCAGATCAAACTTCAATGTGATATATAAAAATTAAGACCTTGGCTCCAGCCAGGTGCGTAAGCTGAACAGGGCATCGCAAGTGGAGGAGGTGTTTGATTGCAGAGGCATAAGTTGCTGAAAATGGCCTATGGCCATCCATAACACAAAGCATGAACTTAACAGGACCCCGAGTTTTCCACGACTTATGGATATATGTACCTGTCATTCACTCCGGTCGGCTTATATAAATATATTTTATGAGTCAGCTATGCGGAGGTATCTAGGTAATATATAAGGATACAATCGAAATTCTGTCCGTAACGTCTTGAGAAATATGATGGGCTCGTACTGCAATTAGTTAGGTCACTGTTAATGAAGAAAGAGCACGCCTTTTGTACATACACGGGAGTGTCGGCATTTGTAAAAGACACAGACTCCTATAGGCCCAACTTGACGACCGCTTTGAACCCTGATTCGTAGAACCTTTTGAAAGATGATTAGACAATGGATCGGCGCATAGTGGGAATTCGCCTTCTTCTTTGAGTACGCAACAATGGCAAGATGCCTCATCCTGGCCTGCTATAAGGTGGGATGCATTTCCATACCATGTGGGTCATGGCCGTTGAGGTTATGTTCATAATGACCCGCAATCTTCTTCAATCATTAATTTTAATACAATGATTGGTTGAGGCTGTAAACTGGTGTGAAGAAAAAGAGGGAATTCTTCAACAATAAGCACACGTTTCTCAACTTTACACACCACGATAACACTATGTGAGTTATCCAGTACTCGCTACTGCTGCTACGGCTGCTACTTCTATTACTTCTACTAAGCTACACGTATGTTCAAGGTCTGGTGTTAGATAACAGAACTGATTTGCTGTATGACTTTGTTTAATGAAATAGTGTCTATGTTTTAAACTTGTGTATGCATTTTTATTTTGCAATCCCTATTGTTCTTTGCATATGTATTGACTGTCATTGTGACCATGCGCCATCTTCATACATCGTCATAATGAGCGCCGAACGCATCAAGCCAACCATTCCCACAAGAAGATATATACTTTTGCGTCGGGCCGATTTGTCTGGATGTATAAACCAAATGTACGACATATAATGCAAGCCAGCCATTTGATGGACAAATTTCTCCCAATATCACACTTTTGAGTGCAAATCATCGACCATGGCTGCAGAATCATCAACTACGCTTGTAGACAAACCTTGTTGCACGCACTATATCCCCTGCCAGTGCCCCTCGCTCCCCGAGTACGCTTGTCCACCTCTAGGAGATGAATGGTCTCCCTTGTGGCTGCAAAGACGTCATGAAGACGAAGACTGGAACAAGGTCCTTGCGGAGAGAATGATGAGGCAGCGTTGGCGACGAATAGCTGCTGCCGTGCACGATGCATGGCTGGTGTTCAAGATTGGTCGTCCGCTAACTCCACCGCTCAGGGCACCACGATTCCGATGGCTGATATCGTCTGACCTTGTTCCCCGGGGATACCAAGATGGACAGGCGCCATGGCGCATGCTTATACGGTCCTATCTCAAGGACCTACCTGGGCAATTGGCTGATGGAAGCACTCAACAGTCTGTATTTTCATGGCGAAACTATCCGAGACATGTAGGCCGGTTGCATCATCGCACAAAACTCGACGATGCGCCTCCTGAGATAACGTGCGGGAGACGAGCCGTCTTCTCTCAACAGGGCAATGATTTTAACCAAAGCCTGACCGGAGAGTGGCTTGTTATAGTCTACATCTGGGCAACTGACAGTGCATGGCTGGAGAAGACGGATGTTGCGGACTTGGTCTCCCGTGATAGTGTGACTGGGTAAGTGATACGTGACTGAAGCTTGTACACTGCATATCATGTCGAAACGTCACTTACATGTTGCATGTTGACTCTCTAGTATTCGCGCTTGGGAGTGGATTGATGCAGTTGATGCTCCCACCAAGCTTCTACACCTGTTCTATACATGCCAAACAAGGAAGTCTCCAGAGCAGGACGCGATATACGCCGGACTCCCGTATCTAGAGTACAACGCTGTTCCAATGAAGCGCGGAGACCCTGTGCCGGCCAGGCTCGCCGGACTGAGACGTTTGATGAAGGGACGAGCAAGACATTTGTATTGTGCGGCATATGAGTACGACACGTGTACATGTACGAGCCTTGTCCGGTAGACGGCAATTTGAAAAATATCAACGGCCACATGGAAGGCTGTGCAACAGAACTTCTATACCAAGCCGTTACATGAGTCGTTAAGAGGGGCCAGAGTCTTACGCAACGCTGTAGCTATAGTACTAGGGCTTAAAGTATCTTCATGTTGTCTTCCCCGCTTAGCACGGAATTGTAAGCGACGTTGTACTCGTCATAACTATCCTTCATTCCCAGCATTAGACGGCCAAGCCAGTACAGCAGAAACAGAGTTGCCTGCGAGCGAACAACCGCCGACCAGCTTTGAAACTTCCACACCCAGTCCGGCACCACATCACCCAGTAGAACATGTCAATACGCACCGTCCCCTGATGCGTCCAGCAGTCGTTCTTGTAAAAGACCACCCGCGGCTGGAATTACAGCGCCCAGTTGACCAGCCACTCCCTGGCGCCATCATCAAGCGCCACATACAGAAGGCGGATCTAGAGCGGCGTGGTGCAGAGCCCTGAAGTAGGCGTCGGCGTCCTGGACGAGGCTGCACAGGGTGCGATACAGCTAAGCATCCGCCGTGACCCGCGCTCGATGCTGGAGTACATGACCCCAGGCCCAGCCGCCGAGCATGTCCAGGGCGATGCAGTGCCTAGGGTCGAGTTGAAAGAAGCGCTCCGGCGCCCACTTGCTGTGCACGGAGATCGTCACCTCCAGGGACCGGCGGTCGCCCCTCGAGAAGTCAAAGACGACGGGATGGGGGCGCGACAGGGCAGACTTCTGTTGGCTGCGCGTGTCGCTTCTCTTTGCACAGTTGGAACGGTCCAGAACGCTACCCATGCCCAGGGAACTGAGAAGTGCGTGGAGGATGTTTGTGAGGGCCATGGAGCCGCAAGACAGCTGAGGTGTAGTAGATGGTTTGTAAGAGCAACAAAGAGTCCATCAAGTAAACAACATGGCGAGTTATGTGGAATGGGCCACGAGCCTTTGCAGTGAAAATATGGTAAGGCGCTCAATCTCACATCTGTTTGGGGTTGCAGAGACGGCTGTTTGATACCAACCATTACCCACTCGTAGGACCCGACCAAGTCCGACATAGTGACCGTGTCCTTCTTCAGCAACGACCTCAACTTTAGCGGCATTGTGTCGACCTGCATCATCGGCTATACAAAAAAGTCCTCATGTGCCGACCTGATTCCCGCAGCCAACAAGACCTCCAAGGCAACACCCTGGACGGGCTCTTCGACAACATCATGGCGGCCATCCAGGCCAGGGCGAATCCGCACAAACCCACCTGCAGGTCTACTGGACCAACTACCCGCAGCTCTTTGACACAACATGCGACTCCGACAGGTTTTGGGTGGGCGTCTGGCCTGCATACTACAAGGGCGAGTTACCGACGCAGGACCTTCGCGCCCAGCTCAACCAGCTGTCGGCCGATCTCAACGACCATCTAAAGTATTTAATCAACCGCTGGAACAGCAGCCTGACGTAACCCAGAGCACTTATGTCGATATCGACAACACTGTGTACCTAGGCAAGCGCTTCTGCAAACCATTCAGGACTGAGCCACTCAGGAAGCGACCAGAATAGCATGGCTTTCTTCTACCTCGGCGGCGACAATGACGTTCCCACCGAGTATGTATATTCATTTACATTTATTTCAATATTTCCTTCTTTTCTCTAGCTCACTCCAGCAACCACGTTACCTTGCTGACCCAAGATGGAAGTATCCCGCTGCATAAAGCCCTAGATAGTGCGCCAAGCGGCTGGTCCACCACAACCATCAGCTCTGCCGACTGCGCAGCCCAGCCTGATGGCATGTGGATCGGTGCCGAGTTCATTCTATGCAAGCTGGCCGTTTCGGCCGTGGGAAACGAGGCTCTGGTTACAAATTGGCAGGAAATGCTCGCCCGCCAACGGTGACACCAACACGACCGTTTCCATGGACAGCGATGGCAACGTCGAGGTGATCGAGGTCTCTATCAGGTATGCCAAGATGTACCACTCAAAGTCCAGGCGACCGAGGCTATCGCTCACCAGATTGCAATGCAGTTGCGGACAAATTAAAGCCGAGGTATGCCATTCACACAAAGAGTAGAGGTTCGGGTCCCCGCTACCACGCGTAGTTTGTGCGGGTTCCGATCCCGAGAGGGGTGGGGCCGGGCCGGGCCGGGCCGGGATTGAGGCTGGACGATGAGCAAGGTACTTGAATGTAACTTGAATGTAACCTTTCCGCTCTTTGCCAGTACTCTAATTTAAACGCCTTTGATCTAGAATAAGACTGCTCTCTTAAGTGGAGATATAGTGATAGTACTCTAGTAGTAGAGGAGCGCATGAATGGCTCTCTATCGCGTATACATTTGGTGCTAATGCTACGGTGCTGAAGAGCTACTAAAACACGACGTACTCAAAGAGAGAAAGAAGAGCGTTGACATCCTCTTTGGAAACTTTTATTCAACATCTCAAGCACTATTTTTGAACTTAGCCATGGAACTATGATGCAAAGACGCCTCAGTAAATAGGTTGGCTGATTGAATCATGATTAAATGAGTGTCGATTACGATTAGCTTGAACAGAGAGCTCTCCAGCTCGCATCATGCCATCAACAAATTTATCAGAGCATTGACGAATAGCTTCACTTTATGAGTAACGTCCTATGTTATATTTATAAATGCATTACGACTTAATGTATGCTAATGAGTAACTAGTTCAAGCGTGATCGAAAGCAGTAATGTTCATGTTTGAAGAGAACGCTGATGGAAGTGAAGCTGACTTCTCGCGATGCTGTCTCTAACCAAGAAACCGTCATTCCGCCGTTGACTTATGATATATATTATCAGCTCAAAAATCTTATTATGTGGCCATGAGGTCTTGATAGCAACGTCCTAAAGATAAATGGTAAAAATGCGAGAGATGAACTTGAAAAGAAAATGATTGAAAAAAATGATTGAACTGAAGAGAAAAGATGTCAAGAAAAATTCCGGTCAAAGCCCTATGTTTCATTGTTTTGGCCCAGCTTTGGTCGTTAATATTCCCATGATCGATGAGTTTCTCTTCTCATATTGCCACGGAGAATGCCTGCGTCAGAGGCTGCCACATAGCAATCTTCGCCCTCAAACCAGGTTTGTAGCTCAACAGTGTCAACCTTCTTATACACATGATAGGCTGACTGAGATGGAGCGCCATATGCGTCTCTGGTTGTTCTGCGCTTATTAGTCTCCGTAGTGGTGAATTGCTTCCTTGTCCTTGATCCCTCAATCTCGAGCGAGAATCCAAATTCCGTAAAGCCTACGCTGGCATTGATGGCATCGAAGGCTTCCTCTCCAGATTCGAATCTAAAGTCTTCCTCCGTCGCTGCCTCTCGGGTAACCATGGTGTTGCTATTGTTCGTCTTGCCGAACTGCCGCACCGATTCATGGTGGAGAGGTCTCATATTGGCCATCTCCATGAAGCTCTCCCCTCTCGGAGGTGTTTTGTACTGGTCCCATTCATCTGTTGGGTCATTCATGCGGTATTTCTGACATTCGCAGTTGTTTCTCTGCGCACCTGGGTCGTGAATGACTCGACTTAGATGGCGGTATGAAGGAGGGGGAGTACGATTGCCTGAGGGCTGAGGAGATTGAATACCGTCGTCCGAAGACAGATCAAATGTGACACGGCGATTGTTTGACATTTGGAGGAGTATGAAGAGCCGTAAGCTGTTTTATTTTTGATAAAGAGTTGCTTGACGGATCGAATGAGTTTGGAGATGGAAGACTGTGTGCAAAAGACGTGTTGCTCTATATATACCCGAGTATGGCTCTATACCGGCGGCCATGTCTTTTCCCCAAATCTCTTGGGACTCGAAAGGCCTTTCTCCAAAGATTACCACTGTGCTAATACATCTGCAGGAGGTTGCATATACGAGCGCGAATGTTTTGTGACGCGATGCATAAAACCAATCACGGATCACTTTTATACATACGTACAACATCGGGAGCACCGAACACGTCGCTCAACGCCTTGTAACACAATGTATGGAATCGATTATTCGATGATATTACACATACGTGGAACACATGGACTCGATGTTATCGCTACACTTCTGATAAGCAGCCATCGGGGGGTTTCTCGTCAGACGTTACGCAGAGGGCGGCATAAATAGATAAGGCGTGCAACCATGAGGCCAATCTTGACTGGCTGCCCCTTTTTACACGTTGGACCCAAGACACGTGTACAAACTCGTCTGGTCTTTGAAGCATTGTAACATGAAGCATTGTAACTTGAATTAATATGTAACAGGGCGGGGTTGGGTACAACGCATTGCTGATGCTCTCGGGTCGAGTTGCATCCGCCAGCCCCACGATTCAAGTGCTTGGTTCAAAGGCCAAGGTATCACTGACCAATGAAACATCTCATCATATCAGATGAACTCAGACATATGTACCTGGCGAAATTCAGGCGTCGCATTTGCTGCGACTAGGAACTCTGGCAAACAATTGGCCGCAACATGGCTTCATGTCCATGTATCTAGCCGTGGATACTGCGTGGATACTGCACTTTGTAAGACTCACAAGGGCATTTATTAGCCATCATTGGGAGCATTCTGCCATTAGAGTACTTGTAAGCTTGTTAACTGGGCCGCGACGGACGCAATATCCCTTGGCCGGACTATGGTGATCATGGGAACAGACTGTTGATTCAGATGAGATGTAAGATGTTCAATCCACTTGATTCGAACTCAGCCGTATAAAACGAAGAATCATTTCTATATCCTTGATCGAGCCCCTAAGAATGCCAAACAACTTCCTTGGGCCGCCTAGAGGTTGAATGAAGCCAAGTCTGGGACAGCTTGACTGGCTCGAGTCCTTTTGCACGGAAACAGGGACTCAGATGAGTCTCCGTTATCATTTTCTGTTCATGTTCAAGGGCAAGTAGATTTCAGGCTTTCTCCATGCTTATACTCTCGTTCGTTTGAAGTGACAGCAGTTTGAAGCTCAGCGAAGCTCCAGAGCCAGCACGCACAGACGGCCATACCGGAACCATGATTCTTCCTAGGCCGGCCTGCTATGTAGGCACGTCCCCTTAGGCACCACAGCCCTCTCCATTCCGAAGATTCTGAAGCTTTCCTGCTCAGCCTCATCACGTTAAATTGCTTTCCTACGCCTTTTCTTCTTCACTTCTCCATGGCTTCAGCTGAGAGCTCCCATACTCCGCCTCCTGGCGCTACAATCCATCAGCTCAAGATCAAGGCCATATTCGATGCCCTCAGCGAGCGCGACAAGCTCTATGCCCACTACCTTGCACGCGCAGCATGGCATGGAAGCAGGATCATTATGCGGCAGGTGTCACCAGAAAGCCCCGACATTTTCGACTTCATCATGAATCTCTACCGTGCCTGTGATGGCAAATGGGACACCTTGATAGCGCAATGCAGCATCACTCCTGAAGAGCTGACTGCATTTCTCGAGTATGCCGCCATGTTCCTTTGCAACTTGGGCAACTTCTATGTAAGCCAAGAGCTCAATCTGCCCTCTTCTGCGTCTTCTTCTGTTGCTGACCATGATTAGGGAGAGGGCGACCAAAAATTCGTCCCTGATGTACCGGCAGAAGCTCTCAGGAAACTTGCTGGCATTTCCCCAGAGACAAAAACCGGGCTGGACAAGATCATCGACCCTCTGCTGGCAGTTCCACCTTTCAGTCTCGGCTATCCTGGTAACAATACGCAGTCGGGCTACTATCCCACCAAGGAGCCCATCACTAGGGACGACATTGCCAAGGTCTCGGACGTCATGAACAAAAAGTCAATAGGGCCGGAAAATACTCGCATTCGAAAAGTGCTCAAGGATTGCAAGCCTGTCTTACAGCTGTTGCAAGCTTCTGCAGAAACTGATCTACTCGAGAATGGCGACAACCAACTCGCAGACGGCATCTTGCTTATCCGAGGCGATCACTCGGAGGAACTAGCCAAGATCTGCTCCGATTTAGAATTGGCAAAGCAGTACGCAGGCAACGATAAACAAACCGAGCTCTTAGCACATTACATCGAATCCTTCCGCACTGGCAGCTTAGACGCTTTCCAGGAGTCGCAAAAGGCCTGGGTGGCAGACGTATCGGCCAGGGTCGAAAACATACTTGGCTTCATCGAGCCGTACCGCGACCCGGCTGGAATCCGTTCCGAGTGGGAGGCCATGATAGGCATTGCCGATGCCGATGAAGTCGGGAAACTAAAGACCTTTGTCGAGAGCTCGACTACATTCATCCGGCAGCTCCCATGGGCGGTCAAGGATGTGAATGATGGCAAGGGACCATATGAGAAGAGTCTGTTTGAGGCTCCAGACTTTACTAGTGTCCACGGTTAGTCACAGTGGTTCAATAGCTTCCTGCGCGTCTGCTTCACCAAAAGGAAAGGAGACACTAATGAATCCTCCTAGCGCTGGCTGTGTGCGGCAGCATCGTCTTCGAAGCCGCCAATCTCCCGAATGTGGGTTTTTACCGTCTTGTCTTTTTTGCCATCAATAAGCTCATTTCGATAGTACGAATATATTCGCGAAACCCACGGCTTCAAAAACATTGTCCTCGCAAATCGTCTCAGCGTCAACAACAGCCCCAACCTCCCCTGCCACTGGATTCACTCCTCCGAGCTCAACTTGTTCAAAAGCACCACGCACATTGTGAGATTCCTCACCACTGCCATTCACGAACTGCTCGGCCACGGCACAGGCAAGCTCCTCAGCGAGACGTCGCCAGGAACTTACAACTTTGACAAGCAGAATCCTCCCATCAGCCCCCTCAGCGGGGAAGCCGTAACTTCACACTATCTGCCCGGTCAGACGTGGACAAGTATCTTTGGCAAGCTGGCAGGAACAGTGGAGGAATGCCGTGCAATATTGATGTCGGAATATTTCATGGACAACAAGCATCTGCTAAGCATTTTTGGTTACACTGATAGCAGCAGCATCACAGCTGACGACCGTACGTTGCAAGAATTATAACTACTATATAACACAACACGACACTAACTCTCATCAAACGCAGTTCTCTACGCCACATATCTCAACATTGGCGTCGATGGTCTGCAAGCACTCGAGCATTACAACGTCCAAGGCCAAGCCTGGGGCCAAGTCCACCACCAGGCTCACTTCTCCATTCTTAAACACCTCCTCCAAGACGGCGACGGAACCATCTCTATCGCGCACCACCCCCTGCAGCAATCTCTCACAGTACATGTTGACCGATCCAAGATCCTTTCCCACGGCAAACCATCTCTGGGCTCGTATCTCTGCAAGCTACACATCTGGCGCTGCACCGCCGATGTGTCCGCATGCAGCAACTTCTACGAGCCCTTGTGTGCAGTTGACGGCGTGTATGAAGAATGGCGCAAGATTATTGTATCGAAACCGAAGATGAAGTGGAAATTTGTGCAGTCAAATACCTTCCTCACGGGTGAAACTGTCCAAGTCAAGGTTTACAAGGAGACTAACGAGGGCATTATCCAGTCGTGGGCTGAGAGGGACGTTTAAAACTATAACATCGCTTAGCATAGTATACTTTAGTATCCATTATACGATTTATCAGGCTAGCATGCATGTGATTTCTCTAAATAGGTTCCTATATAGCTTCGCTACTTACTAGTAGTAGTTTGCTTGATGGTCTACATAATCAGATGGGAACATTTCAAGCAAATTCCCGTACTGATAACCAAAACGTACGGGGTGCGACGTACGGAGTACACCGAGAAGGCAAATTTATTTTTTCGTCCTCCCTTGTTTTAGGATCTAGGCTTCCTCATCGATTCCTTATCGCCAAAAAATCGGTACCCATCTATCATAGGCATCTTCGTTCCCAAATTGCGTCGCACTTTTATCCCTCCTGAGCAAATATGTTTCCGCCTCATCTCTCAAGTCTTGTGCTTCTTTCTCACTGCCATCGTCCTCATTCTCGTTCGTAAACGAGTTCTGGACTAAAGCCTCGGAGAGTTTAAGCAGGCCACGCGCATGCTCAACGGGCATGGCGTCGGCGTGGAATTTTGTAATCTCAAGGGCGTCACGGAGATGTTTACTAAACAGTAGATATTGTAAGTCAGGAGTTCTGAGAAATAGAAAGTATAGGGGTGAAATATAGGAGATCGATGGGAGACAAGTGAAACGTACATGGCAGCCTCCACCTTGCCCTGATCTAGGCAAACCACGCCCGTCTTGTAAATGCATCCTGCATTGAACGGGTGAAGGCGCGTCTGATCACCTTTAAACCACATGTTCTGCGCTTCCATGAAACTTGCCTCGGCAGCTTCTAGTCTGTGTCTACGCCGTTCAAGGATACCTTGGACAAAGTATGTGCTGCGAGAGACGTTAATCGTGACGTTAATTGTGTTGTAGGAAACGGACGAGAGACTGTACGTACTAAGCCAGCATAGCCCAGTTGAGAGGCTTTTCCTGCTTGAACTCTTTGATTGAAACGTCGAGTAATAGTTGCGCCTCATCGTACTTCCCCAAATACAGAAGACACCTCGCGGTATTCTTCTTTGTCACCGTGGGCCAGTCCGCTTCCTTTCCTTGCTTTACATTCCACGCGGTCCAGGTGACGCGCGACTTTTCAAACCACATGAGCGCTGTTTCATGCTGGTTGGCAGTGTTGTAATTGTATCCAAGGTTCTGCTCGAAACCGCCGAGGAGGCCACCCTTGCGAGGCTCTTCTGCTAGGCGCATATTGTAGCCCTTGGTGTTTAGTTGGATAGCTTCTTGAACCCTACCGATGCTTTCGTACATACTGGCCAGATGTGATAGTGTCGAGGCCTTGATATCGATGGCTTGTTCCTGGTCATCGAGTGTGTCGACGGCTAAGAGATTTATTTCGCAGACATCCACGAGCTCTTTGAATGCATTGATCTCGTAGAGATACCTAGCATTGCGTTAGCATATTGTCGCAAAATTATAGCAGGCAGCTTCTCACCTCTGACAATCTTTCAGAAGCTCACAGAACAGCGATGACGCCTTGAATTTCTTCGAGTGTTTACGTTCCTCCTTGAAATTGTCTTTCAAGCAGAGCACGTGTTGTAAGCAACGATTGCACTGAGTCCACTGATGATAAAATTGATTCTTGTTCGTCGCGTCCGACTGTTTGGGAAAGGCGTTGTATTCTAGCACCACTGCATTGTCGAATGCTTGTTGTCGCTCCTCTGGGGATAGGAAAGATCGGAACTGCGTCTGCACCATACGATGGCACGAGATGATACGAGCATCTTTATCCCATTTCATCAACGCAAGGGTTAATAGAGGCTCCATTGCTTCAGCAAATCTGTAGTCGAGGTCAGACAAGCTTCTTCCAAGGGATCAGACATACTCCAAATCATCGAGGAAAAACTCAAGATCATATGGGAGATCGTGGCCTTGCCTGTTCTCAAACAGCTCCTGTGCCATGTTGTCCGAGACCAAGAAAGATGCAACTCCCAGTAATACTTGGCTGTCTCTTTCCAAAGTACCAAACGATACGTCCCACACTGCCTGTAACTCGGATTTATGAAGCCTTCTGGGATCACTTAAATAGATGCGCGTGAAATCGGTGATGGACCAGGACCTTTGTTGAATCAGACCAGCAATGTGAGAGATACCCAACGCATGACCACTGAGGGTTTTAGCAAGTTCAAATGCCGAGAGTCCCTCTGTATGAATGTCGCGACCTATGTTGTCTTTCAACAAGAATAAGAGAAACTCGGACCCGGTCTTTGCATCCCATGAGGCTATTTCCAAGCCGGAGGTGGCAAATTTGTACACCAAGTTGTGATTGCGGGTGGTAATAATGGCCTTTCCATGACTTCCTTCCGGCCAGTATAGCCCCAATAGCTCATCATCCTCGACATTGTCGTAAACCACTAACCATTTGCAGTCTGTCATATAGAGAATCAGTAAATGTCCAAAGCAACAAGGGACAGTGACCTACTAGTCCTTTGAAACCAGTTCTGAGCAAGTTGCAAGTTCTCATTGTGTAGGTTGGCTTGTGCTCCAGGCAGTTTGAGCCGCAATGCTATGTCTGTGAAGCTCTGTCGCAACGATGCCGTCGTCTCACCATAGACCCAGAATACGGCGTCGTACTTGTTCTCTTCCATCTTTCTCTCGACATATCGTGCCGCAATGGAGCTCTTGCCGACGCCACCACGACCAAACAAGGCTATAGATTGGAAAGTTGTTGTTGATCCCTCCCTGCCGAGGACCTGGTCTATCTTCTCAAACGTGCTCTCTCTGCCAAAGAACTCTGGGTATATCTTGGTTGGCAGCTGCATCAACGATACTTGCTGTGTGATTGTAGCAATGTCTGAGGGGATGGTTTGGCCTCGCGGAGAAGGTGCAGTAACCAGACTCTCAACCCGCGACAGAGTTTCAGAGAGCGCCTGATTTGTGTTGATAAACTCACGCTGAAGCCATGACCATGAGTCCTCCTCGCCACGCATAAACTTGACCGCGATTGTGAAAAAATGAACCAGCTGAATCTGCATGTCAAAGCATGCTTCCTTCACTTGATCCGCCTTCTCCTGAGTTGACGCAGAGTAGTGCTGCTTGAAAGCCTCTGCTTTATAGCCAAGCGATTTGGTCATTCGTGGGATCACGGGGAGAGCATGTAAATCCTCGGATATAAGCTGTCTCGAAGTGAGTAATACGCTGCTATCCAGGAGGGTTGGCAAACGCGCACTCACCTGTAGCAGTATGCCAATGATGCCCCAGAAGAAGTTGGCCTGAAGGCCGGGAGCCAATTGCGACTCAAATATGTCGGTGAAGCGGTGATAGCGACCAAGTGTTGGCTCCAGTAAGGATATCTCGCACGGAATCCGAATCCCTTTGCTGGTCTCGGTGCCTGGGTCGAACAGCTCTTTCTGCAGCACATCCCACGAAGTGATGAGTAGCACTCGCTCAATGTCGGCTGGCTTTAGGGAACTTTCGCATTCTTTGGTAACTTGTGCCCAGTTTTGGAGAAAGTAGCGCTCTCTGTAAAAGATGTGTTAGCTCGGCATACTCTTCCCGGCCAGAAGGGCACAGGACTCACAAGTCTGAGGAATCCATGACGCTCACTACAAAGTGTCAGGTATACACACGCAGCTTTATGATGAACAAATGTCGAAATGATGCTTGTTGCCTGATATTGAAGACGACAGAGCCACATTTATGTCGATTCAATGTGACGATAGGGAACTCCTTGGAATGCGTCCATATGGCCTGTGCGAGATGTGTTGGTTCATGGTCTACCAAAAGTGGAGTTACATAACTCTCAAAACAAAAGCCTGTTGGGTAGGCTGCTGAAAAAAAAGCTATTATACTTGTGAAAGAGCTTGAGATGATCCTCAGGTCCCATTACCCGTCCATGATTGTATGTGGGCGACGTGGTGTTAAGGCTTCTTACATGAACACTAAATTACTATATAACAGGCCTTAGACCATTTAATTTTTACTATTTACTTAAAGATACTAAACCCTCTGAAAGCCAGCATACCAAATCTGCGCTCAGACACGGGCAAGGGGCTCACCGTTCTCAATCTTCCTCGCACCGTACTTCTCGATGCGGATAGATTGGATGGCGATGAAGCCCGATGGTCTTGGGGCGTCCAGTTCATGTCTAGCGTGTCCATGCTGCTCTCATCGGCAGAGTAGAGGTTGGAAGTCTCGCTGGAATGTCCGACGACGTACTCGCACTCTTTATAGGCGACGAGCTTCAACTTGCCCCCGACTTGACGTTGTGAGAACTCGATGGCATGCTGAACAACCTCCCGCTCAGGGCTAAAGTACATGTCTAGTTGAAGAGTTAGGATGCTCAATTCAACGACAAGACGCAAGCGTGGACGGAGATGGCTTACCGTTGTAGATGGCGGCTGACCAGTCTTGAGAGAGTCGGTCGCGGATGGAGCGCACCTTGGTATCCAAGACGAGTCCTTCAAGCTCCAGATGAGCCTGTCGAAGGATCGTTAGGCCGAGAGTATCTGTGAACGCGGCGTCAGAAATTGTACGGTCATTAAACCAGATTTAGCTACATACCGTAGCAGCCCCTGCTTTTCAAGCCTGAGAGTCGTTAGCGAATGACACAGCTGAAAGTAACACACTTCGTGACGAGCGTGAACTTACCGATGAACCTGGACTCGACAATGTCGACACGTCCGATTCCTAATAAATGGTCAGCAGGCCCTCAAGAGCTTCGTAGTCTGAAGCCTCACCATTGATCCGGCCGATCTCGTTTGCCTCTTTGAAAATCTCCAGTGAGCCGGTGACGACCTTGTCGCCGACCTCAAGCTTGACGGGAACGCCTTGTTCGAAATGAACAGTGAAGGGCGTCGGCTTGTCAGGAGCGTTCATCGGATCTACGGATGGATGTCAACGTCTCCCCGACTTGGTTGTAATTGCCACTACTCCTTACCAACAGTGCGCTTCCACATATTCTTCGGGGGCTGCATTTCTGTTTCCTCAGGGATCTGACAGGGTCAGCACGATGCAAGATAGAGTTGATCAAGTGGATGTAGGTAGCCTTACCCCAGCCTCATAGCTACAGTGGATGATGTTGTCGTCCATGAACCAGGGAGCCTTGGGCGCAGAGCTGACGGGGATGTTTTCCTCGGCTGCGAACTTAGTAGATCCGCACGTCCTCTGTGCACTAGTCAGCTTGGCTACGAAAGCGAGGGTGAGTGATGACAAACGCGAATCGGTTGTAGAACTCTGGCAATCGCCACGGAGCCAGAACCTTGAGGGTAGGATCGCAGGCCTTCCATGCCAGCTCGAAGCGAACTTGACTAGGAGACACCCTTGCCGGTACATCCATGGCTCAGGATCGTGCAGTTATGCTCTCTCGCGATAGACCATTGCCCGGGCAATCACCGGCCGGGCAAGACTCGTTCCAAGCAGGTCATCTCGATGTTAGCTGGATGTCGATAAGGGGTCAAGCTGAGTATCTTACATTGGTCCTCATAGATTGCGTTGCCTATAGATTGTGTCAACAGGTTCGTAGAACTCTCCAAGACGCTGAGCGGCGAACGCACATTGAATAACAGGCCAGACCAGCTCGTCGATAAACTCCTGTTGAACATCTTGTATGATCATGCGCTCGGCCCCGAGCTTGACGGCCTTGGACTTGACAGCCTCGAAGTCCTCCTCCTGGCCGCAGTCGGCAAGAAAACACACAACCTCATAGCCTTGCAAAACCAACCATCGGAGAATTGTACTTGTGTCAAGGCCTACTATGTGCATGAGTATGAATTTGCCATCTTGTCTTGATTGTGTTCAACTCACCACCTGAGTAGGCACTGATTTAGGTCAGTCGTCAGCCAAGCTGTGTCTTATACTGTGTCTTACACCAGTCGGAATGACTTAGAGACAAACACGTTCCGGTGCCATTGTGATGATTTCTTGAATTCAAGAGTTGGCCTGTAGAGGTGCGAGATATAGATCCAAGGGGTAGATGCAAGACGTACGGGCAGCAAAGCAATTTGGCGTCTGCCTCAAGAATCGGCCAAGATCAATTGATGCTGTCAAGGTTCTTTTGAGATTTCCTGCTCCGAAGACGGCCATTACGTCGTGAGTAGCCCGGCCGTTTATGGGGGACTGCCTTTTGATAAGGCTAGTCATATATGGGCGCCGCAAATTGATATGGGTATGCTGCCAACAGCTGACCTCCCCCTACTGTAGGACAACGCTCAAATGACTACAAGCGAATGCAGATTCGCGGGCTTGCAACACGATCCTAAGCTTCTTGCTATATCCTTTAAAGGTCATAGCGAGTCCGATCCATTTCAGGCCAACGCTCTCACAAGCGTGTTTTTGACGACCTTGAGCATCCCAACCTACCCAAGGTGGGACAAATGTTCCGCAGGTGCTTGGAAAATATTTTTTAGACGCATCTCGAGTCTCTGGACCTCCGGCTAGCGGCTGGCTTAAGAATCCCGCCTCTGTGTGGAAAGCTAGGGAAGCATCCTTATGCTTCGACGAGCCAAGGAATACTTCAAAGGCATCGTCTATGGCAAGCAGAAGATCTGGTGCCAAGACACAGGATGAGGATTCCATCGTCTTGAAGAGAAAGCAACTCGCTTGGTATCAACAGCTGGCTGACAAGAGCCTTGGGCCTGTCCACCTCGCGGTCATTACAACTTTCCTATTACCTGAAGATGGCAAAGATGACTATCTTCACCTAGATTTCCTCCTAGCATTAGCTAGGTCTGTGGATGCTATCTATCTCAAAACACTCGATTCTGTATCAGCCCTTGCGCTGACCTTTACGCTGCATGGTATGGAAAAGCCCACAGACCGAAAGATTTTCTACTTTTTGTCACGAAGCGACATGAACACTTTCAACGACGCAAGATCATGAGACAGCTATCTATAACCCCGAGTTTCCCATTACCTATCTAAGCTTGTACGTGCTTAAGGCGTCTGGTACGACAAAGCTGTGAAAGCTGCACAACAAGACCACACAAAAAAAAACAAAAAAAAAACATACAACAGCCGGTGTTCGCTGATGGTCACCCACTCAACTACTAATCTGCCTCTCATTGGCTTGACTCTGGGAGAGCAGACGGGATCCCGTATTTTCCAATGGATATGGTCGTATGTGATGTGAGATCTGCTCATCACAGCTTACAAAAAAAGACGACATGAGGAACTCCAAAAAGATAAAAAAACATACAACAGCCGGTGTTCGCTGATGGTCACCCACTCAACTACTAATCTGCCGGTTAGTGGCTTATCTATGGGGGAGCAGACGGGACCCCGAGTTCTCCACTACCTATGGTCGTATGTGCTTGTAATTGAACCAAATCCTATTATATAGGTACATACATATGTATAGCTCCCAAGGGATTGCGGTTCCAGTAAACTACAAAATCTCATTCTAACGTGCTATCTATTACTGGGTATGGTTATGTTGCACTTACGCAGATGACCCCTGCCTATCGGGAGCGGAATCTTTGAGTGGATGAAGCTTCGAGAATGTTGGGCATCATCCTTGGCAGCTGTGAACTGTCTATAACAGCGCTTGTGTTGGCAGGGAAAAGAGTAAGTGTTGGAGTTTTGAAAGCCAGTTTGTTTACCTTATCATGCAGATAGGCATGCGTACGTCCTCGAGTAGCATTTAACGAGGCCTGTATTATCTAGCACGCCAGAGTTCTAGAGCAGATTATGTGCATCGCATAGAGCTACGAAGCACCACTTACATATCAACAGCTACTGAAGCAGCCTCCTGACTACACGCCAAATACATGACTGTGGTATAGTTGTAAAAAAATGATCTCTATATCAGTACTACATATCCAGCGCCCATTCTATCCAGTAAGATTTCTTTGAAATTGTGCAACTGCTTCTTTTCTTTGTTAAGAGTGAAGTATCGTACTGTAAGTACCACTAATTTTGGGGTGCTGGATATGTGCAACAGCCGCTCTGTTGCCAAAGACTCGCAGCAATTACACAGTGCTGAGCGATCGGGCAGCGTCCCTGATAGACTGAAGAGTTACCGCTTGCCAGCCTGATCGCGGCCTGATAATCAGTCCCCCAATTTTACGCGAATCAAAACCAACATCAGAGAAGTACACTTGGTTACAATCTGCAGACTGTGAAAATTTTCTGGCCAAGGCCCAGAAAAGTCTCTTCTCATCCTATTCACCAACCTCAAGCAACCAAGCCTCCATCTTCTCCCCCACTCAACGCAATGACAAGCAAAACCTGGTTCCTCCCTCCCGACTTTACCTTTCTTCCAGACGGGCAAATTGCGCTCGGCAGCATCATCCCCAGTCCTCGACAACCAACCGCCACCCTCGCTTCTGCCATCTCCTACCCGACTATCATCCTGCCGAAGACCAAGTCCATCACGGAGAAAAACCTCAGCTTCTCAGCCGAAAAGAGCCGCTCCTTAGGGCTCGCGCTCTTTGCGAAGCTTCTCGACGTCGGAAATGCCAAGGTCGATGTGTCATGGTACAAGAACAAAACCTTCAGCGCCGTCGATCATGAGGTGCGCACATACCACGGAGCCTTTGCTCCAGAGACCTTGAGAGCAATCTTGGCACTTGAGGATATTCAGAAGCACATCGATAGCGGGCGTTTTGGTAAGCGCCACGTATATATCATCACGGGCTTACGCGTGGTGCGACAGAGCTTTATAGTTACCGAAGAGAAGGGGATAAAAACGGCAACTTCTGTTGGAGTATCAGGATTTGTTCCCACTGGCACTGTGCCTGCCGTTCTAGGAGCCACGATTGCCGGTAAAATAGATGATAGGGCTAGGAATAGCTACGAGACAGCACCGGGAATCGTTTTCGCATATCGGCTACACGTGATTCGACCCAAGAATACAGGTGCCGATGTCGAGCTATTTTCTGATAGGACAGCATTCTTTAGCGGCGAAGCTGAAGATGTTGAGGCTGAGATGGAGATAGTTGAGGTGGACGGCGCAGTGTACCGAGAAGATTTAGATGCAGAGCAAAATGATTACGAAGAGACGCGACTCGAAGGAGCAGACAATGACGCCTATATCGTGTTTCACAGTTAGTCGCCGGCAATGAGAGCGAATTACTGAAATGCAATCAACGCATGCTAGAAGGCGTCTAGAGAAAAAATTATTCTGTAAGAAATGGCACCACATTCACTCGGAACTATGCTTTTCGTTAGATAGATTTGTTATGGTTCATTCATGTTATTGTAATATGATTAGACCGTTCAGTCACTCTTCGCGCTATCCTCTATGATGTTCTGTCCAAGTTTGACAGGGTATCAAAAATAGCTGCGTATCGCGCGAGATCAATCGACTTCTTCCAAAACCAGATCGGGTTCACAGCCCTATGCCGTGGAAAGTCCTCGTCTTTTGGTGCCAGCCGACCCAGTGCTGCCTCCATGCCTTTGGTGGTCCAGAGAAGTTGTAGGATCTTGTCGGTCGTGCTCGCCGCTTTTCCTTGCAGTGAGATTAATTGAGGCAGTGCAGTGGCGTATATCAGCAATGTAGCACTTATGCCTGCCATTATTGCCGTCGCGACAGATGACCCGGGCTCACAAATCTTCGGGTATGTACTGCTAAATTCCTCTTGAAGGGAGTTTGGGATATCGTCGCCGAATGTGCCGAGTACAGTGGCACTATTGCTAGTACTTCTTGCATTTGATTGTAGAAAGACTCCGTTGCAGTTTGTAGCGTAGACTGATATAACAGCAGGGTGACGGGCAGGGAAGCTTTCATCGTCTATAGACGAGTTCCCAGCACTAGCTAGGAAAATTATATTCTCTTGGCGTTCCTTCTGTACTTTCTCAATAGCGTCGCATATCCCTTGGTCCTTATGATGAAAGCCAAAGGACATAAGGATAATATCGGCTTTGCCAATCTGCCCGGCCCAGAGGATAGCCTACCAGATAATATATAAGCTTTATGAATGAATATTACGCAATCTCGTCGCTCACCTTCTTGATGTTTTCACGACTGCTCTCAAGCTCATTAGTGTTTTTAGCAACACGCGCAACTATAATACCTGCTCCAGGAGCGCACTCCATCAGGAGCCTTGCCATAAGGGTCCCGTGTCCAAAATCATCTGTCATAATTGGCGCGTTAGGATTAACAAAGTCTCTTTCCTCGACGATGCTCTTCATCAGTCCGCTCTTCGCTCGAAAGGCAGGGAATTCTCTGTCCAACCCTGTATCCAGGATGGCGACGCGAATCTCGGCTGAAACTGCACATGTGCGTCGTTTATGCTCCACCACTTCACTGATTTTTTTCAGGTCTCGTAGCCACATCTGAGGAACTACAGTAGCGCTGTGAAATTCTGCTTCTGGTTCCAATTTCCTAGGCTCGTTATCAGATACTCTTTGCAGGGGAGAAGGAGGCTTCTTGTTGACATAATTAATGTGCCCGACTTGCGTTCCGAAGCCTTTTGTTGCTAGCCATTTGAGTGGGAAGACCACGTATTCGTAAAACCTGCTCCGTATAACGATATATTCTTTCTCAACTGGTTTTTGTTGCTCTGATGCAGGATTGACGCCCTCGCTCTCGAGACAGAATCTCACAGCTTCATCAAAATACTTCTTATTATTCCTAAAACCATCCCAATCCATCTTTCTAAGTTCTTCTAGCTCGTCGATTGCCCTCTTGTGATTAAAGTTCGCTTGCGAGATTCTATTTTTGCGATCTATGGTTTGAAACGGCTTAGCGAGACCAATTTCTAGAAGCAATACGCCTATATCAAATATCTGAGGATATTTATGTGTCAGCTGATCCTTGTCTGAGATATCAGAATCAGTTCTGCCAGGAGTGCCGAAAGGAAATGACAGATATGCGCATAGTGGTAGTTGATCTCTACTTCCTCTATTGCCCTCCTCAGGCATAAACCAGATGTCGTCGCTCGTCCATTTAGTTCGCATTATTAATTCTGAGTTATAATATTTCCAGAATGATCGGGCTATAGCGTATGACAGTAGCACTTTGTCTTTTGGGGTGAGGTTGTAATAGCGTAAGACCCTTTTTAGAGGTTCTCCATTCCCAGCCTGGAAAATTTGCCGTAAGACTCGCGAATAGTTGAGCCTAAAGAGACCTTGGCCGCCCTTGTATGAGAGAGGCACGCTAGCATAGATTTCTTGATCGAGAATATGGCAGAACCCTCCTCGACTCAAAAGCTGGCCATCATCAGCATGGCTGCTTGGGTTACTGAAGCTCAAACCGTTAGTGAGAATAACACTTAAACTACTCTGTGCAACGAGCTAACATCAGCAACGCTAAATTATCAACAGATCGATCTAGTTGACGAAGTGGGATGATGGGACGGGACCATATACTTGGTAGGTTTAGAGGTAGGTAGGCAAGTGTTGTTGCCACAACTTCATCCTGCGAGGGTTGCGGATACACTTACATCATCAAACTAAACTCTTGCCAAAGAGTCATACCCATAGCTGAAACAAGGACTGTCATATCTCGTGCAACCTTTTTTTGATCGGCCTGGAGTTCATGCAAACAGAGTCGTGTAGGATGTCGCATGATTTCCGAGTCGTCTTCAACGGTCAGCATCGTTCGGCAAGTCTGATATTCCGTAGATTGACATTCAGCGATGGATTGAAGTGCATCGAAAGCCCCATTGTTCAGGTCATCCAAAAATGTATCCGGTGTCTCGAGATGCTGAGTCACGATCTTGGGCAGTCCATCCCCGCCTTTGGTCAGCCTTTGGATGAGGTTGTCACAATCGCGCCCAATTTCTTGGCTTTTTCCCGTTTGCTTCTTGAAAAAATTCATAACGTCTGTCTCCAGATCTGTGGTGTAAGTCCAATTGAAAGGAAATGAGCGCGCTGGTCCCACCGTTGGCCGAGAAATAGCATCTAAGCTACGCAACATTGTGCGGCAGAGTTGGTCAACATCGGGCTCAAGGCCATAAAGCGGAAGAGATCCGAGATATTCGTTAATTAGATGAAGCCTGGCGGCGATCCCGTGAGCTGCGCAGTAGCTGCCATGGTCGGAAGGTTTCAAGCGTCCTCCGCGAAATGCATCATATATCACTCTCGAGAACACTATCGCACGAGATGCCAGGAGAGCAGAAACACCTGTATCTTCAGCCATAGTATAGGATGCGTTCATTTCCAAGTGAGGAGCTCATCAAACCCAAGGTGGGAGCCTGGAAGTAACCCGTATTATCTGCACTCGCCATTGGTCAGTGCAACTTCGTAATCTCCCCCGCTCGATGCCTTACAATCTGGTACAAGAGCGATTGCGACTCCAGCCATCTCAGCGTGGAATACCAGGCTCAGCTTTCCATCTTTAATGCAGCATGGAGCCAGCAGCGCCCTCAATTCTGGCGCTCACGCAGTCCTGCATTTCCAAATTCGAGCAGCTCTTGGCCACTCAGAAGCCTGGATATATCGGGCCATTAGAAAGCCGGCTGGCTGACTTCAGACTCTGGGCGGATGGCCTTGGTGCCTTGGCAAAGCGCAGAGCCTCACTGGATTTCAAACTTCGGGATCGAACAAATGACTCTGAATTAGTGAAAAATGTCCTTATTATGTTGGCAGACTCCTTGAATTATTCCGAAAGTCTCGCCGGGTCTGATGAAAACTCCGCTGCGAGTATCCGAAACATTGATTCCGCTATCGAGATCCTTGCTCTGATCAGCGTGGCTATCCGCCGAACAGGAAAGGCATCGCGAAACCGCAGAGCTGACCAAACGTTTGATCCGAGTAAGCACCAGGAGCTAAGGAAGCATCTCGAGTGCGTCGTTCTTCTTCGTCCAACAGAGGAGGCTCTTTTCAAGAAAACAGAAGATGGGGATTTCATCGCTAGAATTGATACCTCTAAATTATCCGACCTACAACAGCGTATTATTCAAGCAAATCTCAGGCGGAGGCACAACTTTCTTATGGCACAAAAGCACTCCATAGCCCAGAAGGCGCCGCAAACTCAGCCCTCAGCTGCTCAGCCCTCGTTACCCATCGGAAGTCTCTTACAAACCGAATCTATCGTCAAAACACAGAACTTGGACAGCCCTCAGAATCCAGCGCCAGTTCCAATATCAGATCTGGCTATCAGAAGTAAAAGTATCGCAGCACCAACGATATCGGGATATTCACTTGCATCCACAGCAGAAGGGACTCTTAAATTTGATGCAGCCACCAAAAGAAACACTTGGGGGATAGCGAAGACACAGATCACTTTAATCGCCTCTAATAATGACTTTCCAAAAGCCCCATCTATCACTTCTGGTCAAAAAATTTCAAAATGTCCCTGTTGCTGCCAATCAATGCCTGGTGAAATATTACAGGATCCAAAGAAATGGAAGTAAGTATATATAGCGACTGAATTATCTTCTTCTTGTATTTTTTGTAACTAATTTAATTCTCCCATTTAAAGACAGCATATAGTTGAGGATATATGCCCTTATACTTGCATCGCTGAGAACTGTCCTACGCCATATCTTCTCTTCTGTACTCGAGATGAGTGGGAAACTCATGTCAAAGAAAGCCACCTGCCTTACTGGCAATGTCTGTTTTGCGAAGATCTTAAAAACTATCTAACGATGGAGAGCATTTTAAGCCACCTCCAAGAAAATCACCAAGAGGAGCTCCTGGATACCTCTCTTTCAACACTCCTATCCTGGTTTGCGGTACAGAAGAAGGGAATCAAATTCTGTCCTTTATGCTCGTCATGCGGGGCCGAAGACTCTCCAGAAGTGGTCGATCACGTCCTGCAGCACACGTACGAGTTCGCGCTCCGATCTCTTCCTTGGCCAAAACCTGTTATACACAATCTTAACGTGCAACCAGGTAGCTTCAATCTTTCACTGGATTCAAGCCACACAGAAGAGATCCAGCGACTGGACGCAGAAGGGATCCAGCGATTGGACGCAGAAGATGACAAGCGATTAACTGCAGAAAATCTCCAGAGACTCCAAGTAGTAGCTATCCCTCAAGGCACTGCAGAGGATATCCAGCAATGGATCAACAAAGAAATTCATGATCGCAAAGAACCTCCAGAGCTGCAACTCACCGACTACGATAGAGCGGAACATGCTGGCTCGGAGGAGCCTGAGTTTCATGAATACAGCAACTACTTTCTCACAAACCAATACTTCGGTGATGAATCCGACGAGGGCAAATCTCTTAAGCTACAACATAATCGAAGCACTGGCAGTTCCATCGATGGATCCACTGACACTGATCGGAGCATGTGGAACGAAGCAGCACTATTAGGGATGCAAATTATAGCAGCCGTAAGAAATGAGGCGGATGGCGAAGAGAAGCTGGAGATTCTGCTGAAAGGACAAGAAGGCCATGTCGCCGTCACAGAAGACATCGTGAAAGCCGCAGCAAGCAACGAGGCATGCGGCAAGCAAGTGATGAGATTATTCATAACCCAGCCTGTGAAGTATGTCACTATCGAAAAGGAGGCCGTGGCTTCTATTGCCGAAAGCTTTGACGGCGAGATGATGGCATTGCTCCTCGACCAAAGAGGAGATCAGATTAGTGTCACAGCGGATTTTGTGAAAGCTGCGGCGAGAAACTTGGAAAGTGCTGATGAGGTAATCGAATTGCTCCTCGCGCATCAAGCCAAACCGAAGTCTACCCATACGGGAGACGTTGATTCTCCTCCAACTCCTCCTACCTTCGGCGGTCTTGGCTCCCTCGAACTGGATGCCGTCGCGCCGCATCATAAGAAAAGTGGCGATGACTGGTACGTCATTTTCAATCCTCAAGTGCAACGCGTTCTTGATGTCGATCCTGTCCACACCCTCCTCCACGATAGTGTTGTCTGCCATGTCCGAATTTCTCAAGACGGAAAGTACGTGGCTACAGGCAGCAATCGATTCGCTCGGATTTTCGATGTATACACAGGTGAGGAGATACACACACTGGATTGCAGCACTACCGATACCACAAAAGATAATTATGTTCGGAGTGTTTGCTTTAGCCCTAATGGGAAATATCTTGCCACTGCTAGTGAAGACAAAGCCGTCCGAGTAAGTAAACACCTCCAGTTCTAACGGAAGTTGTTCCTAACTAATTATAACGTAGGTGTGGGATATTACTACAGAAACTCTCCATAACCACTTCCAGGGCCATGAAGCGGATGTAACCACGTGTGATTTCGCTCCTAATGGACGTACTATTGTATCTGGAAGTTATGATAAGACTGTACGTCTTTGGGATATCGAGACAGGTACCAACACCTTCACTCTAACCACTAGCGACTCAATAATGGCCGTTGCCATGTCCCCCGATGCTCAGGTTGTAGCAGCCGGGTCAGTGAATAATACCATCTACCTCTGGGAAGTTAAGACTGGTAGCTTGGTTGAGCACTTGAAAGGTCCCGATGATCACAGAGACAGTCTCTTTTCCGTTGCCTTCTTGCCAAATGGCAAGAATCTGGTCAGTGCCAGCTTAGATCGCACTATTAAGATGTGGAAGCTAGGTTCCCCTGGCGAAGAACCGTATTCGAGTAGGTGCGTCACAACTTTTCAAGGGCACAGTGACTTTGTTCTTTCTGTTGCTTCATCGCCAGATGCTCTTTGGATAATTTCAGGTTCCAAAGACAGGAGTGCGCAATTTTGGGATTCCAGAACAGGCATGGCTCAATTCATAATTCAGGGACACAAGAACTCGGTTATATCAGTAGCGCCAAGTCCACAAGGTAGCTACTTTGCGACTGCTGGAGGAGATCAGAAAGCTCGTATTTGGGCTTACCATCCATATCAGGCTGTATAAAGAGATTTTGTTGAATAATTTGCATTTTAGCAGAGGTATATAATGATAGGATTTTGCATCGCAACTTCGGTCCAATGACGAGTTCTCAAACTTTTCAATTTGAGGCCGCTATGTGTATCAGACATTTGGCGGATGCTGATGTACTACCTAGTTCTTGGTCTCGTTATAATATATGAGATATACGCTTCATGTGACGAGTTGGTTTGGCTTTGGAGCTTACGCATTGACTGTCTTGTGAATAGTTACTTCTAAACCCGGTAGATGGTGCTTTGTTATTATACAACATGAAGATCCTAGATTTATAAACCATGTATGGAATAAGTAGTGGATTCTATATCTATAATAATCTTTTACCTTTCCTACAGATAAATTTTATTACTAAGCTAAGTTTTGCTTAGTTCTTGGCTGGTGTTTTGATAGCTTTTATGTGTGCAGTTGTGGTTTGTATTATGGCTATGGCTGCGGCTGCAATTGAGACTTTTCCTTTGCCTGCTTGCTACTCTATACGCGTCATTGCTATCTTTTGCTCGCTGGAGTGCTGCCGCGCAGTATTGCGTTTGTTTAAGTAAGATTGCGACCGTGATTAAGATACGTGTAGAATTGCTGAGAGCTTAATGCTAGCTATAGCCGAGACTCTCTATTAAGTGTATTCCACATTAAGTGTGTGATGGCTTAGGCGGATTCCAACAAAATAAAAGCTCTCATGCACATAATAAAGGGAGAAGCTGTGTGCCTTCGTGTAGACAGACTCGACGCTTTAAGAGGTGGCATGTAGTGTTAAGGGGAGGCGGATGTGGCAAGGGTATTAGAGGGAGTGTGAATAGCAAAAATTCCTTGGTAGCCAGTTAGATTAATACTGTTAAAACCACCAAATCACGTGCTGCTACAACAGGTAAATATTTAACCTGTTGGTTCAGATGCTTCTGAAAATGGAACCATATAACTCCAATTTTGGAAGCTAGGGGCGCCGGAAGCCGAAGATAATGAGCCGTGTTGTAGAACTTGACGGGACCCCGAGTTCTCCACTACCTATGGTCGTATGTGCTTGTAATTCCGATCCGCTTCCTTATAACAGCTTCATCTCCACCCTCTGCAGCAGCCGAAATCAGCCTGAACGCATGCTCCTCCAACCACAACCACATACAGCTTAACGCATTAATTAACCCAACATTAAATTCCAAGCATTACTTACCATCCATCAATTCATTCATTCATTCTTCATAATCCAATTCCCCAAATAGATTAAAAACTAAACCACGATAAACTTCCCATCGCAAGCATCCTCCACCAACCCTGACTCATCCCACACATTAGTCAGACCCAAACCAAAAAAAAGTACCTGCAAAATCCCAACACAACTGATTCAACAGCCCAGGAAAGACAAAGACATATAACATTACTCAAAGAAAAGTTCCTTTTTTTAATTTTTAATTAAACACCATCGCATCATTTTTCACACGCCCCCCTCAAAAGCAGCACATTCCTTCTCAATTACAAACTATAAGCCATACAACCGCCCATTCCGAAACCCAAGGAATTGATAATCAGCGCCTACATACATAACATGCGGTACACATCTAAAAAAGCACTTCCTAAGAAGTCCGCAACATCCATCTCACATGACCTCCCCGTAAAACGAACTTAAAAACTCCCAGGGTCGTCGCAACACAATCCCGAGAAGGCTAAATGATTGCAACAGGATTGATTACTAAAACAGCGCTCCCTTTTGCTTACACTCATTACGTTGGCAGAGAAAAGGTACATTCCCCCAAGTCCCTTAGGGCTTAGGCTCAGCAGTGGAGACGAAAGAGTGAAAAACGCCTTCAATGCGACGCCTCAGCCTTAGTGCAAGGGTCCAGCAAACGTGGCAACGTGGCTGGTGCTTGTAGCAAGTATCTCTCGTACCCTACAACAGGGCGAAAAGAAAAAAGGTAAAGGGGCCCCAAGATCTATACCAGGCTGGATCTATTGTGGCAACTCGATGCAAAGCATTGATGCTGGGTTAATTTTAGAAACAGTCACTTATGATGTGAGAAGTGAGATATTGGAAAAATGATTGTTATGCGGCTGTTCAATTTAATAGCCATATTGAAATAAAAAACTAGATTACTATACATATTTTTCTTCTCTATCCAAGCCATAAGTTATTTTTCATAAACAGTAAGAAAAGGAAAAGGAAAAAGATAAGCAAATAAGAAATGATTAACATCAGAAACCATCTGCTCTGGTGAAATCCATGTGTATTGTTTTAATCCTTTGTGTATGCGCCCAGTGCCCTCATGTAAAATCATCCCGTTTCTCCGGGAGTCTTGAATGCATTTTTGGTCCCAAAGTGATCCAGTCTGGTGGACCTTTGTTTTCATCTTTAATAATACAATTCTCCCCAAGCAAGCTAGGTATTTCGGAGAAACAAGAAGAAATGAAAAGAAATCGTTGAATCAGGTCAAGCGCTGCAAAGCGAAAAACACACACACAAGTGTTTGGTCTATCCGAAATAATCCCTTCCAAATGTAAAAAAAAAAAGCCCCGCTTCCCAGTCGCTGCAACAAAATGAAGTAATAGAAAACAAGTTGGAAAAAACAAGTCGACAGTAACAGATAGTAGTACAAGTACAATAATGACGAAAAGGCCAAGGGATAGACATTCAAGGAGAAGCGACAACAAGAATGATTCAATTCAGCCGCAACGCAAGTGACAATAAGAGTAATTGGTGGTGTGCATCATGATCGCGTAGCATTCGTAGAAGCAGAAACGGTAAATCAGTCGCAAGAACGGGAGGGGGTGAGTGTAGACACTCAGAACTCTCGTCGTCAATGGGAAGCCAGAAGCGGCATGGTGCGGCATCATCGCGAGGAGATGCTGCGACGGTTTCGTCTGGCTCGAAGATCGCAGCATCATTGCGAGCAATGCATGGCCCGCGGCTGTCGTCATTGCGGTCACTGCTGCCCAGCAATAGCCAAGCTGGGACGACAATGGGTGACGAGAAATCAGGGCACGAGCAGGCGTGGGTGATGTCAGCGGTGGAGGGCATGAGGTAGCGTGACGTCAGCGCCGCGGATTCACCAACCAGGACCCTGCAGCTGCAGCAGGACCCTGAGACCCACCCAGCGACCTGCTGGGTCCGGATAGCTAGGGAGCAGAACGCCAGAGAAGACACTAGCATCTTCCCATTGGCTGTGGGCTGCCGCCTGAAGTCGAGCAGCGCACCACTCCCCCGCAAGGGAAGCTGGAGTGCGCCATGATCGCCCAATCTTCGATTTGCTGCCCCTCCATCAGTGCGCCATCGTGTCATTGACGTTGCTGATGCTGTCCCTTTGCTCGATTCAACCAGTGAAAAAACGTCATACAATGGTGATGTTCATTGCATTTTCTGGATTTTGATGTTTTGGTGTCGAATCAGGGATGAACCAGGATAAGAGCCAATCTAAGCTCCACCGCGTCGTCGGTGCTTGCCAGGGAGCTCGACATCGGGATGGCACACCCGGTAGTGTCTCGTCAGTGCATCAGCACGGCTAAAGGTCTTCTCCTCCGTACACAGGTTACAGTGCACCTTTTGCTTCTTGGCGTTGTGGATCGTGTCCTCATGCCGGGTCAAGTCGTACGGTCGCGAGAAGATGGTGTTGCAGGGCTTGCCGGTGCTGGGGTTGATGCGATCGCACCGGTGAGGTCCGGCTTGGCTGTTGAGCAGGCTGGAAGTCATGCCGCTGTGTTCGTGGTGCTGCTGCTGCTGCTGCTGCTGACGAGCACCGCCCAGCGCGTGCGACTGCCTATGTCCCTCGCGCTTGTGCTTCTGGAGTAGACTAGGCGTCTCGAATCGTAGCGTGCATCCGTGATATGTGCAAGTGTAGGTGCCTCCATCGGCGTTGGCGCCGGCGGGGCGACTCTGCGGGACGGGAGTGCTGTAAGCGGCCGATCCGGATGTATTGGAGTCAGCCGAGCTCAACTGGGAGGCTGATACGTCGCCGGTTGTTGGTGGATAAGCAACAAACGGATATCGCTGTGGCACCTGCGCAATGCCCGCGTGCTGCGATGGTACGTGGTGCATGTTGTGGTGGCTTGCGTTGTCCCCCTGGCCGTAGCCGCCGGAAACTGCAGCCCCATTGTCGGGAAGTATCCTGCCCATGTGGTCCATTCCAAAGTTGATGGGCTGGTGAGAAAACAGAGGCATGTTGGGCTCCTCTGATGACTCATTGAACTCGAGAACGGCATCCTTGGGCGAGATGGTCTGGGGCGTGGCGGGCTGTGTTGTCTTGGCCATCTGCTGCTGGAAGAACTGGGCATCGTGGTGGCCGCGGTCCTGGCTGGGCATATGAGGCTGGGCATTCATGGCCATGCCGCCGTGTGAGGCAGCCCAGTCGTGCAGTGGCGAAGGGGCAAGTGGAGAGCCGTGGCGAAAGGGGGACATGTCTCGAGAGATGCTCGAGGTAGGCGAGTGGTGAACGGTGTTGAGGTGCTGGCTATTGGCGGCATTGATGCGCTGGTTGAAGACGTCGTTGGGCGCAGCAGTGACCTGGCTCTGCTGCGGCGAGGAGGTGATGGTGAAGTTTGGGTTGTACAGCTCGTCGCCGTAGACGTCGGTCATTGTGCGGCCCAGCTTGGGGACGTTGGCGTTTGCGTGACCTGTTGTAAAGCATGAGTCTTCTGGTTGCTCTTCGTCATCCACCAGGACGGGGTCTTGTTTACCTTGCTGCCTTCTTCTATCAGACATATCCATGTCTCCAGTGATGGGCGTGGCGGGCGAGTCTCCCGCTATTGAGCTTGCCACGGAGGCGGGATGTGATCGGGTGAGGCCATTGGCAAAGTCGGGCGCCGGGAGCAGGTTGCGATCCTGGCGCAGCTTGTGGTGGCCGGCACCAGGGCCCTGGATGACGGGATAAGCCATCTCGACGGGCGAGTGCTCCATGTGGTGAAAATTTGAGTAGGGCGCCATGGTCTTTGCCAGCTGGTAGTAGCTGGGGCTGGCGGAGCTCAGGCTGATGTCGCTGGAGTGGATGTCCATGAAGCCGTCACCATTGGCGTCGGTGACTGCAATCTGGGGGTTCGCAATGTGCGAATTGAAGGGCGACGCCGGCCCTGTCGATCCCAACGACGACAGCGAGGACTCGCGCTGGTGGGCTAGGCGGCCAAACTTGGGAGTCGAGAACCTTGCGGCGGCTTCCCAGGAGTCGGGCCGCATCGAGTCGGGCGAGAAGGCGTTGACGATGGCGGCGTCCAGCGTCTCGAGGTTGGACGAGGAGAGCTCGACGGAGGGGAAGATGGGCGACGAAAAGGTGAAGTCGGAGCTGTGGTTGCTGCTGTTGTCCTGACCAAAGGTGAAGTCGTGGTGAGGATGATGCGAGTAGTTGTTGCTGTACTGCTGCTGTTGCTGCTGTCGCTGATACTGCTCGTATGATGATGGTCTGTTGTGGTCCACTGATAGCATGGTGGTTGAAAGAAGTTGTAGATTTGCGGTTTTGGAGAGTTCGATCTGACGGAATGTGGTGGCAAAACGCTGTGCTTTATATCATCCCAGACGCCCAGGCCGGCCCTACCGGTTTCGTCAACGTCGATGCTTGGAGGGCTGGAGACAGTTCGGAGGGAGGGAGGGGGAGGGGTGGGACTGCAGTGGGTGCGCTGCCGAGGTGGAGGGGGCGTGCGGCAGAAAGTGGGAAGCCCCGATGCACTAGCGCGATGCAATACGTACTTGGACCCAAAGAGAAGTGACCAGAATCAGACCCAGCATCAGACCCAGAATCAGACCCAGCATCGGGACGGGCTAGTCTCAGACGCAGACGCAGACTCAGCCAGACCAGGGCAGCAGCTCTGCCCTGCGAGACTGCCGATGGAGCATCCGGGGAGCCGCGGCTGGCCCTACAGTATGAAGAGCAGAAGAGCAGCGTTTGTTGAGGGCAGAACAGCCGGCAGGCTTGCTTTGATAATCCAGTTCTGAGCAGTCTATGATTACACACGCACCGCGGTACACAGAAATTGCCTATCCGGGCAAAGTCCTCCGCAGACGCTGCCAGGCCAAAACCTTCGGACTGGCAGTTCCGAGCGTTCCCTCGCTGTCAGTCTGCGTATGACTAAGTGCGCTTGAGTCGGGACGCCCAGTCAGTCATTTGTCATGCAGTTCAAATGGAAATCAAATCATTTTGCTGCAAGTTGAATATGGGCAATTCGTCTCCCGGGCCTTTGCATGGCTGCGTTAACCTCGGCATGGAGTACGTATGTGCGTCGATGAGTCGTAAGAGCGAGTGCGTGAACAAGTGAGTGGACAAGTATATCATCTGCCGTGCTCGCTGCTGCACACGTACTTACGGGCTTAGGCAAGCAAACATACGAAAGCCGCATACGAGGCGCCGGAACTGCATCGTAATCGGCTATTCTAGGAACTCCTGTATGATTCTTTCGTCCAGCTCATCTGGTGGCGTGTACTGTACACTCTTCTACGCGGCCTTGGGCTCGGGACTTGCCTGGCGTACTGTACCGCGCTGCACCGAAAAGTACCCCCCTTGCTAGACTCACTCACTCCAGGCACAACACAGCCACACGACTTTGGCTGCATTAGTGGCATTTCCAGTGTGGCTTTCGCATAAGGTTCCGAGCGAATACCGCATCTCCGCCGCCGCGAATAGGCGTTTCCCCCTGTCTGTCCCAGCAAATTTTTTTTTTCTTGACAGGTCAAGCCACACTTACTTTGTGTGTGTGTGTCTGATTTGGTGCAACTTTGTTTTTGCTGGTAGGCAGTAGTCATTTCTAGAAATTTCCCCGATGGATGAATGATATGGCTTTTTTAATAGAGTCACACAGCCCATCACGGCAATTCAGACTTTTCTTGACAGCTCGAGCTTATTTTCACAGAATCTTTCTCCTTTCGGCGTCAAGGGCCTTTACATTGTTCCTTTTCGCCGAAATGGCGCTCCTAAACAACATGCACCCTAACGGAGAAAATCACAAAACGAGAAGCGAGCAACAAGACCAACAAGTAACCAACCAACCACAGGTACAGATAGAGTGAAAAACCTGAATGTGACTTGTAAACTTGGCGCAGGACCCCGATCGCCAGATCCCTGCCCAGCGGATGCTGGACGGGTAAGAGTAAACTTGCAGCAGCAGGAAAAGCAAGATTTCTCATTGGACCCCTCAGCCACAGCAAGACACATTTACCCTCACTGACGGGAAAGATTTTCTCTCTCTCTTTTTTTTTTTAGAAACTCTCCTCCCTGTTGTTACTTTTGCTGCGGGTTTCGCCTTGAAAGGTACATGTCCCTGGACTAGTACTGGGATGCAGGTCACATGACCCGCCTCATACGTTACTGGCTTGACGGCAGATGGGCAACCCAATGATCGGATTTTGAATCGCTCGCCAATTAATGGAAATACATACAACCCAACATTACTAATTGGGGGGTGTTTCCACTAGTAATTCATTGTCATCTCTTACTTACCATTGCCATTCTAAGCACCAATTAATTAATTTTTCGGCCGAAAATTTCTGTTGTTCACTTGATCGAACCTTGTAGCAACAATTCACAAATGATAAGAGAAATGGCAAGATGCGCACCTGTTCCTCTCGTGCCATCGACCTGATGTGTAATCGCATGATTTGGCATTAGCATGTGTATCATTGCGTGACTTTTCACTGTGTGGTGTGCAACGGAAAGCTGCTGCACCTGCGATGCGCTGCACTGCAACCGATCCCCTAGTAAAAAAGCAAGGTTACCTACATCCATCCTCACTCTCTTCTGTTATCTTGCTTCTCAACAAAAAAGAGTAAAAAAAAAAAAAGAGAAAAACTAGCACATGTCGCATCTCGTGTCTGCATGCAAGACGGTGCGCCAAGCCAAAAGGAAGAACACCGAACACACCCCCAAAACCAAAAATAGGGGAAATCATAAAAGCGAAAGCGAGGCCGGAAAAACAAAAAGAAGAAAAAAAAGAAGAAAAATTTTCATTCTCGAACCCTTCCCGTTTTGCGCTTCTCCTGCATGTAGTTGAGACTAGATGCCGGTGCAACGTGTGTACAGGTTGGTTGGCTGGTGGTGGTGTCGCTCCCACTGTAGCGCACAGTAGTCTGCTGTAGCAGCTGCAAGTTGTGTCGGGCAGGCCGAAGAGCCTGGGAGAAAAAAAAAAACTGCTGGTGCAGCGTCTCGCCTCGGAGACGGCCGGGCCTCGTTTGCGAGCACCAGACACGCTCAAACTCAGCCACACCCTCTTTTTCCCGCCAGATCTGTCCCTAAGCCTTAGCAGGCCTTGCACTTGCATGCATCGTGCTCGTCTGCCGGCACTAAGGCCGAAAGCTGAGAAATAAGATTCTTCTCGGCCTGATCGACGGATTTTTTTAGATGCCTAGACGGGGGGTGAAGTTTTTTTCCTTAATTCTCAGTTTCCTTCTGTTTTGGGCATGCTTGCTGCAGGGCTGGATACTATCGGGCTTTTTCGCTTCCAACATAGATACTACTGTACCAATTTGCAGGACAGCACATGCACTCACACGCATCCAGGCCTTGCTCGGCTGAGCTTGCGCCGGCGGCAGATGGAGACTGCACTGTAGCCCGTAAGGCCCGTATGGGGGTGAGGCGACTGTTGTGCGTTGCGTGCTGGATGGGGGGCCCTTTAAAGCCACACCATAACCGGACCCTTGGAATCGGTATCGCATCGGCCTGAGAGGGACTCGATAAGTCCGAAAAAAGCAGTTATCCAGTACTGTTGGCCTAGAGGCGTGTGATTCACAAATTCAATAAAAGACAGCTAGACTACATGTTACGGCTCAACAGTCACAGTCACAGCAGCAAACGCCGAAAAAGTCTCGTGACGCTGCCAAATCGGCCAACTCGGGTCCCCGTCGGGGTCTGGGCACCGCCATCCCCGGAATCGCGGGTCCGGATCGCCCATGGCCCATTCTCGCACTTCGCTCCAGTTCGCTCCAACCTAGAAAAGATTCCCATCGCTTCCACTGCATCTGCCGCCGCAAGGGGAAGACGAGGGGGGGGACCCCTCCCGTGCCGCGCCGCGGATATCGGGGTGAGAGGCGAATTTTTCTTCTTTCTTTGCTGGGGGAGTCTCGTTTTCGTTCTTTTGTCTTCGGCTTGCATTTTCGGGATATGCCGCCAGGCTGCGGAACCGCGGGTTCGTGCTTGCGAGCTGGTTGCCCGGTTGCTGAGAGAGGTGGTTTACTCGACAACGTCACTGCTGCCGTCATGGCTCAGATGATCTGATGCTGTCTAATCTCCTCGGCGTTTATTGGTTTGGAGTATTAGCAGGACTAATACTAATACTACTGACTTGCCTCGGTCATTTTTCGAGAGCGACTGAAAAAATGGGGGCCTTGCGATGGAAGTCGAAAAGTTACAAGAAGACTGCACTGAGGAACAGAGGATAGAGTAGGATGAGAAATGATCCAATAGTGCGATGCCAGACGCGATGGATCTCCAACGTCCAATATAATGGCAATACATGCCATGCCAGATGCGATGCATCACATCAGCCCAGGCGTGTGTTTATTGGAATCTCAGATCAGCCGCATCGAACTTGGTGCAAGTAGTACCTGTAAGCATCGAACGAACAGACGTCCATGCCTGGCAAGGTGACACGTGCATGCACTACTGCTGCTAGTAATCTTCCTGTCAAATATCGATGGATTCAGTCACTTTCTGCTTGTCCACCGATATCGCGCCGCAACAGCAGACCAACGTCCGGTTCTGTCCAGCTGCCCGTCCATGCACGCATTCATCCAGTGTTGAATTCCAGCCAATGCAAGTCTCAGCCCAGCTTGGCCCACAATCTCTCTCATCCGCTCCATCTCCTCCTATTTCCTCCTATTTCCTCCTCTCACGTACGATGTACTCATCACCAATATAGCACAACTCACCCCTCGTACAGTCACCGACATGGAGCCTCTCCTCCGGTCTAGATCCCAAGAGTGTGGCTCATTCTCACCACGCCGCAGCCCCACTGCCCACCCTCCTCGGATCGCCTTTCCCCGCCGATGCAGATCCGTTCTAGGCCTTGCAGGTCAAACCAGCAATCCGTGCCCCCCTGCCACGTGGGTCCCATCCATCCCATCTCTATCTCTCTCGCACTCTAATGTTGATGCTCCCTCCGAAAGCGCTGCTTCAACAGCCAAATATCTCCGCTGTAAATAGAATGAAATAAAAAAATCAAGGATAGAAATAAAATTCAGCCCATATTGCAACTTTGCATCGGCAGATCCGTTGGTCAGAAAAAAATTAATGCCTGTCCAGCTGCAACATGCCTTACAGCAATTTGCATGTGCAGTCCAGTCCAGTGCCCTACCTAACATAAAGCACCAGACACGTACCTTGCGGCTCCATTACGGGCCATCAAACTCTTTCCGCGGGCCACTACCAGCAGCGAAGCCAAGCGCAATTAACCACTACTGCTACTACCACCAAGACATACAGCTGCTGCAGCTAGCAATTT